TGTCCCGATTAAGCAAGTGATAGAAAACGAAAAGTGGCATCGTGTCGTATTGCTGGTGTGTAGGGGTGCCACCTCCGATAGGTAAATAAAGAAAATCGGGTACGACCTTCACCGAATAATAATACTGCAGACCGCAGACTTCATCCCGGATTACATCAATGTGCCTTATCCTCGTATGTTATCATTATTCTTCTTCTTCTGGTCTCGGTTCCGCGGGCTAGAATCGGTTATCCTAAGCAGACGGTGAGGAGAACCCTTGGATAAGGAGGGTTAATCGTGGACGACCTCAACGTGAGAAAAAAGATAAGTTAAGAGCCGGAAGCAACGGTGTCGAAAGCTACTATGGAAAAAGAAAAGGGCAGCGAAAATGATAGCAACACGGGCTCGCAGATCAGGACGGAGATCTTTGAGGGTTCTGTGGACCGTACGGAAGATGCGGATGTGAAGTCTCCTCAAGCGACGGCGACGGCGACGCCGCTGGCAGAGCCGAAGACGCCTGATGTCCCGGAGTATGTATTTTCGGACTTGGTTCACCTACATGTATTCATTCTCTTTATAAACCGGCCTGGGAATTATATTCAACTCCTTGGCCTTCTCTTATACGTACCCCAGAACACTCTCTAACACAGACACGATTTTCTACTCACTTACATCTGCTAACGTTACATAAACAGCGGCGGCCTAGTAGCATGGCTCCAAGTCCTCGGGGCCTTCGTCATCATGCTCGCGAGCTGGGGCCTCACCAACTCGTTCGGCGTGTACCAGACGTACTACGAGACCGATCTCCTCCGGTCCAGCACATCCTCTGAGATTAGCTGGATCGGCTCCTTGCAAGGTGCCCTCCTCAATATGGGCGGGCTGGTATCCGGCCCGCTGTTCGACGCGGGCCACTTCCGCGCGCTGATCATCTCGGGCTCGGCCCTTGTTGTACTTGGCTTGTTCATGACGTCCTTGTGCAAGACGTACTGGCAGGTCTTATTGGCGCAGGGTGTTGCAGTGGGAGCTGGGTGCGGACTGTTGTTCCTCCCGTCTGCGGCGATATTGAGCCAGTATTTTGCGCGGAGACGCGCGCTGGCGTTGGGTTTGCAGTCTGCGGGCTCGCCCGTCGGGGGTATTATAATTTCGGTCCTGTTTAGTAGGTTACAACCGCGGATTGGGTTTGGGTGGGCGACGCGCGTGTTGGCGTTTATTCTACTGGGGCTGCTTGTCGTGCCGTTGGTTTATAGTACGTGCTGTTGTGCTTTCTTTCTTGTTCTTCCCCCTATTTAGCTTGTCTGTTAACGTTCATCGTTGTAGTGCGTCCGCGTGTCGCGCCACCTCGTAAACGTGCCTTCTTCGACCGCGACGCCATACGAGATGTGCCGTTCATGAGCTTCGCGATATCGGCCCTGCCGTCATTCATGGGAATGTTCGTGCCGTTTTTCTACTTGCAGCTGTTCGCGTTACGGCGCGGCATCGCGAGCGCCGACCTAGCTGCGTATCTGATTACTTTGCTCAACGCCGGGAGCATCTTTGGGCGCATCCTGCCGAATTTCGCTGCCGACTACTTGGGTTCGATGAACATGCTAGCTGCAATGACACTAGGCGCTGGTATCCTTGCCTTTAGCTGGCTCGGCGTGCACGATCTCGGAGGAACGATTACGTTTGCAATACTCTTTGGGTTTTTCAACGGGGGAGTTGCAAGCTTGCCTCCTAGTGCTATCGTGACCCTTACGCCGGATCTGGGCCGCCTTGGTACTCGTATGGGTATGTTGTTCGCATTCATCGGGATAGCAGTGTTGATAGGAACGCCAATCGCAGGTGCGATTTTGAAAGATGTGAATGACGACGGAGCTTGGAGGGGATTAATTGCGTATTGTGCTACGACGGTGTTTGTAGGGGGACTCGGGTTTGTGAGTACGCAGGTCTTGCATTTGAGGAGAGTGGGAAGTACCAAGGTGTGATCTGGGAGGTTGTGCTGTGCAGCTGAGGTGTGGATGAATAGGGGTAACATATATCTATATCATGAATAGGAGGTAGTTATGTAGGTAAATATTACGATATAGGTATTCGAATTTTCACTTGATAGGATGAGTCTATTGACTCAAACATGGGAGCTACTACTATATACTATTACAGGTGCCCGAGGTGAAAAGAATAGTCGAGTCTTAGGAGTCCATTCAATATTTTTCATTTGTTTTAATAGTTAAATCGTTCTAGGTGATGAGAACTACATTATTGCGCACTTAGTAGGCAACCCGCAAGGACCTTCGCTCTTCTTCTTCTCTTTCTTTTCCTCTGTATGTGTGACGGTCGCAGTTGGTGTCTCTTTATCATTGCTATCATGTAGTCACGCCGATCCGGAAGCGAACTTAGCGACGGTCTTGTAGAACTCGGTACCCTGGATCTCAGCGATGGATATTTCCTTCTCGCTAGGCTGGCGCGAGCCGTCACCTGCAGCGAAGGTGCCGGCACCCCAGGGGCCACCACCGTGAACCTCGGAAAGGTCAGTCAAAATACCGAAGGCGTTGGCGTAGCCGAAGGGGACGTAGATAATGCCGTGGTGGGCGAAGGTGGACATGGCCGCCAGAGCAGTCGACTCCTGACCACCGCCTAGAGAGGCCGTTGAGATGAAGAGACCGGCCATCTTGCCGTGGAAAGCACCGCTCTGCCATTGCTTTCCGGTCTGGTCCCACCATACGCGCCATTGCGCGGGGAAGTTTCCGTAGCGCGTCGGGATGCCGAGTAAGAAGCCGTCGTACGACTCGAGAGTCGCCGGGTCCGATATAACCGGAACATCGGCAGCTGGGCCGGGAGAATGTAGCTTAGCTAGAACGTCCTTGGAGAGGGTCTCGGGAATTCTGTAGTTGCTATATTAGCATATATCAGGAGAAGAATACGTAGAGAGCGGTGCCTACTGGAAGATATCGGCAGTACCACCAGCCTTCTCAATACCGCGCTTCTCAGCTTCGGCTAGTTGGCGGACATGGCCGTAGGTGGAGTACTATAATAAGACGCATGTTAGTCGCTATAGTATCGAAAGGCTAGGAGTCGAGGGTTAGGAGCATATTGGGAAGTTTGGTAGTTCGGCTTAGTCAAGTGATGAATCATGACCAGCCTGAGTATCTGATGTCTTCTTTTTATCCAACCACATAAATCCCGTAGTTATTGGCATGTGAATGAAAATACTTACATAGACAATAGCGATCTTGGGTGCCATTGCAAATAAATGAAAACAGGGGTATCTAGTAGCTGCGCTTGATAAAGAAATAGACTAAAGCCTTGATATTTATAAAGATACTTGAATATTATTGTATTTTCCGATGTGAAGCTGTACAGAATAAGGACATTCTTAACGACGGCACCTCGTCGACTTTATACTCGTGTTTACATCATAGACAACATCCACTAGCGGGCACCGTTGATGGAGAGAGGTGGGGATGGCGTGCTTTACTTTTGCTTATTTTTCTTTATCATCCATTAATAATAAGGGTCCATCATGTAAAGCACCTTGTAAGGTAGGTTAATGTTGCGGCTAAGTCGATCTTATTCGGTAGTACACAAGCGGTTTGAAGTCTGATCTAGCCTCTCTTCTGTATAACTCACCTCTCTTTCTCTCTTTCTCATTCTTCCAAGTCCACCCCAGCAACGACTATCACAATCTCCACTCCTCCAACAGCATAGCTTAATAGTAGAGTTGTAATAGCGCCGCATCTCAAACCAACTATCAGCTGGTAGCTTGTGCATATTCAGCCACCAAGGTAGCTATCTTCATGTTTGATGCATATTGGTAATGCAACCTGGTTTTGACGTAATCATACTTCATTGATTCGTAAGTGCTTTAGACGTAGGTTAGGTACCTTACCTACATATGTTAGGTAGATAGTATTCCATCAGTCTAGATCAAGGGTGGTGGATAAACTAATAACTAAGAGGGATATACCAATGGGTTTCTATACGAACCACCCAAGCAGATGTTTACATACAATGGCTTCTTACTAACACACATCTTAGCATAAAGTACATGTTAATGTATGTATGTCTTGCGGCTCCAACCACAGGCCAGTGGGGGTCAAGCCTGTACAGATTCGAGTTAGGCTGGTATATCTTTTTTTCTTTCATTGCCCCAATCCGGATGGTAAAATCGACTTGCTTGCTGATTAATGGCTTACACCCGCTCGCGTAATTCTTATGCGATTTTAAGATCGGGCGGTCCCAGTATTCATGGATCTTTCTATGGATCTTGTTGTATCGTTTCGCTCCATGCCATCACCCAACTAAGCGGGGAACTGGCATGGGACGAAATATGGGTTCGGAAAACGAGCTATTATGTCTTGTCGTTCTTGAATTATTGAGTCAGCACCATCTAAGCGTAATGTCTTCATCATACATATGTGTAATGCTAGAATAATCTTCTTAACCCCTGGTAAAAACCTAACCATCTTGCAACCAATCGTCCAATACTACCTCGACGTACATTTGTGCCTGACTAAATTATTTTTATCTTTCATCCACGTTTCTTCTTACTTCACTCCTTACACTTTACAATACATGTATCAAGAGCCGATTTGTTCTAGCACTCGAGTTTATAGAGATCGATTTCAAAAGGTTCATAAGCTGAAAACTGAAAACTGAAAACTCGCTCTCCTTTTCATACGACATGATTTCCGCGTCTCGCGAGAATATGTCAATCTAGAGTCGTATCGATGCGGCACTGTTATCTGGCATATTAGATTACGGCAATGTCGTCGCAGTGCAGATAGACAGCTCGCCCTTGTTACCACCCTCCTTCTTTCTACCCGGTACTAGGTAGCTCGGAAGCCGACCGAATGCCAAATGCGGCGAATTGGTAATGAGGCTTCATGGAGAAATATATACCCCTTCTAGATACGTCAAGCATTATAATTCTATATTCCCAAGTGCTTTTTGATAGTTGAATTGCTGGAAATTTGAGTTATTGTCCAAGTAGATGGAATAACTAATATCAAATTCGAGATCTATTCTCGTTGCTCGCTTGATCTTCACTCCAAGTTGTCCACTAGATATGAACCAAGCTTCTCTAATGCTTGGCGCAGTATCTCCGTCTCGTTCACGTATCCGATGCGGACAAACCCATCAAAGGATGAAGCCTGGCCATATCCAAAACAGCGAGACCCAGGTAGAAACATAACTTTAGTTTTATTCAACACATCCTTACAGAAGGCTTCGTCGTCCACTGGAGCCCCTTTCTTGTCCTTAAACTGCACGAATGCTGTAGTTCCTGCTGTCGGTTTCACCCAGGAGCATACGCTCGAGTGGTCTTGGATGAATTTCTCTAGTCGCTGTATGTTTTCTTTAGCTAAAGAAATGTTCCGCGCTAAGAGCTGCGATCGTACGGAGGCGCTCAGAGCGTACCGCGCCACCTGGTCGTCGAGCTGTGACACACTGATAGTGGTGTAATCGCGGACGGACGCGATGGTTTCGATGATGGAAGCATCTAGCGACGCCACCCAACCCACTCGAATACCTGCTAGGGCCCACGACTTTGACATGGAACTGGTAACTACGACCTTGGGATAACCTAACCCTAGTGCCGACGGTGGGATATTTTCCGGTTCGAGGCTATGGAACAGCGGCCTATAAACTTCGTCTGAGAATACGATGATGCCGTGTTTTTGCGCAAGATCGATTATCTTAGCCAGCACCTTTTTCGGAATTGTCGCTCCCGTTGGGTTATTAGGATTGTTAATGACGATCATCTGGAATGGTAAGCTAACCGAACATGATAACATAACTGTTGAGCTGAAATAGACGATATACCTTCGTATTATCCCTGATCAAGGTGTCGAGCTCAGCGACATCGGGAATATATCCGTTCTCCGGTCTGAGCTTCCATAAGGAAACCTCAGCCCCTAAAGACTCGGGGATAGAGTACAGCTGTTGATAGGTTGGGAGGACGCAAACCACATGATCCCCTGGCCCGACGAGGCTGTAGAATACTAAGTGGTTGGCGGATATAGCTCCCTGCGTAACAATAACGTTCTCGGTGGACAGAGGAGCAACTGTCGTCCTCGTATCATCTTCGTTATACATGGCTATGATATTCCGCCGCAGTTCGTCAGATCCCCGAATCGGACCGTACGTCATAGGCTTAGAGAAATCGATCAGCGGATGAACGTCGCTTTGTTGATCACTATTGAATTGTTTAAGTTGATCGATCGATATAGACGAGCAGCATGTTTCGGCGATGTTCAGTACCCCTGGCGTAATCTCGTACTTGTCCATCCACTGCTCTACCTCAAACGCTGGGATTTTCACCATCTTGATGTCTCTATGAGAATGGTTTAAGTTATTATGTGTAGAGTGTTATCCTGGGATTTTAACCTTTGATAGAACCTTTAAAGTAGATGGTTTAATTGTATTAAAGAGGGCGACCTTAGGTATAACAAATTGCTGGTCCGTATAAGGAGCGAGTTGTTTGGTCATTTTTATTTACCTACCTAAGGTACCTACCTACCTATATATCTCTCTTTTACGACATGCGAAGGGCGTGCTGTGGGGCTCTAAAGGCGCCGTTCTTCGGTATTGCTACTTGGGTGCGGAGATTATGTAGCCTGCCATGATTAAGTGCTATGTCTTTTGTTATAGAATAAAGTGAATGTGTCGTCGAACATACATTGGAATATCCTTGCTTTTCTATCATGTAGTTTATTCAATCGAGGCTTGACGCGGTTGAAATAGCTATCTGTATGTCAATTCCTGGCGGCATGGCATTATTTAGGTACTTTATCTATGATGATATTATTAATTATAGGAAAATCTATGGTTTTAGCTTGGTTACATGGATAGACGTTGAGTAATGTAGGAAACGGGTTAGAGGCTGCCTATTAGCTGCCTGCTTTGAGAACTATCCCCATATAGCTGTGGTGACTTGACATATTAGTGACATCTCTTATATTAGGTACTAATGCCTACCTATGTATGATAACAAAGGCGTGGCTTGAATTTATATCCTAGTATTTCTGCTACTGCAGCTCACCCATTCCGCTTCTGGTTTAATAATGAGAAGGCTGTCTTGGGCTTTACAAATGTTTAGTATCACACTGACGCTGCGTCAACCATCTAAGTTAGTCTAACTGTTACAGTACCACGAACCTTTCCTTAACCTTATAACCTGTGTAATGTATTAGACTCGTATTGTGACCTCTTACTGGTTTGACTAGTTAAGCCAGAAGACTTGGTGCACACTATCTAAGGACGATGTAAGTTACCGTGACTAATTATACTTAATTGGTTTACGTAATGTGTTTCTTGAACGTAGAGAGATACATGTAGTAATTAGTTTCCTAGGGCGACTAAGTATTTGGGTGTATTATGTTGTATGAGATAGACATTGGGATTAAATGGGACTTTGGAGAGATCAACCAAATCAAAGCCGCTTGGGTTGCCTTTGATAATAACGGTGAATTATGTAACTGTGTTTGCATACTAACCTAATCTCATACCTAGGTACCTAGGTAGTCGGAGAAGATCTCAAAACCCCCCGATAGTCCCATACGTACCTAACCTAAGGTACCTAACGTAGGGAATTTGGCGGCTGTGCGCTGCTATGACGTTCTGGGCGTTACAGCTTAGGTACATGTAGGCAGGCACATACCTTCTATAGTAATGTATCTCAGCACCTGCAGTTGCTCAGGTGTCTCGGTCGGGTCCACCTCCCATTTCCCGAGCTCGGTTCCTCTATGTATTCCATGCTACCGTCCCTGCACCTCTCAACTCTTCCAACTCTCTTATCTCCCTTCTCCCAACTTGCTCTGGCAAGTCATCATCTGACTTTATGGTCGGTAGTATTCGAATTATTCCTTCTTTCTTTCTATCATATCTCATCATTTTTCTATTCATACCATCCATCATATTCTTCTTGTGACCTTGTCCATATCCAATCCCAGCCCTGGCATCACACACGCGGCTAGCTAAGACCAGCATAAGACCAGTATAAGACCGCGCATCTAACCAAGTAAGCCTAGGTACTTAAAGCCCGGTGGTGTAAGGGTGGCGCAGTCAGCTGGCCAACCAAACTGACTTACCTTCAAGCTCCTTACACGTTGTTTTGGAGCCTTCCTGGGGTTTGTACCTAGTTTAATGTACCAGCCTATCGCCAGCTTCCATCTTTTCCCTTCGTCAACATTGCCAACCTAGTCGAGAGAGTATCCACTATCGCCGATTACCTTGAGCCTCATCGGCAATGTTCATCATGTCGTCGCCGAGTCTTTGGCTTGCGGCCCTTGGTGCGCTCTCCTTATCATGTCTTGTTGCCGGCCAAAAGAACTATACCCAGCTGGACTCGATGCGGGCGCAGCTGGCTCTCTTCGGCGACCGACCGGCTGATTGTCCCCCGTGGTATGTCAACCCAACTATTTGTTTGACACGGTTCGCAAGTTGACCCATTTTCCCGTCTAGTTTTAACTGTCTCCTCCCGGCCTACGAGTGCGGCCAGTACGCCGAATGTAACGAATACAATGGGAAGTGCGAGTGTCCGGCAGGATTCGGAGGTGACGATTGTCTTGAACCCAGTATAGCTCCCCGTTGTAGCTCCTGCTTAGCTTGAGCTTGGCTGACCGTGTTATAGCTTGCGGCTCGCTTGCTCGTGGCAAGGATCGACCGATAAGATCAGGCGATACCTGCGAATGCGACGAAGGCTGGACCGGAATCAACTGTAATGTCTGTACTCAAAATAACGCTTGCAATGCTCTCATGGAAACTGGAGATGGCGGCGTCTGTTACCAGAACGGCGAGGTTGTACAGGAAAACCACCAGATGTGCAGTGTTACGAACGAGAAGATCCTTACTATGCTTGAGGGCAAGATACCTCAGGCCACTTTTACTTGCGCGAGAGAGTCAGGAGTGTGTGATTTCCAATGTGAGTGAAACCTCGATTTGCGAAGAGGCGGCAACGTGACTGACCATATCTATTAATTAGTCTGGATTGATCGACTTGAATCCTTCTATTGTCACCTAGAGAACTGCGAGTCTACCGCAGACTTCACCTCAGACCAGAACAGCAGTTACTACAAGTGCCCTGATGTTAAGTGTGGCTGTATTAAGGATCGCATGCTCTGCGGTGCCGATGGTTCCATCGACTTGACCGAATTCCTCAAAGTTGAAGTCCAGGGCCCTGCTACTTTCGACTGTTTGCAAGAGAATGGTGGTATTAATAACTGTAAATTTAAAGAACCAGCCCTGGATTGGATGGTAGAGAACTTCTTCGGCGACAAGAGCATCGAGTTGGAATGCCGCTCTGGCGAGTGTCTCTACCACACGCAGGTTCCTGGATACGAGCGCCCCATCAAGAAGATCAACACGCCCTTGATCGCGGGCGTGATTGCGGGATGCTCTTTGTTCCTTGTCGCCGTCGTCTTGCTCATTTGGTACTTGTCTCGACGACAGTACCGATACGGAGCGATCCACCTTGACGATTCCGACGACGAATCCACGAAGCTGATGGTCGATCACAAGCCGGCGACCCTATACTTCGAAAATGTCGCTTATGGGCTGAATGGGAAGTCTATCCTAAAAGATATAAAAGGAATCGCGCATCCTGGAGAGATCACGGCTATCATGGGTGCATCAGGCGCTGGGAAGACTACGTTTTTGGATATACTAGCTCGCAAGAACAAGCGCGGTCAGACGTCCGGAGACTTCTATGTGAACGGAGAAAAGGTCACAGATGCCGAGTACAAGAGTGTGGTGGGTTTCGTCGACCAGGAAGATACTATGCTTCCGACCTTGACTGTCCACGAAACGATTCTTACCAGTGCCCTCCTTCGCCTCCCACGTGGAATGGGTCGCTCGGCTAAGGAGCAAAGGGTCTATGAGGTTGAGAAACAGCTTGGTATCTATCACATTCGTGATTCTCTGATTGGATCTGAAGAGGGCAAGGGTAGAGGCATTTCCGGTGGAGAAAAGAGACGTGTCGGCATCGCTTGCGAACTTGTTACCAGCCCCTCGATCCTCTTCCTCGACGAGCCGACTAGTGGTTTGGATGCTTACAATGCGTTCAATGTCATCGAGTGCCTCGTAACACTAGCGAAGACGTATAAGCGAACTGTTATCTTCACTATTCACCAGCCTCGCTCGAACATCGTCGCCTTGTTTGATCGACTGATTCTTCTTGCTCAGGGTAAGACCGTCTACTCTGGCCCCTTCTCCCAGTGCCAAGAGTATTTCGATCAAATTGGATACAGCTGCCCCCCTGGCTTCAACATTGCAGATTATCTTGTTGATCTTACAATGCATGCCGGCTCTTTTGGTACCTTCGACGATGGATCTTTAGTGAACGACGTTGCGAGCGTTGGCCCTAGCAGCACAACAGCAGTCAAATCTATCGCAAGCATCTCCAGAGCTACCAGTATCGCCGAAGACAGCTCGACCGAACCATCCTCAAGCCGGCCTAAAGGCAAACGGAAGGATTCGATTAGAGCAAGGCAAGAGCGCGAGTTATTCACAAGGAGGAAGAATACTGTCGATACAGCCGCGTCATCTGACGTGGAAGAGGAGATTGGATCGTATAAGCTACGACGACAACCCGTCGGCACTGTTCCACAAGTTGTTGTCGAAGACGTCCACGATCTTCCACCGTCTGCCGAAACTAACCTTGATGGCCTTGTTTATGCCTATGCTGGGTCTGACATCTCTAGCAGCATACATGAAGAAATCCAACAGGTCGTAACCAGTGCTCAACTTGCCAACGGTCAGAATGGCAATGGAAGAAACGGTGCGCATTCAAATGGAAGCGCAATTGGTCGTGGCTATGCCCGTGTCGGCTATTTGACTCAATTCATCATCCTCTCGCAAAGAACGTGGCGGAATCTCTATCGCAACCCGCTCCTCATGTTAACTCATTACGCTATTGCCATAGTACTTGCTGTTCTATCGGGATATCTATTCTATGGCCTCACTGATGATATTCCTGGATTCCAGAACAGACTCGGCTTATTCTTTTTCCTCTTAGCACTATTTGGTTTTAGCACGCTGACCAGCTTGAATGTCTTTGCATCTGAAAGGCTTCTGTTTGTCCGTGAGAGAGCGAATGGTTACTATGCACCTATCACGTATTTCCTCGCGAAGGTCCTATTCGACATCATACCTCTTCGGATAATTCCGCCAATTTTGATGGGAGCCATTATATACCCTATGACGGGACTCGTACCGGACACAGCGCACTTTTTCATATTCATGCTCGTTCTTGTACTATTCAACTTGGCTGCCGCCTCGATTTGCCTGTTCATCGGTGTGGTTTGTAAAGACGGTAGCGTTGCAAACCTGATTGGTAGCCTGGTTATGCTCTTCTCGTTATTGTTTGCCGGATTACTCCTAAACCATGACGCAATTCCCGACGCGGCACTCTGGTTACAATCCCTGTCCATCTTCCACTATGGCTTCGAAGCCCTTATCGTTAATGAGGTCCTCAAGTTGACCCTTGTGGATAGGAAATATGGCCTCGACATCACAGTCCCTGGTGCGGCAATCCTGAGCTCGTTCGGTTTCAATAACGGATCTAAGTGGATGGACGTCGCCAACCTAGGCGTGTTTGCTGGCGTCTTCGTGGTGTTAGCATACGTCGCTATGCATTTCTTGCTCGTGGAGAAGCGGTAGATTAGATACGATGAAGATAATCTGGGAAATACATGTAGAATTATGTTGGTATCTATCAGGGCATTGGCCAAATTGGCATCTAATGCATTGTCTCAATATCTCCTGCATAGCTCGGCAACGCTTGAGCTGGATAGCTCAAGGGCATATGGGTCATTCGGGGCGTTCAAGGTTTAGGCACATACGACATTGTAGATCATAAATGTCGTTTTATAGGTACATACATGGTACAACTTTTGTGAAGGTGTCAAACTTGTACCGATAACCGTAATTGGCATCGATGCCAGAGTATGCTGCGGCTGTCGTCCAAAGAGGATTGGTGCGACCTAATAGACTTATATTTACAATTCTTGCCTCTGCTTTCAAGTCGTCGCTAGGCTTCGTCTAGCTTACCACCAGTCAACTCCTCGGCAACCTCCTTCTGCCTCTTGAGTGTTCGGGTCTTCTCTGTCTCTAGGTTCTTTATCAATAGGCTTGTAGTCCGCGACACATCGTTCAGCATATTGGCAACGGTCTTAGGCTTGCCGTCCAGGTCCCAGATATTGTTCACGTCGTAGCCGCTAGCCGAAAACCCCATCTTCTTCCAGTAGTCGGGGGCAAATAGGCGCTCGACCTCGGTCTCTAGATCCTTTTCGTCGACGATGAATGACCGTGCCTTCATGTATAGCTCCTGGATGGCGTCACGGCGGGCCTCGCTCCTCTGCGTGGTCAAGGACTCGGTGCGCTCGCGGGACTCGAGGGCCCGCTCGAAGCGTTCCGGGTCCGGATGTACCTTGGTTTGTAATGTGCCGGCGTTTATCGAGCCACGAGTTAACCGCTCGTCCTCGCGCTCTGGGGCTGTGGCGGCGGCTCGATTGGCGGTCAGCCTGGCAGTCTGCCGCTCAAGTCGCCGGGTATCGAAGAGCTGCTTTCGAGAGTATAGAGCGCGAACACCCTCGCGCATGTTCTCTCGGCGGGAGGCGGCTATTCGGCGTTTCCATGATTGGATCTCGGAGCGGGGAGCATGTTTAGAGCGCTCGGAGGAGGGTTCGGGTGCAGACTGCGAAAGCCATTCATCTTGGGGCTTAAGGTGACCATCACGCTTCTTGAAAACCTGCCGCGGCACTGGTAGATGACCCTTGATAGGCTTAAGCTCGCGCAGGGCTTCTATGGACTGATCTTGCGGCGGGTTCGGCACGTTTATGAAGAGAGGGGACTCTGGAGGGATCCTTGGCAGCCCGGGTCGGCGGGCAGTGGAGGAGAAGAGGGCTCGTGATATGGATCCTCGTGGGAGGAGAACCGGCCGGGGAAGTAATGGTGGCATATCGGCAGGATGTGCGGTGTGCCAGTAGGCACTTCTTTATTAATACACAGACTATTCAGTTAATTGAGTTCATTAAGCCTGTCGCGCATCCCCTCGATATTGCAAATATCGCAATCGTCCAATTCGTATGTAGTATTGTATTGAATTCTGTTGAGTTGTGTTGAATTGCTTCGAAAAAGTTACATGCAAAGAAATTCAGGGAGACCCACTTTCGATAGTTCCGGGTTTGGACGGTGGATAAGTGGATAAGTGGATAAGTCTCGGTAAAATCAAAATTCTACGCCGACTTTAGCGCGATTAGATAAGTCCAGAGAAAAAAAATAGTTCCAATTCCCCCATCGGCCATCTTCTTTTTTTCTAACTGACTTTCTTCACATACTCATTTTCCTTCCTATCGTACCTCTCAAGCTCACGAATTTGGGCGCTATGGGGACTGGTAAGAAGGAAAGAAACCGGCTGGTCCGGCAGGGCAAGTCGGGTTCGGGCATGGACAACATTAAAGTCAAGGGCGAGAACTTTTATCGTTCTGCGAAGAGAGTCAAGGCTTTGAACATACGGAAGGATGAAGGAAAGCCTGTGCGAAATGCCGACGGTAGGATCATTCAAGCTGCCAAATATCAGTCCTGGGATAAACCGATCGCTCGCGTCGAGCCCAATAGGAAATGGTTTACCAACACTCGAGTTATCTCGCAAGATTCCCTCACTGCATTCCGCGATGCTATGGCCGAGAAAGCAAAAGACCCTTACCAAGTCCTGCTGAAGACGAACAAGCTTCCCATGAGTCTTATCAGAGATAACTCGGATACGAAGAATGGCTTGAAGCAGCATAAGGCCAAGATGACTATCGAGAGCTCGCCGTTTGCTGACGCCTTCGGTCCGAAATCTCAGCGCAAAAGGGTCAAGCTGGGTGTATCTAGCTTAGAAGATTTGGCTGATGACACTGAGAAAAGCATGGACGTTTATAAGGACCATCTCGAGCAATTAAAGCTATTGAGTGGAAATTCGGGGGTGGATCTTGAAGGACCTAGCGAGGGCCAACCCGATAACGAGGGCACCCTCGCTTTGGCTGTCGAACCGATTTTCAGCAAGGGGACTAGTAAGCGCATATGGAATGAGTTATACAAAGTTCTTGAGTATGCAAATATCTTGTTACCTCCATGAGGTTCTATTTGCAGAAGGCAATTTACTAATATTGAATAGTGCTTCGGACGTTATTATTCACGTACTAGATGCTCGCGATCCTCTAGGCACTCGATGTCGTAGTGTCGAGAAATACCTAAGAGAAGAGGCGCCGCACAAGCATCTCATCTTCGTTTTGAACAAGACCGACTTGATACCTACGAGCGTGGCTGTAAGTACTATTCTTCCTCTACATTTCTGTTATTATCATTATTTTTTTTTTGTCTACATCTACCCCAAAGATTTTAGTCAGGGTACTTCCTCCTACTTTCGATGAGAAGTATCCGTTATGTCATTGGGAGATTAAATATCTCAACTTGCTGTTCCTAACCCTCGGGTTGGGAGCTGGCGGAGCCTCGTCTTGAGGTACTGCCATTAGTTAGGCCGTGTTTCATTTTGAGTTGAGATCTATCTACCCATCTAGGGTGGTCAATGGTAGATTTCTTAGTAGTGATTCATACATCTTTTTTTTCCTTTTCGTTATTTTTGCAGCTATTTATCTTTGGACCCAATATTAACACTGTCCAAGGCCGCCTGGGTTCGAAACCTCTCCACCGAGTATCCTACCCTTGCTTTCCACTCAAGCGTGACCAACCCATTTGGCAAAGGTTCCCTTATCCAGCTTCTTCGACAATTCTCGCAATTGCACAAAGATCGAAAGCAGGTATCAGTCGGGTTAATAGGATATCCCAACGTGGGAAAGTCTTCTATCATCAATACCCTACGCGGAAAGAAGGTCGCCACTGTAGCTCCTATCCCTGGCGAGACTAAAGTATGGCAATATGTTACTCTGATGAAACGGATATATCTTATAGATTGTCCCGGTGTGGTTCCTCCCAATCAGAACGATACACCTCAGGACATTCTACTTCGCGGCGTGGTTCGTGTTGAGATGGTAGAGCAACCCGAACAGTACATTCCTGCACTGATGGCAAAAGTAAAGCAGCATCATATGGAACGAACATACGAAATTAAGGGGTGGAATGACCATATTCACTTTTTGGAACTTCTCGCCCGAAAGGGCGGCCGCCTATTGAAGGCTGGGGAGCCGGATGTCGATGGAGTTGCTAAAATGGTAATAACGGACTTCATGAGGGGCAAGATTCCATGGTTCACCCCTGCGCCTGTTGTGGAAGGGGACGACGGGAAAGGCATTGAAGGACGCCGGGGTAGGCTCGGAGAGATGCCGAAGAAGCGGAAGAGGGAGGACTTGGAGAGTATCCCGGATACAACTGTGGCTGCATCGGCTACGTCCGTTGGGGAAAAAGCAAGTGCGAGCGAGGACGAAGAAGAGTTCGAAGGTTTCAGCAGCGACGATGACGAATCATCGGATGATGAAGCTGCAGCTGGCCGTGAAGAAGAAGAAGATGATATGATACCCCTGGACGAGCTGAGCGATATTGACGATAGCGACGGCAGCGAAGACGAAGAATAAATACTCGTTTCTACTCCTTAGAAACAATCAATATGGCCTACCCATTTCGTCAGGTCAAGCCATAGCTAGCCTGTCCACGCTTAATGTTGTCAAAAAGGGAGTGGATTCGTCGGCATGCAGGCGAAGCGCATATATGCGTGACGTCCGGCTGGAACCTGTTTCGTCGGGTGACGCAGCAGACGGAAAGGATCTCTATGCTCACCTAGTAACCCGCCTTACATGGGCTACTTGAGGTTACATAGAAATCGGGCTAGTTTTACTATCTAGATTCCGTCAGACATGGATTTGAGAGATCCCAAATCTTGTCTACCGTGAGAGCTCACCAACTTCTGTCCAAATAGAACATGAAGTAAATGCATAGGTAGCTACCTTGTTAAGGGGTGGAAAACTAAGGCATTGGGCCGGTAGGATAATAGGGTCTATGATGGCTGGGTGGATTTGCATCAGAATATGATGTCTCCCTTGTAGCCTCATAAATACAGGTTAATTCCTCACGCTTGAACTCTATCTTTGTCGCCACTAAACGTGATAATACTTGATACCATAAATGCAGTTGGTAGAATCTATATCCATAAAGGGGTGCTTTTTCCGGGAGAGAACATCCCTTTAATGATGCTGTTTCCACGCTTGTTAGAACCTAAGCGACTTCCATCGTTATTTGGTATTCGTGGCTACTTACGATCCCGTCTTGAATTACCACAGGTACAAACAGTATTACGAAGATGTAGGTTAGGAGCGATCTCGGTATCCTTTGGATATTAACTCTTGCCATCTTTAGTCTTACACGTTTCTGCTATTTACCATTTGATCCTTTCCTTAACATCATGGTTGCAGTCTTGTTTCTAACTTGCTTGCCTTGAGTTCCTCGGTATTCCCGATCTACCTTGGTAGCCTTTTGGCCTGGTTTTGGGAAGCTCTTTTTATAGAACACCTAGCTTTTGGCTTCTTCCGAAGTTCCCTGAGCACTTTTAAGGGACTCTAGGCTGTTGTTACCAAGATGCTGCCACTGAACATATTCATCACGTTTCTAGCCTCGGTTGCCCCTGTGCAGAGCACATCCCTGGCCCCCCTTCGAATAAACGCCGGGTGTGCCTTTCATTTGGCAATAGGGAGCGGCCATAATGAATCTGTCGGCCAATTGGCGGATGGCCAGGTACGAGTTGGAAGCGACTTGGCGCCATCTCTCTTTACTTGGTTTGGTGATGCCTTCACTGATCATCAAGGGAGAGGCTGTTGGTGGACTCGTATGATCTACTACTAGTTTATCCAACTCTTTCTTTGATAAGATTTAACTAATTCAATTTGTCGTATTTCTAGCTCCTACGTTGCTACTTCAATGCGATTCAAATCAACAACTAGGCCATGGGTTTGTCATTGGGTGTTACGGCGGCGTGTCCTACAAACATCAATCTTTGTTCTACAAATGTCAGACAGGCGACGGGGACGAGGTAAACTTATATCTAGAACCTAATGGTGCCGACTGTTCTAGCATTACGCTTCATGCTGATAGCTGCCGGCCTCCGTGTGCTAGTGCGAGCACTTCGTCGAGACCGTTTACCAGTACAACCGGCACAAGTAGGACACCTTTGACCTCTACTACAACTTCCTCTCATGCCTCAACAAGCTACACAGCTCAAGTTTCTTCGCATGATGGAACTACTACGGTCTCATTGTCGGATTCGACGGGCACACCTACTACAGCCCCTGGCAACTGTAAAACACCCATTTTTGAGCGCCCCGACGAGATTGTTCTAGTCGACAAGAGCAAACCGGATATGAGTAATGGATCAAATCCTAACATGATAGTTTTGCTGACCCCAAGCGTATCCGCGATCTTTGTTTTCGATTTTGATTCTTCAGACTCGAACAAGCAATGCGCTCTCATCTTCGATTTGCCTTCTACCCAGGAGCAACAACCTCCCCTCTATACGCTGAATGGAACCGGACTGGTGAGTTTCGTGCTACTAGAGGAACCGCCAGTCGATTCGAGAAACACGACGTATAATAACGCACCGCCTGTTGTAATGCCGCTCGAGGCAGTAAACCTGGAACCAGGCATGAGCGCCCAGCCGCTCACGTTTCCATGTCCTGGAGAGAATGGGCATATTGTTGTTGAGATGCGCGATAGGCCAGGCTCAGATGTGTGCTTACACTATCAGCAAAACAGACCTGAGGTACCAATCGGGTTATACCTTTTGAAATGCTAAAGCGTATGTCAGTGGGTATCGGGGTCTTGCGGTATGCTGGAAAGAAACTTGAGTGCTTTTATAAAGTACTAAGGAAAAGAGGGACTATGGAGAAGGGAGGAATAAGACAAGGCTTGCTCTTGTATGATTTATTCAAACCGTTTTATAGGTGGTTTCTATGCATCGAAGTATAGCGCTGCCCCTTTTTTGGTACAATGTGGTTTGAATCTTTATCCACTAGGTTACATGGAGGAGTATGGAATGGTCGGTGGTTAACAAGGCTCGAAACCTAGGTACAGTTGAAATAATAAAGCCAGCTCCGATATAAGGAGGAATATTGGCAATATGGGACCGACCAAATTCAAGCAGACGCCAGCAACATCTTTTGTTCACGGTTTCTTAGCTTCGGGGCTACCCAAAACACCAGCCTCCACATTCCCATCTTTCTCTTGGACAAGATGCTGCGCAGTGACATGCTCCTGGGCCATGGAGTAGCCCTTTACCGTTAAACTTAATAGCAAACCCATAGTTGAGAATGCTATAAGTGATAGCCATATCGAACTTAGGGCATCTGAGAATGCCTGAATCATTCGTGTCTTGGTGTCTCCATCAGCCATGTCGTGGATAAGAGCGACTATCGCAGTAGCATCGCGCGAGTACTCGTCTGCTAGGGACGCGAGCCCTGGTATCCTAAGAAGTTTTTGCTTTAACGAGTTCTGGAAGATCACTCCCGAGATAGCGACACCTAGGGCCTGGCCGAAGATGCGGATGAATGAGAAAAACCCCGCGGCTTTGCCGTTGAGTTCGGGCCTACAAGGTGTTAGCATAGGCTATAATCTAAAACCTCCCCCCGGGAGATTTAATTAGATAGCCATTACATACTTCGTAGCAGCTTGGATAGCTAGAATCTCAGCTGTAAAGAGCATGCCAACCCCAATGCCGAATGGGATGTTCAAGAATACCCATTGGGTGACAGTAGTACTTGCGCCTAGGAGGTATAAAAGCCCAGATCCGGCAGTAGTCAAAACCCATCCTCCCCAGAGAGCCCATCGATACTTTTTAGTCATGCCTATCAGAGCTCCCACGGCAATACTCGAGAGGGACAGGCCAATTGTTTCCGGGAGTAGAGCGATAGCTGAAGTCACTGGCGAGTACAGCTTTACGGCTTGGTAGAACAGGGCTATGAGAAATGATTAATTTCGACGTCTAGTAGTGCTTTTCGGGCCATATTGGAAATAGTCTTACTGAGGAAATATATTGCCGCGTATAAGATAAGACCGTGTAGCATGGTTTGGATATAAGCTGAGATTGCCGTCCAAGTTGCGAAAATGCGCCTGTCTACGATAGGGTCTGTCGCAAAACAGAACTCCCAATAAACGAAGCAGATCATTCCCAAGAACCCGATGACTAGTGGCAAAAGAGCCTGGTAAGATGTCCTACAGCTTGTCAGTGTCCTGGGATTGAGGTTACGAATATCTCAATGCATACCATGGGAACGCAACACCCCCTGTAGTAATACCGAATAGAAAGCAGGCAGAGCTAACGGAAAACAGCACGGAACCAAGCCAGTCGAACCTCTTGAGCTTCTCAACGATGTGTCCCGGTACCTGAGCTTGCTTTAAGAATAATGTGACTAAGAGCATCCCAACGCCGACAATGGGCAGGTTAATCCAAAATATCCATCGCCAAGTCTGTAAGAAATCAGCCTCATCAAGGAATCGTTGTAATTATGATACCTACAACGTCCTGGGCAAATCCAGCCCCGATTAGGGGCCCGGTGGCAGTTCCGATACCCCACATGGCCGAGTTGATGCTAAACCAAGTACCTCGATGTGCAAGAGGCACGAGATCAGATATGAGAATCTTGCTAAGGTGTCAGTATTGGGTACTCTTATAAGTTATACTGCGTGAGAAGAGACGGCTTTACCTCCAGAAGCACGATGAGACCTCCACCTAACGAAACGATAAGCATGACTTGTAATCACCAAAGTTGCCTAATGGCTTACCCCCTGCTCCCTAATTCTGTTAGGCTGTGTTATGATATGAGGTATATGATATCTTTGGCAGTCTTATACTCACCTGGATTGTCCGCCCAACAAGCACGATATTGAAATTTCCCGCAAGTGCAGCAATAAGCGAGCCACCCACGAACCCAGCACTGCTAACATACAGCATCTAAATGGTCTAGCTTAGCAAGTATCTTCATTCCGAGATACTGCGAGACTTACTATTCTTCGACCTAGTATATGCGACATCGACGCGACCGTTGGTTGGATCACCGTAGAGGCCAAAAGAAAACTTGTCCCAGACCAGAACGCCTGTAGAGCAGTGCCCCCCAATTCCGCACTCATGATAGGGAGCGCGGTGGGCAAACTGGTTGATTCAATTGCTACTGCAGATACTATTGTCAACAGGGACATGAAGGCTAGAAGGAACCGTTTGGTGGGTTTCCATCTGTCGCTACCTGGGCCAATAGACGTCTTGTCGTTTGGTATTGCCTCAACGCTGGGAACTACCGCGGATGCCTCTACAGGCGGGGGGCTTGGCGTTATATCCATTGTGGTCGGCGTGATAGTAAGAAAAGGGAGGACAACAAAGTTGGATGATTTATACTATTGTGATACAAGAATTAGTTGTGTACATGCTGCTGACTTGCATTTAATATATATCTATTCCCCCCGACGGTCTCCAACGGTGGTGTTGGCAACGAATCGCAATCCGACCCGACCCTAGCTTGCTTGATTAGGAAGGTGGATAGAGAGTCTCAAGCACAGGGGGTGACGGTGAATAGCTTCATAGAGCCAATGATAACTTATAGGGGCGCAAGGCCTTGAGCAAGAAGATGAAGGTGATAAATATTGGAGCATATAGGATGGGTTTTCGCAGGGAATGGCATTATAGGAGGTAGTTAATTAATATTAAACTTGTTTTTGTTGTTAAATAAAATATACTGAATGTCCTTAAGCTGCTCGTAGCTTAAAGGGGAAAGACAACTCTCCAGTAACTACTCCCATGGTGTTCTTAATCTCACCGCGATGGAACCTATTAAGGCGTTGACGTACTTCAGTCGGTCCAATCTTTAACTGCTCGAGGATCTCTGCCGCAACCGCGTCCATAATAGCGTAATTACCATCTTCTATCTTAAGCGCAATACCAATACTGCCATTAGCACCAAGTCGCCGTGTCTCCTCCGACTCGCGAATACCGATAGCGTAACAGCCATCTCCACCCCCTTTTCCAATGAGCGCGCCCTTGTACGCATCGATTAAGGCAGTGCAGAAGCGGCCGTCGCCAGCAATATTCTCCGGGAACCGTACCATTGCGTTGTAAATTCGAGCCATCGCCTGTATACGTGGGGATACCGGGCTGCTCGCTTTCGCTACATCATCTGCTGCTTGGGCGAACGCAGAGTACATGAGGGCTATAGAATGCAGTGGTGCCGCCGGCGAGTAGATATTACAGCCATCTAAGGCCAATTTGACCTCACCGGGACTAAGGCCAGTCAAGTCTTCTATAATAGATTTGATCCTAGCTTGAATTGGATGATCTAAAGTATGGTAATCAACGATACTAGTGCCGATGCCCTTTGCACCAACCATAATACCGATATGGTTGCCAGAACAAGCGTGGCAAGCCTGAGTAGGTGTAAATCCCTTCTCGATCCAAGCTCTGTTAACGACAGAAGATATAGCCGGGTGGCTGCCGCATTGAAGATCGCTCTCTTTAATATTCGACTTCGTCAGCATGGCCTTTGCTCTCTCTACCTGTCTCTCCTCGCTGCTGTGAGTGCCGCACATAAGCGCCAGGTCGGCTTCTTCAAAGCCAAACTGGTCCAACGCGCCGGATTCTACCGCCGGTACGGCCTGGACAGGCTTAGCCCCGGAACGGAGGAGAGTTACTCGTGAAGGGTTGCCCAAGGTGTAGAGGAGCTTTCCGGTGGCATCAACGACGGCGGCGTTGACTAAATGCCTGTTCTCTAAGATCCCGCTGCGAGTGCTGACGACAAAGTCGCCGTTAAGAGGGGTATTCTCCATGTCACTCTATGTGAATTGAGTTAGACGTGCGTATTAATGAAAATGTTAAATTTTTAAATAGTAATTATTATAAGACAGCTATTTTTGAGGTATATTAGGGGGGTGACTATTTTACTATGTGATTCTTATATTCTTATATATTTAAAATAGCTTCTATTGACGTTGTCAGGTGAGTCTTGCGCCCTTCGCGTCTATCGAGTTTCACGCCCTTTGAGCGCTGTGTACCCTTGATTAAGGGCGCGAGATTCTAAAAATAGAGATACCCTCTTTCTTTTAATACTTCATATTTAAAAATTACGGACCTGGCTACCCAAAGCAACTACTTTCCCTAGAATCCCTCCTCAAGGATGTTGTGTTTATTCACATTTGCGTGATCATGGCTTGTTATCATCAATGGCTATTAAGTCGAATTAGCATCTTTTTACTCAACCCAACTACCTCTACCGAAGATCTCTCTTCGACAGATTGCCCTCCGAATTGGGAAATTACCGAAATAGGAAAGCTAACTACAAGGCCGATACAAAGGGTGCTTTTCGCGCTTAGAGGCTTGTATGAAACTGTATAGCTTCATCAATAATATTTTGAAGTTTAATAACCATTAGATGGAATTTCGAGCATTCTAATTTAACCCCTAGTCTGTACTGCGCGACTTGTCAATCGTAGGGCGTAACTGGGATCTATCAAGCAGTAAGCGGAATGGGTCCCTAAATCCTAAATGCTCCGATGTGAACTAACCCGTTCTCTAATATCTTACATTCCTTGTCGGGAGATTTAAAAACTACCTACAATTCCAAGACTTACTTAGTTATGTCTAGCTCTCCTAATAAAGTAAACTTAATCTATAGCTTTCTTCGATGTATAGTTAAAGTATTACTGATTCTCTTGTTAACGATCCAGGTTTAGGTAGTTAGGGTAGTTGTTCATAATTGTCTTTGACCTTCTTAGACTCCCCCCCGCATGGCCTTCGGTAAGCCGGTATTTAGACATTGACAATAATTCCTTAAAGCTCCGATCATGGGTGGATCATCGAGCCGAACAAAAGGGTATAAACGCAAAATACGTCCCCGAGTGCTTATCTTTAGCTTTATAGCATCGTAGAATTACTTGTCTCTTTCTTGAAGCCGGCGGTTTCATCTACACCTATTTAAAGAGTATCTTTACGTACAGAACATGATCCGCTTCTCTTTGTCATCATGCCATCTATCGAGCTATCCGGTTTCTCCTCTACGAGGGATGAACAATTAGTTAGGTTGGCACATCACGGTTCAACTTCAGAAACTGAAGCAGCTCCCACCACATTACAACCAATGCATCACGAGACTTCCAACCGGTATGCAAGTTGCACCTACTATCCCCTTGCCAATGCTCCTAGGTTCAGCTATGAACTCTACTCGAAGTAGCAAGACTCTTATTTCACTCGTCCTAATTTCGAAAATGCATCTGAGTATAATATTCATTATATTTAGACCGTAAAGGCTAACTCGAAAATAGAAAGAAGTCGATGATAATAGTTGCATCCTCGTTCACAATGGTATTCACTTGTTGTGGGCTCAACTTCGCCTTCGGGGTATTTCAAGAACTTTACGACGGGATGGCGCGGCAGCCCAATACTCCTTTTACTGGCGCGACTCCTGCACTTATTGACCTCATTGGAACAATGTCCATTTCGGTGATGACCATAATGGCGCCATTCTCGGTAGCCTGGGCTAAGCGTTTCTCTCCTCGTTGGATTTCGTTCATCGGCGGCTTCATATTTGGGCTCTCGCTCATTTTGGCCAGTTTCGGAACAACGCTTTGGCATTTTGAACTCACGCAGGGTCTGCTCCTTGGTATAGGCACTTCTATGCCGTACATGGTTGCCGTGACGGTGGCACCCGTTTGGTTCACAGCACGCCGGGGTCTCGCTATGGGCATCATCTTAGCTGGGACTGGTATCGGAGGTCTCGTATGGGCGCCGGTGATTAAGGTGCTTATTGATTCTGTTGGTTTCCGAAATTCGCTTCGTGTATCGGGGGTTGTATCATTCGTCTTGGTTGCCCTATCCAGCGCCGCCATGAGCTGGGAGCCTCAGACGCTCGCGCGCATCGACGCTGAGAACGCCTCGCGTACTGGTCGTCTTCAAGGCATCCTAAACGTGCCGCTGGTCGACTGGCGCGTAGCCAAGACGCGGAAGTTCGCTGCTCAGGGACTGGGTGCTATCCTCCAAGCTGCCGCCTATTATACACCTGTCTTCTTCTTCGCCTCGTATGCCGGTACCCTTGGATACAGTGCTACTGCTGGAGCGAATTTTATCGCGCTTAGCAACGCATGTAATGCAATCGGCAAGATCGTCATCGGCTACTTCGCTGACCGCCTAGGTCGTCTCAATACTCTCTTCTTAACCACGTTCATCAGCGCAGCTATTACACTGAGTTTCTGGGTTCCTTCAGCCGTTTATGGTTCCACGGACGATTCACGCGGCCTCTTTATCAGTTTCACCGTCTTGTATGGTCTCTTCGCTGGCGCGTACGTCTCATTGTTCCCTGCCAGTCTCATCGAGATCTTCGGCATACAGAATTTTGCCTCCGTCAATGGTGTGCTTTATATGGTTCGTGGTCTAGCTACGTTAATTGGTACGCCAGTTGGCGGTGCCCTGATTCGGAGCAGTACCGAGAGTGCAGCTTTCGCACCGCATGGCTATGTTAATATGGCGGTACTCGTCGGAGTGTTGCTCTTTGCTGCTAGTATCGCGGTGTTTTGGATCCGCGTTGAGGCAATGGTAGGACCTAGTGGACAATGGCATCCAAAATGGAGGATGTAAGAAGTATAACCCCTAGGGTTAGATGAACATTGGTATTGTTGATATCTGTCACATGCTTTGTAGAATGAATTGTTAGTTAGATGAGTACCTAATATTGTAATGTCTAGTGTACTGAATTAAAGGTATAATACAACTTCAATGACTCTCTTACCAGACAGCGTTGATATCTCATATTAAGGTACCTTGTTCAATATTTTTCTACATGTGAGTCAACTTACACTAGCACAAACATTTGTCGCCCCTATGGCATACCAAAGGCTTTCGGTATTCTATTTCGCATAACTCCACTGGTCTTACCTATATTCTGCAACTAATTCGACATAGTACAAGAACAATATATATCATATCCGGGACTAACTAACAATTCTTACTGGCTACTTTAGGCACATGTTACGGATGTCCTTAATCCGTAATAGTATCCGAGTATATACTTAGATATTTAGGTAATTCTAAACTGAATCTATAGTTGGAACGTATCGAAACTTTATATTAACAGCCAATATCACGTAAAAGCCGGTATATTACAAACATTTCACGTCGTCGGCTCCGATCAAACTAGTCGAGTCCACGGCCTTGATAAAAAATGCGCACTTCATCGCCATGGCGTTGTAAATGCCCAATAACTCTTACGATACTGTCACCTATCACACACTTACTTCAGAAGCAAGCAACCCTACTGGGAGGATAGGGAGTAAAGTCACCCAGCTTTCGTCGGGATACTACTGGCATGGTATGTGACGACTGGTTGACAGATGGTGCATGTGGTTGAACAGCTATCTAAGCGATATGAGAGGTTGCCTCAGGCTTAGAAGCATCTCTCAGGAGCCATCTTACATGCATACTTCTTACTTCTCGGCGCCGTAGTCTAGTATATAAAGAGGAAGTAGTAGTACGGTTTGTCGTAGGTAGTGTTAATACTATCGCTAGAGTAACGTTGCAATGTTGGATTATAAGCTTGAATTTTTTCTATCTTATTATTAGCGTGCGGGACTTGAGTCTGGGGTATGGTGAAGAGTTGGGGCTATCTACGGTAATATGTTATCCAAATGGACGCCTATGTCAAGGGAATGTTGCATGGAATGTGAGCCTGGTTATATCTCAGATGACTTCGGTGTCCTGTCTTAGAGGTCTGGCGGAAATGAACATTAAGCTTAACTTTCTCAGCTTGTCAAAAGACATGTCAATGTTGCAATGATGCGCTTTGGCCCTTGCTAACCCCCCTTTAAGAGCTTGCATGGTCTTGTTAAAAATCTACCTTCTCATTCGTGAACTCTGAACCCCTAACCCCGAAAAGGAAGCTGTTCATGTCAGGGACTATCACACTACAGGACCTGCTGCAAGTCAATTGTTTCTAGAGAAAGATAATAAAACTTGTTCTTATCGCTCCTGTGATGTAGCTGACAGTGGTACAAGTTAAACAAAATTACAGTGTGATACTTACACGTTCAATGCTCTTGGTTGGGGCTGTGGCGTATGTCTTAGATATACTATGTAGCGGGTGCAACCGTGGGATGGGATTCCTAGAGCCGGCCAGAGACTGAGTCCCTGAGACTCATTAGAAATCCAAGCACAGTAGTTCAGCCCTAGCTCGTTTCCGACTGGGGTTTCTGCCTGCATATTGTATAGGATATTGTATAGGATAAATTCCCCTTCGACAGGTACTGATACCATGTTCCTCCGAGAAACGGTCCGTAGATAAACTCTTGTCGATCTCATCGTCTACTATCTCCTCGCGCGATTAGAGTAGACCGCGTGCATTCGGCGGCTCTATCACCTGCTTGAACTGGTGCAGTCGTTGGTTGTAGTGTAATTTCCGTAGGTCAACTTAGTGTCAACCCACCAATACCGGCTGGATGACGCGTGCGGTAGTTCCGATATTTTTGGGGTGACCTTTAAGGCAACTGGTGTCTAAGTAAAGATCCTAGCATACAACAGAGGCGTGTCATGGGCTTGGTTGCACGAGTTTAGTTGCCATCTCATGGCAAGTCGATGACTGTAGGCTTGTAACGTTCGGACGGTCATCTAGGCATCGGCGGCGGGTAGACGGATCTTAAGGAATGTGAAATAATAACAGGTATATATACAGGTATGTGCGTCCCTTCAACTCATCTAATACCCTTTCCCATACCAGTCTTCTTCTGTTCGGTAGTTAGAGCCTCAAGTCAAGCCACATATCAAACATGGTATCTTCCACGCTGACTCTGGCATCCTTGGCCAGCATTCTCCCCTCCGCCCTCGCGGGATTCAACGGCGGTTCTCAGAGCAATGTTGCTGTATATTGGGGTATAGTTATACGATAATATGAAACGCGGTTGATATGATGTTAACGCATCACGACAGGTCAAAACTCTTTCGGCCAAGCAAGCTCCCAGCAACGCTTAGCTGAATACTGTTCAAGTAAGCCCACCTCACTCTTCTATGCGGCCTTACCTTTGCTAACATGCGTTGCTATAGACGATGAGATCAATGTATGGAGTTCGGACATTCTTAAAGCGGAGATAAAATATACTTACTATGTTTTTCGTAGATCATCCCGATATCTTTCATGAACGGCATCAAGACCCCGATCACAAACTTTGCTAACGCTGGAGACAACTGCACGGCATATGCAGGTACCCAACTCTTAAACTGCCCGCAGCTGGAAGAGGACATCAAGACATGCCAGTCTCAGGGAAAGACTATCCTCCTGTCCATCGGGGGAGCGACATACACTGAAGGTGGTTTCTCAGACTCCTCGTCAGCTGAGAGCGCAGCCCAGTCTGTCTGGGATCTGTTCGGTTCAGATACGAGCAAGCCTAACAGACCATTCCTCTCTGCCGTCGTCGATGGTTTCGATTTCGACTTCGAATCTACGACTCAGAACTTCGTGCCATTCGCTTCCAAGCTGCGTTCGCTCATGGATGCTGATGGTAGCAAGACGTACTACCTCTCGGCGGCACCTCAATGCCCGTACCCGGACGTCGCGATGAACGACATGCTGAATGGCGCGATTTCGTTCGATTTCATTATGATCCAATTCTACAACAACTACTGCGGTGTTTCCTCCTTTACACCGGGATCCACGACCCAGAACAACTTCAACTTCCAAACTTGGGACGACTGGGCTAAGAACACTAGCAAAAACAAGGACGTGAAAGTCCTCATTGGTGTCCCAGCTAACACGGGAGCTGGTAGTGGTTACCAACCCGCCTCAGCATTGGACCCAATCATCCAGTACTCGAAGCAATTCTCGAGCTTCGGCGGTGTGATGATGTGGGATATGTCACAGCTTTACCAGAACCCGGGATTCCTCGACTCCGTCTATGCCTCGCTCTCCGGATCTGGGGCCGCCAAGGCTAAGGCAAAGGCTCCTACGACCTTGACCAAGGCTACACCCACCCCTGTCGTTTAAATAAGTTGTGAGTATACCCCCTGTGATTCTCGGTAAAACGAGCTGAGTCTAGTTTGCCTACCTAGGTTAGGTACTAACGTGAAACATAGGTGCCAAGAGTAAGATTCTCGCGATCTAAACGTGGATTAACCGCCGGTCATTGTGGATTAGGTACTAGGTAGTGTGACAGCATAGGGCTGGCTGCATCGTTCGTTAAATTTGCCTTTTTGGAAATTCGTGCATATAGTTATCGCTTCGTATGATGTATATAGTCTTATAGCTTGAAGCTTGTATATAGGTATACATGATATAAATGGTATATATTTGGTGGGCTAAACTCGCCAACTCACATTATATTATTTCGTTACCTATCTCTAGAATCTTTCTTTAACGTTCCTGAAAATTGGGTATTTCACGGGCTGATGGGTCGACGGCAGGGTTTATGTTTCTAGCCCCCAACATCTAAAACATCCTGCTGGTCTAATTGGGTGATTGATATGCGCTACGATGGCTGGCGTTACTATTGCGACGTTGAATATGCGCCTAGATATGTTAACTTAGGTATAATAGTCGCTGAGCCGCAGCCTGGCTTTCTCTATGTACTCGAACGAATACAAAATCAATCAACAAATTGAGGTTTTGACCCGTTTCTCGACTTCTCAACAAGGTCCCACATCGTCATAGAAACATAATAGATGAGCTTTATTTTAAATTATTTATAAATTAATCTAGCAAACTTATGGCTAACCAACAACATGGCGTCCCCCTGAATACGGCTTTAACGATCATCCCTTGGACCACGCCGACCAATACACAGAATACACAGAATACAGTCACAGCTACACTACAGATGCTCATAATAATTACTACTACATAACAGCAAATCCCGACATACCAACCAAATTTCAAGCATCCGAGATGAATTCTAAAGGAGAATATAACTATAACCACCTGCAGCCGTCGAAAGATGCCGTTGGAAATGGGGTACAAGTTCAAACTCGATTACTAGACAGCGCTGAACTACAAAATACTACCGACATAAAATTGCAAGATCCTTTGCTGGCAATAGCTTTCTTCGTCGGGGGAATACTAGCCGCAGTAGGCCACCACCTATATTACCAGAGGTTGAACGACACGCCTGTGACTTCTGAGAATCTGCAGGTATGGTCGATTAGAATCGGGACGGGACTCGCCCTTCTCACCAGATGCGGGCTAGTCGCAGCAATAGGGATTGCTGCTGTCCAACAGACCTGGTTATCATTGAGGAAAAGAGCTATGTCGATTGGTGGTATTGATAGCATGTTCGGTATCATGGGAAACCCATGGTCGTTCTTCAACAGAGACTTTCTGATGCATGCAAAACGACTTGCCGTTCTTGCTGCTATCGCATGGTGAGCTCATAACCCTTCATCACGACTCAGCTTTATAATAGAAGTACTTAGGTATCTAACTGCTTATTTCTTATCCATCATAGGTTGCTTCCCATCATCACGATTGTGACGCCGGCAACTCTGTCTGTCGAGTCGCGCATGACCCACGATAGTGTTGCAACCAAGGTTCCATCTTACAACTTCTCTAATATTGATGGTTGGGGAACATATGGGGGCGTTGGATATATTTCTGGGGTAGCGCCTGAAATCGCACGCTTGTTTACGAGGACTTATATATCGAATAGTCCCATACCTCAGACACCCCCCTTCGCCAATGCATCCTACGACTTCAATTTCTGGGCCCCATCTTATAAATGCTCGAACGCCAGCGAGATTATTAGGACGAGGAATAATCGTACTTGGGACCTTACTTATTATAATTATACGAATTTCGAAGAGGCTTTCAATGCGGAAATAGTCAACCCGGTATCTACGGGGAATTTTTCTAGCGGCACGCTCCCGTTAATCTACAGAAGCACTGCTCCTAGTAGGATGAATAATATGATCCTCATCGGCGCCAACGGTCGAAACGAGCGCTGGGGCAATACCGATCATAACTATCTGGTCTGCCAACTTTACAACACCTCATATAGTGTAACCGTGCGCTTCGACAACGGAGTTCAGTCTATACATGAGAAATCCATTACGAATGTAAATTCCCAAGAGTGGGATAGTGAGCGTGGACGTTTATCTATGATATTGGCTAACGGCCTCTGTGCTCCTGATCCTGCTGCAAATAACGCTACGGTTTGTCCGACCTATTATATGGTACAATATCTCTTCACACGCTTCCTAACTGGCCAGGTACGGATTAATGTGGGAGGGGAAATAATATTTCAGGCGGATAGTTTCGAGAGCAATATCGTCGAGGCTGGAGAAACCCCTTTTTTCCAGTCGGGGTTGAGGGACTGCCCCGAAATCTGGAATTCTACAGGCTACCAGAGTGCTTCCGGCGGCCCCCTCGCATTCCAGTCGCTCAACAGATGTCCAGGAGGAACACTCGCAACAGCGATCGAAAGCCTCTCTAGAAACTTTACGTACAGCCTCCTGACTTACAGCAACTGGCGAAATTTTACGACCGAGGTACCGATAACCATATCAATGCCGAGGAACTTCTTTTATTATAATAGTGTCACTCTCCTGGCTACGTATTCATCCGCCATCGTGGCCACGCTGCTCTGTATATGCGTGGGGTTCGCCGCATTGCTAAGCAACGGCTATACTAGTAGCACGGCCTTCTCCGCGGTGCTTCTGACGACTAGAAACCCTGATCTCGATAGGTTATCCACAGATAATACTCTTGGAGCAAAGCCTCTACCGCATTCTATTCGCGATACCAAGCTTCGTTTCGGTATCTTGAGAGCCGAGGGATCGGAATCACAGGCTGGTTTTGGCCTAGATGGTAATGTAACGCCGCTAGAGAATATGGCATCGGTAGTATTCCGAAAGAAAGAAGCTGAGAGAACTGTTGATTAGAGGATAGGTATATTGGGGAAAATACTTAACTTCCTAAAAGTAGTAATGAGAGACAAAGGCTGAATCAGCCCCATTGATTAAAATCCCGTTCAAATTGCTTCTTTTTCGGATATAAGCACCGTGTAATATATTATTATTTAACTGTGTCTCTCAATGACGCAAGGGAAAACCATCACGTGATGTGGGGGGTATGACATAGACAAGCACGATATATATATTAGGAGGTAGGTTAGGTTATAGCTTAAGCATTTTAATAGATATAAGACCGTATACATGCTCCCCTAGCTAGTTCTAACTAGGCTGCCTAATTGCCTAATTACCTAAATCAAAGCAATGTCTTCTCTTCACCACGTTCTCCTACTCGGCGGTAGCGGCAAGGTTGCTCAGCTACTAACACCCTTACTCCTCCAGCGATCATGGAACGTCACTAGTATTATCCACGACGCCGCGCGGGTCGCGAGTCTGGAGAAGCTCGGACAAGACCAGAACGGGAACCTGAACGTTTTGGTCCGTAGCTTGGAGGAAGTGACGAGCGAGGCTCAGGCTAAGAGCATCATAGATGAAGTGAAGCCAGACTATGTGGTGTGGAGTGCTGGTGCCGCGGGCAAAGGGGGGCCAGAGAGGGTATTAAACTACTTAACTTCAAGTCTCTATATTGCCGTTGCTAACTCTTCATTAGACATTCAAGATCGACCGCGATGCTGCAATTCACTTCATCCGCGCATCAGCCGCCACAGCATCAATCACCAAGTTCGTCATGATTTCGTACCTTGGGTCCCGGTTAAAGAAGGCACCATGGTGGCCTGAAGAGGTCTGGCAGGAGAGTCTCGAAAAGAATAATGGCGCTTTGAAAACATACTATCAAGCTAAGATAGCAGCCGATCAGGTATTATACGAGGAAGGGAAGAAGAGAAAAGACTTCGCTGCGATCAATCTTCGCCCAGGCATATTAACATCAGACCCGGCGGGTAAGGTCAAGCTTGGGAAGCTCCCCGTCATAGGCACTGCAAGCCGCGCGTCTGTCGCGCAGCTAACTGCGCTACTGCTTGATGCCCCTAACGTTAAGAGTGGCTGGCTTGATCTGATTGACGGTGACGAGGATCCAGAGGTTGTTGTCAAGAAGTGTATCGAGGAGGGAGTAGACGCTGCGGAAGGCGAGCCATTTTACTGAAGAGTAGCAGTTCATACTTAGTAGGGCTCTGAACTTCGCAGTATGTACTAGAAGGTCATTAGGGATGGTGGTGAGGAGCCAGAAAAGTGTGCAAATCAAGAATGATTTTACGGCTAACGACTATAAAAAGACTACGTAGTTCAGGGGGCCGAATGTATACTATTGAAAAATGCGAAAAATGTAATAATAGCGTAATCAGTCGCAGTACCCAGCCTGTTGGTCTGGTGAGGTTTATACCATCACGAGGAATTACAGTTTAATTACTACCTACTACCATGACTTATAAACCTATGACAATGAGATGCCATGCCAGCTATATTTGACCTTACTTCCAAACTGCAACATATCCGCACCAGGCGGCTTTATTTATGCGCTGCACATTCTTTCCTCCAAGCGACGGTAAGGACAGCGCCAAGCATGACAACATTCAGCGTCGTGAGACCCGCAAGGAAATGTATCTCGGAAACCATGATAATAGTAGAAATAGTTTCTGTGATGAGATTTAACGGAAATCTTACCTTTGTTCCTATTTCGTATCCTACAGTAGCTTCCGAGTCCTTAATTATTTGTTACGGTACGACGCGAATCCAAATTCCCCGAAAAATACTCCTGATCTTGACATGTCTCTCTTGTGATATGTAGTAGCGGCGGGCTTAAATATAAGGAATCCTAGCGCGAAGAAAAGGGATTACCATAGCCAACCTGAGAGGGCCTCTTAAAGAGGAACTAGAAACAATGCATTCTTTATCACCTCAAATAAAGCCTCCTTTATAGTGGAGTTGGGGCTATTATAAGTAACACTTAGCAATGTATTATTATAATATTTACGACAATAGGAAAATAACAATCAGTTGTCTCATAGCAAGAGTAGGTACCTACCTGTTAAAGAGTCCTGTGAGTTTATTCGGGCGTTTGAGAACGTGACCGATATCATACGGAATTCGAAGTCTACGTGATGCGAAGCAAGGTGTCAATAATATACAGCATATTATATTTGCTTAAGTTGAACAAACTCCTTATTCAGGTGGGCACCCAATCTAGGAGCAATATGCTAACATGTCAAGCTGGTAGGACGGTACGAGCAATAAAGAAGTAAAATGCTAGCATTTATCACATGAAGCAGAACTTATTGGAGAAATCATAGGAACATTCAAACGAACAGTGATAAAAAAAATTATTTTATTTTTACGCGAAGAGCTATAAGCCTATCTGCCCGAAACCATGGCTAACCTCTCTTTACCAAATAAACAGGTAATTTGGGATGATGTTAAAATAGACCTATATAAAGTCCATAACTTAAGCGGTGAAGGATCGTGCGCTCTTACCGGCGTCTCTCATTTCGAGACCTACCGGGGTACCACAAGTCAAAGACTCATCGTGGACTTGAATAACATCCCAATCGTTAAGCTCAACTTCATTATGCTGAGTACCGAGACCCGCACCGATTGAGCACTCGCAAATCAGTTTCGTGCCGTCCATGCGGCAAGGGTTGCATGAACCACCGAACCCGCCATTTGATACATGGTTTAGCGAACCCAAGTAGTTAGCGAGGCATAAGTTGAGGTCAAGTTGGAAATCCGCGCGAGATCCATATCCGGGCTGGACGCAATTGGCATGGAGGACATGCCCTTCCGTCAAGTGGATATCAGTACAATCCGACTTGCCGAGGGTGGTCTTATAGATGTCGGCTACTTCAAAGGCCGAGACGATGGTGAGGATAGGCAGAATTGCCAGAGTGGAGGCGAAACTTGTCTTCATGATTGCCACGATGATATTCGTTATTGGTTGCTGGGGGAAGTTTTAGTTATTGGTGTTGTTGTATGGGGGTTAACATCCTACAAGATATGCTGGCCGGAGTGGGAGACGAGGATTTTATATCAACGGTATTGCGAGGACCTTAGATGAATCGTGAGTGGCCATGCTTCCTTTTGACTAAGAGTCAAAGAGTGAATCGAACTTTGCCATTGTAATCCATTTGACAATAACAGAGCGACCTCGTGGTCAATGAGTTCAGACAGATTCATTGTCTAGTGTTGTCGAATATCCCTTTCACTGTACCCGGAGTGGCCGATGTTACTAACAAATACAATCAGAAATAAACATATTGTTAAAAGTCTAACAAGCGCTTGCCATGACTTTCCGACTATCGCCTCTGGAAGACCGAGACAACCGCAGCTGCATCGCTTGCATGGCGACACATGTTGACTTGGGCATTGAATATGCCGAAAGGGAATTCCAAGTATTTTGAGCTAGTCAAAATTGTAGAGAATTGTCTTCAACCCTTGTTCTGTTCCGTTGTTGTCGCATCCAATGCGGTTCGTTTAGGTAGTGTTTTCGGCTCATGGCCTAAGACAAGTCGGTCGAATAAAAACCACGACGTAACCAGCAAAATGGGCATAGCAACCATCAGCTGGGTATATTTTCTAGCAGCTCGCTTGTATTCGGGACTCGAGGGATTCACTCGGCTCGGTGTTGGTAAGATAGGTCTCGGCGGGAGTTGCGCTCCTTGCGCTCCTTGCGCAGCTGGTTGAGGGCCGGCAACGCGCCTGGGACTGGGAGTCGTCGCCATGTTGGAGAATCGGGGTATAGTAATAGCAAAAAAGAAGACCGATTTGGTTGGCGTTCTCTGTCTTTGTTAACTTAAGAGGGAACTTTTCTTGTAAATGTCGAGTACTAAAAACAACTAAGAAGGCCCCACTAGAATAGCGTCAAAAAGGATACATTTGGATTTACATACTACCTACCTATCATGGCCACGTGATGATACAGGGGATAACGAAATATCACTTTATCTCATAACTAAGACTTAGGTACAATATGTCTTTTTACTTCTTAACACAGCATATAACATTTCTATATCATTGATCACTAGTAAAATAGAAGATAGATAAAGATTTCCCATGCGCTTATTCTGCCATATCTTCTGACCCCCTTTGAAGGTACTTTTGAAGGCATTCTTCTAATTTAGCTACGACCATCAGGTAACCCTTGCTTACAAGTTCCACCAGCCAAGCAACGGTTTGCAACTGAGTCGTCCTCCGCAAACGTCAACCACGCCCTATTCGTACATATATCAGTATGGTGGAATATGCGACGACTTTATTCTAGTAACTTACGACACCGGCAAAGCTGGTGGAGGCGCGAAAGGCCCTTGGTACCAACAGCAATACCAACCAAGAGCTGGTAAAGTCTCATTGGTGTATGTAGGGTCGATGTCTGAGCATAACTCTGCCGACAAGAACTTCCACTGGAGACAAAGGTCGGTCTCGGGGGGGTCTGCCTGAGGTGTAGGAGTCGAAGTCGCGAATGCGATGATAGCAGCAAGAGTTGCGATAGTAGGAACACGCATTTTGGAAGCCTTTGAGATGGATAGATATAGGCACGTCTAATTAACTAGGAGTGTTTGGTATGGTGTTAGGTGTGGTAAGACCATCGTATTTCGTCTTTCAATCGCAAATTTGTCGAGGCTTTATATACATGAGTATATACGAGCTTCTAGCCATAACATGTTATCAGCTTCCTATTAATCGCAAGCCAAGACCGGCTCGGTAAGTAGCAGCGCTTGTGGAGTGGTGCTATCTTCTTCTATAACATCTCACCAAAACCTCGTATTTGGACACTGAATGCAACTCGACCCTTGCCATCGTCCGGCTTCCCATACGTTTTCACCACAATTCGGGGAACCTAACCGCCGAAACGAACCGATAGCTCCATGCTAAATTCTACGGCAATAGATATCATTGGAGTGGTAAAGTTATCCAGGCTCCAAAGGAAGCTTAAGCTTAAGGGGGTTTGATATCTTAATCAGGAAGCTACAATTCCGGATAAATTTATACGAACATGTTTATCTCCTCGAATTCATATACATCGCCTTATCAAGTTAAGTACGTCGAAATCCCAAATACTAGGCTTCGTACACAATCTCCCATCTGCCCGTTCATGCCATCGATCACTCCCTACGGCTATCTTAGCGTAGAAGATGTCCTCAAGGTCGTACTTCTGTTTGATAACTAAGAGCTTTTCATAATGAGCACCGTAAAATGTAGTTTTAAAGTCAGGCTCCTGGAAGTCAGCTTCGCCAAGATAGTTGCCCCCATTAGGGTTAAGAGCCTTTAGTTCCGGCAAGAGCTTGTACGTTATTTGATCTTGCCCTGCCTTGGTCGCTGTCCAGTCGGTGTAGTTGATCGGCGTGCCCACGACAGCGCTGAAAAGAGTCTTACGAAAGTAAGGGTTGGCAGCAACCTCGCTGGGTGATAAAACGGTATTGGTGACATTGAAAGAGACCCCGGACATGAGTGCTTGGGAGCTGATAGTGCGTACAGCATTTACCAAAGCATCAGTGCTATCCTGATCCCGCACGAGCTCGCGGGGCATCAGACGACCACCTAAAGTAAAATCCGATACGTTCCACATAGAGGGTATGGGTTTGTAACTTGCGAAGAAACCAGGATAACCGGCGGAGGAATATTGATACGGAGGCCCAAGTTGATCCATTTTCACCCTCGTAGGTTGAAGATACGCGTCCAATTCCTCGGCGTGTAAGCCTGCGACCATTGCCGGTATGATCATGAATCCAAAAGGAGCGACGACCCATACGACCCAAGCGCCAGCGTCGACAAGGCTGGGTAATGACTGAAAAAATATTCCTATTGACGAGTCAATGGCACCTGTGTTATTACCATCGTTGAAGACATTCATATATGCGGCCGAAAAGAAGGTGTCCGGATGTGCCTTGACGGTCATGGAAACTACAATACCGTAAGTGCTTCCACCACCGCCACGTAAAGCCCAGAAAATATCTGTATTCTCGACTGGGCTGGCAATAACAAGGTCTCCAGATGCGGTCACAACTTCCCAAGACAACACTTGATCCGCAGCGAGGCCATATTTACCTAGACAATAAAATGGAGATGCCATCGCCTTGTGTATAGCATCCAGCCAGACCAACGCTTGGACAGTTGCCACCGACCAGTATTGCGAATAACGAGGCGAAAATTATGGCGCATAACAAAGCGAACAGCAGCCTGTAAATCAGAAGCAGATATAGCATTAATTGTATATTCGGCATAATATCCAAGGTTGCATGGAGAATCCGGGTCCAGAAAGGGGTTGCAACTATTATTGGTAAATCGATAGGCCATGGGCGATGACGGCGAGACTAGGTGTGTTTCGGGGAAGAACCACGCATCGCGTAGCGCATCACACTTCTCTTGGTCATGTGTATCAATCCCACTCAGAGACGAGCGGTGACAATGAGCCGCAAGAGGTGTATTAGCAATTAGCTTCCCCTGAACTGTCTGATTTAATCCATTCCAATCATCCTCACTTGGCCATGAATGATCACCGGGGATAGACCGATATTGATCAACGTCACCGTAGTTGCTGTTATGAACTCCAACGGCAACTATAAGGACAGTCAGGGAGACGATACCAATAAACCAACGGGCGGTCATGATAGGTAGTATAGGAAGAGTTGCAAAGAGACAGGGGTAATTCAGTTAGCTGGAACACCAATAAGATACTAAATATAGCTCTTTAACAGCTCTGATGACTTATGTTAAAGTAGGCTTGAAGAGATGGGAGCATTAGGGGAGTAGAATCGGACTTCACTTCGTTTAAGAGTCAGTTTTAAGTATTTGATATTAGATACATTAGCCACTAATTGTATGTTTGACCATCTCGGCCGAAGACTATAATATTTTGCAAGGATAGCACGTACGATGTAAAGGTCTTAACTAGATAGAGTTAATAATGCGGCGACACCAACACACCAAGGATGATTGATTGACATGGTGTACAGGTATCAAAGCTAGGATCCACACTATGTATAGTGTAAAAGCCGATTTATATTGGGATGACTGGTAGTTAGACGTAAATACAGAACAGTCATAAGCCAGAGAAGTATTCAAATTACCTACCTGTAGATAATAAGAAGCAATAAAATAGAGCTGTTATTCAACTTCAATATCCCCGACGCTTTTAGGAAGATTCTGTATCTTGCCATAATAGTTAGTTACCTGAGTGTGTAAGATACTCACTGGGTACCTAGGTTTCTAGTGGTCGTTCCTACTCATGGCCGTAAATGTCCTATATAGCCTACCTGTCTCGCACGTCTATAAGTTGCGATGAGATATACTTCTTCATTTTCATGATACTCAAAGTCCATCCGTCTACTCTAGTTGTTGTTGAACGTCAGGAATTTAGTTTCGAAATAGTGCGAACCCTTGTAGATATTTCCACATGGCTGCATTACATGGCTTGCGTGGCGCGCCTTCGATAGGTACCTATAGTTATTCGTTCAAGGCTATATTATTGGCAGGGGCCTTCGGTCATGGCGGGGTATAGGGCTGGGATTCAGGGGTATACTGGTGGCATTTCCGGACAACGGGTTGACCCCATCTTCGTCTCTTGTCACCAACGAAAGGTATCGATATCCATACTCTTAAAATTCGTCTAAGCTAATAGATAGCGGCAACTAGTTTCAAGCCACGACTCAATCTGAAGTCGACACTACTCGGGTTACCTGATATGGAAATAGCGAGATGATCCTCAATTAAGAACGAAGACGACTAGGGTTATGATTATGTACACGTAAAAGAGAGGCCATTCCAAATTCAAGAGGTCTTAGTAGCACTGTCCAATATGGACAGTTCTAAATCATTCGTCGAGTCACTTACACGCATAGGCGTAGTGTTCATCGTCACTGGGATATTTATTTATAGTGCTTTTAGAACCCTGTATCGAAGGTTTCCATATCCACTTCCACCGTCTCCTCCAGCGGAGCCCATCCTCGGGCATTTCAGGAGGCTACCAACAGAAAATGCCCACTTTAAGCATATGGAATATGCTAAGCAGTATGGTGAGTAGGTTACTCAACTGTCATGCTGTAGCCACTAAATGGATACTAGACTCCGATATCATCTATTTCAATGTGTTGGGTAACCATATGGTCGTCCTTAACACCCAGAAGGCTGCGAATGAGCTTTTGGATAAGCGCGGGGCCAATTATCTAGACAGACCTAGATTTGTCCTGTTTGATGTTATGGGATGGGGTTTGACCTTAACTTTTCTTCCATACGGACCGAGATTTCGTTTGCATCGTTCAGTCTTACAAACGGGATTCACCAAGACGGCGATCACAAATTACAGACCAATTCAGGAAGATGAAGCGAGGCAAGCAGTTTCAAGAATTCTTAAACACCCGGAGGCTTGGGACTTTTCACTTCGGCGGTATGTAATGGTGATATTGAAGTGTCGTGTTCTACAGTTAACATAGAGTGAAGCTTTGCTTCTGCGATAGTTCTTCGTATTGGATTTGGTGTTACTGTTAGATCAGATGACGACCCTTATATCAAAATCGCGATAGATGCTAATATGGCTACCGGAGGAGGAGGAAACCCGGGAACTGCCTTAGTTGACTATCTACCATCATGTATGCCCCCCCCCCCCCCCCAAAAAAAGTGAGAAGACACCACGGAAGTGCAACTGACAAGTCGTAAAGTTCGACACATCCCACAATTTCTTAACTTTTCAAGAAGCCTACAGCACGCGCGAAAATGGGGATGGGCTATTCAAAATTTACACAATATTCCGTTTTCAGCCATCAAAAAAGAGTTTGTAGGTCTTCGTGCCATGTTGCTTCCTGTGGCTTCCTGTGTCACCGCTAACACAAGCAAGGATGAGGGGACGGCCAACCCATCATTCGCATATTCACTCCTCACTAAGCACAAAGAAAATGAGGAGAAAGGTATTGCTAATGAGCTTACACTTCGAGACATCCAGGGTGCATCTGGCGCCGTTTTTATCGCGGGTTCTAATACGGTTAGTTTCCATTCTCTATCCAGGTACCCATCAAGGAAAGATCGTAATAACTCACAATATTTCTTAGACCTTCGCTACGACGACTATTGCCATCCTGAATATGATGCTGAATCCTGAAGTTTTTCAAAAAGCGAGAGCCGAGATTGATAGGGTAGTTGGAACAGAAAGACTCCCTACGTTCCAAGACAGGCCAAATTTACGTTACATTGACTATTTAGTCGAGGAGGTCTCAAGATGGAGACCCCTATCACCCATTGGAATACCTCATAGGTCCCTAGAAGATGATATTTACAATGGAATGTTTATCCCCAAAGGGTATGTGCTTAGTCTAGAAGCCGGTGTAGAGTGTTCGCTAATTAACTTCCTAGGACTGTGGTTTATTACAATACATTCGCTATGTCTAGAGACTCCAGCGTGTATAAGGACCCCGAGAAGTTCAACCCGGATAGATATATCCCAAAGGAAGAAGGCGGGGATGGCGAGCCTCTACTGGTTGGCCCGTTTGGCTTCGGTCGCAGGCGAGTTAAATATACCTGATCGTATTACTGCGGGTGTATCTCTAATAAGTAACATAGAGTATGCGTTGGGCGTCATTTAGCACAAGCATCGGTGTGGATAATTATGGCAACTCTCATCGCCACAACTGACATATCGAAACCTGTTGGGCCAGATGGAGAGGCTATTGAACAAACTATCCAATTCAGCACTGGATTATCGAGCCATCCTGGCAAGCTCGATGTAGTTTTTAGACCCAGATCTGAGAAGGCCCAAAGACTTCTTGCTGAGACAGTTAAGGATGCTCAGTAACTTAAGGACTTGATGGATAACTTTTACAGCTCATTCTATGATATTGAATCATTTTGGTATGATCGTACGGGGTTTCTGCCTGGATTGCCGCGGATAACCACAGTTTATTGCTCGTCATTTCTGACTTTATCCCTTCAGCTCAATAAGCTCGCTGAGCCTTTTAGCTATACTCTCTGACCAACCTGGGTCGTTGATATCAGTATCAAGCTCATTGACCGATATCCCACTCCCTTCAAGCCTATTCTTGATAGCCGTAAATAACGCCTCGTCAGATGTCTTGTCGTAAAAGGCCTGTCCTTGTACATCAAGAGCGCTGACACCCCTCAAAGGGAGCCATACTTCTGTAAATTCAGACCCAATGCAGTTTTCCCTAAGCCTCTGCGCTACTCTCTTTCCCAATTCTTCACACTCTTTCTCTGTTGTTCGCACCAAGGTTGACCAAGGAGTGTGCTCGATGAGATTTCTCTCCCGAAATTCTTTTGGCACAGTGTCACTCGGTCCGAAGTCTACCATATCCAGAGCACCGACGCTGACTATTTGAGGCAAGCCTGCCTTGGCAGCAGTCATCAATCTGCTATTGCCGGCGCTAAATACGCCACCAGCCAATTCATCAGCCAGCTCGGTGGTAGTCAGATTTATCAGATTTAAGATGCCGTGGAGTTGACCTTCTTTAACTAATCTTTCCATCGACCGCCCGCCAGACCCCGTAGCATGGAACACATAGACTTCTAACCCGTAAGATTCCAGCCTCTTGCGTGCAGCATTTGCCCCTTTTGTGGTGACTCCAAACATCGTGATTCCGATTCCCTTCTTGGTAGTCGCGATATTATTATGACCTTTATTAGTTCTCTTAGCATATGCCCACGATTGCCGCTGCAGCGTTGTCCACTGCCGCCTTCAATACCTCATTCAGACCTGCAATATCAACCACACTGTACATCATAGTAATATCAGTCTCTTCGATATAAAAGCTTACATCACTAGAGGCGACAGTGGATACGATCAACTTTGGGAATGTCACAGGAAGCTCTCGCATGACGGCAGAAGAGATGCTAGTCCTTCCAGAACTGCCAAGGTTAATTATAACCTGGATCTCTTTGCGGTTTTTGAGCTGCTTGACTATTTTAATGGCTCCTTTAATCATAAATTTGATGAGTTCACACTGAGGAAGTTATAAGAGAGCGCCGTCTCCTCGTTGGAACCCGCTAGCCTTTAATACTTCATGTTGCTTGATGGTTATAGCGTCATGTTCCACGACGAATCGGCCCGCATCAATTAGAATGACAACTAGCGAAGGATCATTCTCAAGAATTTGGGATCTGAGATAAAGAAATTCCTCGAGCTTAGTATCAAGTGTGCCAATTACGGCGATAGAAGTTTTCGATGGAGGCATGAAGCATCTCTTGAGTTTCGAAGTAGTAAAAAGTGAAGAATGATGCGAGAAAACACCATCTTGCCAAAGATACCTGAAGTAACACTAAGCGGGGAAGACGTCGAATAAACTGATTATATTGCGTTGCTCTGGCGAATCTGAGCTGAGTATTACGTATAGTACTCGATGTTCGCACAACTGATACCCCTTTAACCCCTTTAACTCCATTTAACCCCTCCTTGTCCTCCTCTCCCTGTGAGAGGTTAAGACGGGAACTGAGGCCACACAACTTATACAAGTGACGCCCAAAACTGTACCCGTTACCCTTGATCATGGTATTATATTCGCGCCCGGAAATTCTCCAACGCCTACGGGAAGTTATCTCTTTTCATCGTCCAATTGTCGGCGCTGGGGCTGGCATTGGCCTTTCCGCCAAATTTCTTGAGGCTGGCAGTGCCGACCTTATCATTGTTTACAACTCAGGCCGCTACCGAATGGCCGGTCTAGGCTCCCATGCAGGCCTGCTGCCATATGGCGATGCGAACGCCATTGTTGTCGACACGGCCCGGGAAATTCTGCCCATTGTTTGACATACGCCTGTCTTCGCTGGTGTCTGCGGAACCGATCCATTCCGAGACATGCGGAAGTTTCTAAAGCAAATAAAGGAGTTAGGATTCAGCGGCATTCAGAACTTTCCTACCGTCGGACTCATAGATGGAAACTTCAGGGCCAACCTAGAGGAGACCGGCATGGGCTACGAACTCGAGATCGAGATGATACGAATTGCTTCCGAGATGGGCCTCGTCACCTCGCCCTACATATTCAATGTTGAGGAGGCAGTTAGCATGGCAAAGGCCAGTGCTGATATCATAGTCGCGCACATGGGCCTAACAACAAGTAAGGGGATCGGAGCAAAGACAGGGAAGACTCTAGAGAAGAGCGTCAAGTTAACCCAAGATATAGAGACGCAGTAATAAATGTAAGGGAAGATATAATCGTTTTATGTCACGGCGGCCCAATCGTGGAGTTTAAAGACGCGGAGTATGTCCTTTCCCGAACGAAGGGGGTGCATAGATTTTATGGTGCGAGCAGCATGGAACGTATCCCGGTAGAGGTCGCAATTACGAACAACACGAAGAAGTTAAAGGAAATCCATATAGCGGACTGACTTTGCAAATATCAATTTCAATGCATCAGCCCTGAACGTGCCCAGAATCTGTGAATTAACCACTCTTCATATAATCAATGCCGGCCTGGAAGATCTTTATAAGAATTTCCGTTTCCTCTATCGTGTTCGGCACATAGAGCATCGTAAAGCCTATGTGGATCCAGTCTGTGCCGCTCAAGCGGTGACGTTCCCCCCAACCTTTTGATATGACTTCCTCCGCATCTATGAATGACAAGGTGACATGGCCGGACAGATCCGTGCTGTGGATGTGACAGATCTCCCGAGAAGACGGACCGGCCAGGGGTGAAAGCGGGACCGAGCTCTTCATGAACAGCGCCTGGCCGTGTTTCTCGAGCACTGACGTCTTCCATTCAGTATCCGTGTTGATTTCACCCAACTTATCGAAAGCCTCCAGATACGCCTTGACAGGTGATTGTTAGTAGGGCCTTTCTTTTATTACGAAATTACATAGCGTAGAATATCGCTTAGTAGATATACCTGTTTGACTGCCGGATCCTGAGGGTGATCGGCGTTCCTCTCACGCTGAGGGAACACATAGGGTTTCGCCCTAGCTCGGGGACCCGACCGTATCGGAAGACTTTCTTTTAGAAAAGATCTCTGAGCATTAGCTTTCTGCTGCTCTGTGGCCTTCTTCCATCCGGTGGCTCGCTTCTCAGGGGTTTCATAGAAGCCAGGCTTGATCGTCTCGTCGGCACCAAACGCCTTAGTCTTTCCGGTAGCAGCCTGAGACATATATCCGGTCCAGTTACGTGATGTACCACCTTGGCCCATTGCCTTCCATTGCCGATAGTCTTCCACCAAGCCCGTATCCCCCTGTTTCGATGACAACGTCGAGCCCATTCTAATAGTTCATACGATTCGAAAGTTCAAGAACCTGCTGCTAAAAAGAGATACACGATGGAAAGATGCTCATATTATATTGAAGAATATTCACAGGTAAACCAGCGCGTCTTTGGTCGTGATTTTATACAATCCTTGAGACTGCATACCCAGGCAAATATCTGTATCTATTCGTCATTATGTTTTAAATCCGAGGCACTCCGAGGTAAATCCGACCAGCTCATACGAAGTCGGCCGAGTTACGATCATATAATCGGAACTGGGACATTAACAAGTCACCAACAAATCACTTATAGGCTACCTACTTAACCTAATGAATACAACACTTCGTGTGAAATAAACCAACTGCGTTAAAACGACCCGCTCTACGAGGGGGTTTTCTACCTAATCTAACATACCTTGAACAGATCAACCTTACTTGACCTTATAGTTAATGCTATTCTAATAATAGACATTCGGTAGATAGGGCTAACTATCAAAATCTCTCAACACCTTCATATATTCAACAGCCTCGTCAACAGCACCTTCTACTAATAATAGCACGTCATAAGACTCCTGGGGGGTTACTTCATACCCATCCATGGCACAACGCATAATGAGATGTTCCATACGGCTTTCGATTTCTGGATTTTGAACATCTCCAATGGATGTTACCTTGCGAGGCTTCCACTGGAATGAGTAATTTGTGCTCCCATCTTCCCATAGAACCTGAGTGCTATGATAATTTGTCGTTGGCACCGATCTTGCGCGCACTAGTGGTGTACCATCTGATCTTATGAAGGATTCAGTAGGATCATCAAACACGTCAACAGCGGGAAAGCTAGCGTCCTCGACCTCGACCTCAAAGTCAGTGCGTTCGGGTAAGACTATGCCTCTTTGTGGCTTTTTCTTATCCAATCCGAGTTTTTGAAATAGGTTTCGAAGAAAGCCTACTCGTTTTGACCCAGACCCTTTTGGCGGCGTCTCAGTCTTTGTTCGGATCAAAGTTTCTCGTACACTTATTTGGGGTTTAGGTCCGTTGTTGCTAGTCATTTTGTCTTTTAGGTAAAAAATAGTTCGGCTGAAATCTATACTCTTAATAATCAAAGTTAGAATGTTAAGAAATATGGTAGATACCCAGGTAGTGGCAGATGCATGCTACGATCAAATCAATACGACGAGCCGGATAGTGGCGCGTCCTTATATACTACATCAGTACAATCCCATAGTGCATTTATTTAACGTTGTTTCTATATAAACTTGCTGGCCCGCCTCGCCTGTAGCTGTTTGCCAACACTTTAGTTGTTACAGGTCACTGTCTTTGATGAAATGTCCCACAGTTTCAACAAAGAAACACAGTTATCTCTTGAAAGTCGGCAGAAGTATAGATTCCAATGCCCTAGGTAACGGGATTATCTATGCATTTTCATGACTGGGAATATCTTGCTACTATGCAAATCATAGACCGTAAGGTACTGAACAATGTTTTTGTGGCAAAGCAAACATAGTTTAAACACAATTTTAACAATATTAGAACATAACTAAACTATATGAAGATAAGCGGCGGTGGCAATTAAGACATTGATAATTCCTCTTTGATAGGATGCGAGCAAATAAGAACGTAATTGCTGAAGCACGAAGTACTATGAACTAGGTTAGGAGCTTTGAATTCTAAGCATCCTAATGGTCCGGGTCCATTCACTACCAAATGCTACCTACCTACCTAGGTAGGTACCTAGACAATTTATATCGGATACTACATAGGTAGGTATTTATTTTGTATTCCCAGTCGAGTTAGCCTTTTGTCCAATTAACTATAGTCGACCTGTATCTATGCGATTTCCCAACGGTCGTTATCTGCGGGACTCGACTTAAACCCTTTGTATACTTATCAAAGCCAGTTGAATAGGCAAAACTTGAAATCGGTGTCGTTGTTGGTATCAACGGGCTATTTTTGAATAGAAAATGTCGACAGAGTTCCACAAGGAGGATATGAAGTTTCCCCCTCAGCAGTCGTCATCAAGGCTGATGCAAGCTCGATGAATATTATGAGATCAACACCAAGGACGTTCATTGTGAGTTTAAAGCTTACTGGGATTGATGGCCCCAAATACTGATGGGAGAGTAAATGTTTCTCAGACTGGTTAAAAGCTGTAATCGGAAGATGGTTGACCATTCGTTGGATCCAAACCAGATTACTACACCTTGTAAGTTCAACCGAGACGGGACGTTTAGAGAAACCAAAAGCACACCCTTCTCTTATATCAATCCCTGGGGTGGGTATGAGTGTAAAAGAAATCTCGAAAGTCGTATCTTTCTCCCTCAAACCTATGATCATACATTGGGTACGTAACCTAGTAAATCTTGTCGGCTTATAGACAAAGAGGTTGTAAAGACAGCTCGGGCCGAAATTGACACATTACTGACCCGTGTATTGACACTATCAATTTACCCTTGCAAGCCAGGGCCTTCATCCCACGTAATTTGATGTTAACCCCGAATGCAACGGATTATTGGACCAATGGCTTGCCCATAACAAGAATGTCACTTTGCATAATACTACCTTACATACACTAACAATGCGGAACGGGATCCGCGTCTGGATGAATGCGCCAGTAACCAAAAGGCCGGGCTTCTCTTTTTTATCTATCTATCTAGAGCCTCAGTGTTGATAGAAAGGGTAGATTGCAACCGTTGGTAAACAAAAGGGACAGAAGATACGCACCAGCCTGTGCCGACAGAACATCATGGCTAACGATATGGTCGAGAAGAAAGATCTAGCTCAAGACGTAGAGATGGGCCCTAAGGAATCATCGTCTGCTGTGATGAGTGAAACTGGCGAGACTGAGGACCAGTTTCAAGCGCCTCGGTCGTCGTTCTGGACTAGGTTTTCTAACCACGGTGTCGAAATGCGCGGTGCCGAACCTGTACCAGTTGAGAAACGAACTGACACCCGCTATGTGAACGTATTGACCATCTTCGCTACGTCAGTGACGAGCTTGCTACCGTATGACTCTTCTGGCGTAACATAGATTTATATAATTCATTATTTTGAAGGACTACGAAGCTGAAATATGTAATTCTAGGATCGGTATCGGTTCAGCGACAACCCTCGGTTTTGGGATGACATTGCGCGACGCGGCGTTAATGATCGTGTTCCTCCAATCTCTATTCGCTGTCCCAGCCGCATACATTATTACCATTGCGCCGCTTACTGGAATGCGGCAGATGATCCAATCGCGGTATTGTTTTGGGTAAGCTCATCGAATCCAATGAGTTGCTATATGAGGTAGCCAGGAACGTCAAATGCTAAGCGTAAAGGCAAATAGAAAATACTGCAATGTTCTAACATCCGTTGTCGTAACCCTTATTGTTGGCGGCTTCGGTGTGACCGGCAGTATTAATGGTGCACAATGCCTCGCCGCCGTCCGGCCAGGTACATTACCTGTCGAGGCTGCGATCGCCATCATCATGGTCATATCGCTGGCCATTGGCTTTATGGGATATCGCGTAATGCATTTCTTTACTCGATGGGCCTGGATCCCGTCACTCATCGCTATCATTATCCTTGTCGGCGCCGCAGGTGACCAGCTCTGGCAGCAGACGCCGCTACCAACGCGTACTACTACCCAGGAGTACATGGGTATCGTGGCTTTTGCGGCTGGCAACATGATTACCTGGAGCAATGTTGTGGGTGACTACGCATGTTATATGCCACCGACCGCGCCGCGATTCCGTCTTGCTCTGTACTGTCTATTCGGCATCGCAGTGCCGTTCTCGCTTCTCATGGTCCTTGGCGCGGCGATCGGTGGCGCTGTCTTCACTATCCCTTCTTGGGAAGCTGCGTATAAGACCGGTGGAATCGGTGCTGTGATTGGGAGCATCCTGGTTACTCGACTGGGAGACTTTGGCCGATTCGTCCTTGTTGTCCTCGGTCTTTCTGTCCTCGGAACTTGCGGTCGCGACGTATATAGCGTCTCCTTCAACCTGACTGCTGTAGCGCCGATCCTTCGTCGAGTCCCTCGTATCGTGTTAGCTGTCGTTGCCACTGCAGCCATTACCGCAGTAGCGATCCCTGCTTCAAGATCGTTCGTCACGTCGGTGACGGCGTTCCTTAGCCTAATCGGTTATTACGCGGGGGCGTCAGTAACGTGCTTCTTGATTGAGTACCTGTGGTTCCGAAAAGGTGATCCTAGTAGCTTTGACCCAAAGATCTGGAACGACGGCCGTGCGTTGCCGTCAGGTCTAAGTGCGTTGGCGTCTGTCTTGATCGCCTGGGCGTTCATAATTCCATCTATGCAGGCGGATTGGTACACCGGACCTATTGCAAAGAAGACCGGAGATCTCGGGTTTGAATTTGCTGTCGTCGTAGCATTTCTAGCCTATCTCCTCATCAGATCGTTTGAGATTAAGATCCGAGGGCGACTTTGAGATTATGATTTATGATTCAGTGTAAAGATTTTGGTTTTCGGGATTCACTCAGACTGCTTGAATAATTATATTCTCTCAAGATCATTACTTTCAACATAATCTACAGTACTTCGGTCGGTATCGTGTGATCATTTATAACATACCCAAACTATTGTATCCAGGCCATTTGTAGATTTGCGATAAGTAGACATCTAGACTATATTAGACTTCAAGGATCTTTCTCTTGGTACGAACTGTACTTACCTGCGACTTGCCATCGTTTGCCAATAACCCGAAGAAGCATAACAATGTCCTTCAGCCATATGCCCGCAGTCGAATCTTCATGTTCAAGGATGAGCCACTCGCTTTCACTTGCTCCTGCGTATAAGCAGTGACATAAAAACGGACCGAGGTTCTTAAGTCCACCTCCTCCGGTCTGATTGATAGAGTCAAGTAGTTGGCACGCAAGTTGCCAAATACCCCTAGTAACATCAAAGATGCCTGCCATAGACTCTTTCTGTAACTCCGCTTCTTCAGAAGATCTACCATAATCCGTCGAATACGTCTCGTTGCACGCGTATATATCATATAGAATGAGGCGCGCAGAGAAACATAAAGCCAGGGGCACCACCGTAGAGTTGTCGAACAAAAGTGACTCCTGGGAAATGTCACTTAGATGGGATGATAAGGACGTGAGAATATGATGAAGCTGTCTTGCTTCTGATACCCGAAAACCAAGGGATATACGGCTACTATGGGGTTCGTCGCGGTGGCGCAATACACGACCGAGAACATGCGCTGCCTGGCACACATTGGCGAATGATCCTAAGCTCGTATTGTTTGAGAACGAAGTTGCAAAAATGGGTTCGTTAAACCCAACTTCGCCTTCAATCCACGGACCCTCTGGACACGGTAATAACTCTCCTGGACTTGGTTCGGGCGCTGAGAAAGGTAATCCGCTAATGCCCTGGTTAGTGATTCTAGACACGGATCAGCCAGATATTAATTAGTACAATAAGAATCAGAAGTAGGAATACCTGTCGAGGCAAAAGACCGCCCACCACGTCCTGCGTTCTTCCTCTCGCGATGTCCATGTAACTGCATCTTTGAACAGCTGGCTAGCGTTCTTCCGATCATGAAATCCCATCATAACACAAAGCCGAGCAGCATGTCCAACACGCAAGTAAGCTGCCGGATATATCGCATGGCCAAGTTCATAGGCGGATAGCAGGATGACAGATTGGAGGAGCTGAAGAGAGGGAAGACATGAATTTTCGACTTTAAGCAAAGTCTCTAAGGCCCTTCTGTAAGGTATATTCGCTCTAGCAGATACCTCTGCCGGCAATGGCCCCGATACCAACTTCATGCAAAGAAACAACAGTTGGGAGGGGCAATCAGGTACTAATTCGTTCTCGGCAATATGTCGTCGGGCACACTTCTTACTTAATATTGGCAACCACTGGTGGACAGTAGAGAAGTACTTCTCACAGATTGCATCTGCCTCTTGTGAAAGACTGCAATGGGGAGTTATGAAACCTCTTACTTGGCAAGGCTCCGATGCTAAAGGCTTGGTGCAAACCTCAGCATCCAGGAAGAATATAGCCGGAAAGGTATGTATGTCTTTATGTCCTAAGACAGCATCTTGTTCAGGGCTAAAACCTGGCTCTGTTGGTGTGTTAATCAATGTTTGATGATCTGCTCCTTTATTCGTGTCTTGAGAGCTAGTTGATGAATTGATAGCCGTGTTCTCGTATAAGTTCCGGACTCGTGGCGGATACTCGCATTGCTTTTCGAGTCTAAGGCACTATGAGACGATCTAAGTAAGTCTTCGCAATAAACAACTCTATCCCCTTTGCTAGACCGTACCAATGAGCAAGACGGCAGTTCTTTAGGGCATTTCCGTTTCAGTCGCCTATTAAGTATAAGCGACTATTTCTATGACAGGAAGAGGGCGATACCGTACCGACAAGTAACACAAGCAAACTGAGCTCTAAGCTCCATCTTGGTAAGGAGTAATGACCAATCACTTAGTATCATGGGCGAGTAGCTAACTGAAGTCCGATAATCCGCTCTTGTGATATAATAAGAGCGGACTTGCGGACGGTTGTTGTTTATAATCAGGGTGATAGGGCTGCTCCTCGAACTTCATATAGTTGAGTGTATGACTCATTAACAAGACTTCGGTCTCTTCCGTCCCTTCATTATATTATTTACTACAGTTGGTCGTATTGCGACACCTAGCAGCTTGGTTTAACCTATATCTCCTTCCCAGGAGTCACCCATTCACTTCCAATACATCGTATAAGTATACGGATTCTGAGCAGAAGTCCGCTCACGTGGGAAGCCCAATATAACATAAGTTCATAAGCTGGAGACTCCGCTCTGCTGCCGAGAGTCCGCTTTGTCCGCTTTGTCCGCTCACATGTTTATACCCCACATCGATGACTGCATATAGGATGCAGTAGCACAGGGCCAATTAATAGCTATCTGGATTATGAAGTCATTAGTAGGATGAAATAGGACGGCTCCAAAATCCAAAATATATCTTTTCATCTTTTTGTCCAAGTTTGAGGTTACGAACGACCTTGAACTCTTGCTAGAGGTCTTGTCCTATTTAGATTACCTCACAAGATAGAAAACATCTAGGTTAGACCATTGGTATAATCGACTAGAATTGAATCTGGCTTAAATCTGTATTTTTATGTTGATACTTACAATTAGTTTATGATACGCGGGGGCAAATTCTTACTGTGGTACGTAGGTAGTCTCTTGTCGTGGCACTTATATCATATCATCTTTGACCTTAGACGCATGATAATATCTACAATAAGATATGGGATCGACGTAGCATTACGAATAAACCTAGATGTGCGTAGATATTACCGAAATCGATCCTCCTACGTGACTGGATGGGAAAAGTCGCTACTACCTGAAGTCGATCGACCATAAGAATTTAAGGTGATGTATTTCCCAACCCAGCAAATATAAACAATATGGAAACACCTTATCTTATTAATTGAAACCTATGAAATTATCTTCTTAGGTTACGAGCTATGTCAAGGAGAGATACGCCGCCAAGGGAACGACGTCGAGTCCAATATAGGACGACAACGCCCGCGACGATGGGACTGCATAGTATCGTAATAAATCCACGCATAAGAACTTTGCCTTGGTGGTTACTCTTCGCGACAACCTCGGAATATCTTTCGTTTCCGAAGCTCACGCGAGAATATTTCGTCTGCCATCCCAGACTTGGAAGATGGACAGACATGAACTCTTCTAGGAACTTACGGATACGATAAGTCGGGCTTAGGACCGAGGCGCGCATCTCGACGTAATTCTGTAAAGCCAGGTCGTTGATAGCGTGGGCATCAGAAACGCGAATGGCCGAGTATTCTGCTAAGGCCAATCCTCTTTGAAAGGCTACGTCAACCGAGCCCGGGTTGTCTGGTTTGTTATTCTCGGCCGTGGCGTGCTTGTCTAGGATAGAAAAGAGGATACGGACATCCTCGAGCCCCGCATTCATTCCCTGACCATAGAATGGTACCATTGCGTGTGCTGCATCTCCTAAGATGACAACCGAGCCAGAGTAGTGGTAGGGCTGGCACTTAATGCTAATCAAAGGGAGATGCGGGTTCGTCTCGAATGAAAAGGTCAGTTCACCTGGTTCTATTAATGAAGTTACGCCTGGGAAATGTTGATCGAAGAACGCGGGTAGTTTGGACGAGTCACCCTCCAATTTCGCGAACTCAGAGCTTGGTAGGAAGAGAGTACAGGTAAAAGATCCATCCTATCATTTGTCAGTATTGCTGATTTGTGGGAAACAAATTTTCATACTTCACTAGGTATGGCGATGAACATGAATTGCTTCCCCGGCCAAATATGAAGATGATTTGGGGATATTCGGAATTTCGATTTTTGACCTTGAAGCTCATCTCCTTCCCTAGGCTTGATCTGAAACTCACACCATAGGGTATCGACATACTCCTGCTGGTAATTCATTCGTGCGAACTTCATAAGATGATACCGGACAGCTGAATGCGCTCCGTCAGCACCCATCATGAAGTCGAATGAAACTTCGATCTCTTCAGGTCGACCCGACGGCGAGTCTTGGCCGCGAACCTCGAACCATGCCTTGCGTCGCTTGAAATCCGCGCCAGTAAGTTTATGGTTGAAGAAGAATTTAACATTCGGCATTGCACCGAGAATATCCAGTAGTCGTCTATTGAGATCGGCTCTGTCGGCGGCAAATATTGTCTATATTGTCACGTTAGCCAGTTGAATCATTCAGTTCCCCTAATAGCGGAATGCTGTAGTACCCTTCCGTTGATATCATAATCCTGAGAGTCTTCAAATAGTTCACCAGACGGGCGCCTACCATGTATCATTCTGCCCCGCATAGGAATAGTTGCTGATGATACATGGTCGAGGAGATCTTGCTGGTCGGCATGTCGCATAGCATTAATGCCCCTTTCAGATAGAGCTAGATTAATAGACTTCGTAAAGTTTAATGGCGTTGTTGAAGGATCTCTTAAATCTATTTCACATCAGTATCAAATTCATAACGATAAGCTTCATAACCAGCTTATTAGGAAATAAATGGCTTCAGGAACTGATAAATTCACACGGAATATTGCTACCTACCGCCTCGAAGCTCGTATATCTCAACGTCGTGACCTCTCTTCGCCGCATACAGCGCGGCGAGTGACCCGACAGGACCGGCACCAACTACTACATATTTCTGACTCGACATATTGGAAAGATAGTGAGAGTATATATCAGCATCAAAAAAAACTATAAGTCCCTAATTAAGTCGCGGATGTCCCTCATACGGACGAAGTTGAAATTTCTCACCATCATATGGTATGTTCCGGGTAGAAGCGGGAAGTATTGATAAGACTGATGTCGAACTCTTTTAATAGGTTATTATAGGTACCTAGGTACATACCTACAAATGCATGAATCGAGGTAGGCAAGGCCGACCTTCCGTCGAGGGTGTAGTTTAATGTGGGGTTATGAGGTACCTATGTATGTACCTAGGTACCTAGGTAGGTACATGTAAGTAAATCCATTCAAGAAAAGGGTTTTGCGCCTTGCGCCTTTCGCCTTTCTTTCTACAAAGTCAATAAAATAACATTCCACCAAGAAGCCAACATTGTTCTACAATATTTACCAACTTGTAGGTATATATCATAGACTCTTACCTCCCATACTCTCAGGAATACGCGCATAGACGTTCATACTGTTCCTTCTTATCCGACAGCCCATATCTCTCATTATCGGATCTCCAGCGAACCCCTCCATCATGACCACCGAACCACCCACCAAGAAAAAGTGCTTGGGGGCAGACTGTGAAAATGATGCCTCTGCCCTACAATGCCCTACATGCCTGAAGATAGGAATCAAGGACAGCAACTTCTGTTCGCAAGATTGCTTCAAGAAGAATTGGGTCCGTATGCTTCAACCACGGATCCGGTCTTACATTATATACTAACATTGTCCGTTTACAGAATGATCACAAGGCACTGCACAAGATCGCGCAGGGCAAGACTACCAACGGTATACTTGACCATATTCGAACTCCAAAGGTCGTCTCTAAACCTGATCCAGCTACCGGTTTCTATAACCCATTCCCCGCCTTCTCGTATACCGGATCGCTACGTCCTGTCTATCCATTATCGAAACCACGCCCAGTCCCCAAGTCGATACAACATCCCGACTATGCTGAGACGGGCTACCCCAAGAGCGAGCGATTTATCAACAGGAACAAGATCGACCTACTCGATGCCAAGGGACAGGAGGCCATGCGTAAGGTATGCAGGTTGGGGCGAGAAGTTTTGGATATTGTCGCGGCCGAAGTGAGACCTGGTGTCACTACCGACTACCTCGACGAAGTTTGCCATAAGGCTTCCGTAGAACGAGAGGTAAGCAGAATGGCCTTATTGAGGTATGGAAACCCTATAGCGATAACTGACTGCCGTAGTGTTACCCGTCTCCCCTCAATTACAACAACTTTCCCAAATCCATCTGTACATCGGTCAACGAAGTTATCTGTCACGGAATTCCAGACCAGCGGGTATTATTAGACGGCGATATTATCAACCTTGACGTCTCGCTTTACCACGGGGGTTACCATGCGGATCTAAACGAGACGTATTATGTGGGTGACAAAGCTAAGGCTGATCCCGACTCGGTCCGGGTTGTCGAAACGGCTCGAGAATGTCTGGACGAGGCAGCTAAGCTTATAAAACCAGGAACTCTAATACGAGAGTTCGGTAACATTATTGAAAAGCATGCCAAGTCAAAAAACTGCAGCGTTATCAGGACGTATTGCGGTCACGGAGTTAATTCTCTGTTCCACTGCCCGCCCAACGTGCCTCATTATGCGAAGAATAAGGCCGTGGGAGAATGTAAACCTGGTATGACTTTCACCATCGAACCCATGATCGCCCTGGGCAAGTATCGGGACATTACCTGGCCAGACAACTGGACAAGCACTACGATCGACGGCAAGAGGACCGCTCAGTTTGGTGAGTAAAGTCGACACTCGTATCTTCCGCAATAAATCAAATAAATCAACTAACTTTAGTTCAGAGCACACTTACTTAGTAACCGAAACTGGAGTGGAAGTATTAACGGCGCGAACGGAAAGTTCGCCTGGCGGACCTATACCGATACCCAACGCTGAAGTCGTAGTAAACGGTAATGCATAGTAGCTTTGTGGGTAAGCTATGATACAACTTCGTCTATAATACGAGCGATGCATATTACCGGGAACAGGGTTATCGTAGCATAGTAAAAAGACGAAGTGATCATGGCGCAAGAATTATCCCTATCGAGTTTCTTTGTTCATGTATATTCGGTGAATATATGTACCTAGGTACCTATCTGTCCCCTTTTGCAGATTCCTAACCAACCACTTATAAGAGTTAAACTCTTCCTTTCCTTTCTAGCCTTTTCGCATTTTTACACTAGCGTATGTACCGGGCAACTGCTAGAGGAATTAGGTTAACCTAGTGGCTTTTGTATTCCTAGTCCCCTGCCTTTCTTCCATTTTCTTCTTCTTCATCCTCCAGAGTTCAATGTGGGGGTTCGTTAGAGGGTTATGTCCACTGTAGAATCTACCTACCTAGGAGGTAGATACCTAAATACAACCAGATCAGCAGTGTCTGTTAGTGGGTGGGCCTTAGCCGAAAGCTTCACCAAGCTTCGCCGCTTCAAGGCCCAATCTCCTCTTCTCCCAAAAGGAAGGCAAGCTTTTTTCTTGCTTCGCGCGAGCCGCTTTCATCATCCACCCGCACAAAACCTCCGCTCCCCAAATTTCTCAAACTACCGATAAATAATCAAATCACCGTTCTCAGCTTAATTAATCGCGGGGACTTTTCGACATACCGTCTACAGTACATTCCGACGGCACGTAAATCTTTCTCCTAATTTTGCTGTGATACTCGATACTCGATACTCGCACTCGCGCAAAAACATCGGCTTCCACCCTTCCACCCTTCCACCCACCGTAATCCTGCAGCCTTATCTCCGCATTCTCTCTCCTTCAGGTCCTACTCTAGGTCCCGCCATTTTGACCGTCCAACCTTCTCGACGTGCGCCCGACACCGTCTAGCTAAACGCTGTTAGAAGGCTTCCGCACAACTTCGCTCCATCATACCGGTTAACGAGAGATTTCCATATCCGACAGTTTATTATATACCGTTACAGCTGCCTTGTAGACCACCAAAAGTACAACTGTCAAGATGTCGGGCGAGGCGTGGTTATACCTCTTCGCCGTGCTAATAAATGCCGTCAACCTATTCCTTCAAGTATTCTTTACGATTATGTATAGTGATTTAGAATGGTATGTGCAAGACCTTGGAAAGAGAGGAAGAGAGATATTGGAAGTTCATGGCCAGATCTGCGTGCCACAGGATGCGCCTATGATCTACGTCATTGTTTCTATTGTTTATTCTGGCGGGCTCTTTTAGCTAACACTCGTTTGTTCAGTGACTACATTAACCCTATCGACCTATGCAACCGTCTCAACACCTATATCATCCCCGAAGCTGCCGTACATGGATTCTTGACTTTCCTATTTCTGATCAACGGATACTGGGTGGCACTGATCCTCAACTTGCCGCTCCTCGCATGGAACATTAAGAAGTACGTTACGTCAAAGCCATATCAAATAGTTTCAAGTGCTCTGCAGGGATATTCTAACACGAGTTGTAGGATTGTGGACAACGCTCACCTGCTGGATGCAACCGAGATCTTCAGGAAGCTCAATGTTCACAAGAAGGTATGGGTATCTATTACATTTTGGAGTGACTCATCTAACGTTGGTTACAGGAATCATTCATCAAGCTGGGCTTCCATCTGGTCATGTTCTTCTTCTACCTGTACAGCATGATCGTTGCCTTGATCAAGGACGAGACGAAATAAGCTGCGAGACTTTGGGATAAGCACAATGATAAACACGACGCAAACGAAACACCCTAACGGAATGACTCTAATGAGGCCACGATTACATAGGGTCTCTAGATACCCGGCGGGAGCATTATCAATCCAGACAACCCTGGAGCGAGCCTTAAAGTTGTGAATTTGCTAGCAGATGGGAGAATTACCGGACGAGTTGACGAAGCGGGATGGAACGCGGTCCCTCGATAGGGATTGAAAATGACCCGATTGTCTCGTTCGACGTGCGATACCATGGGATTGAAACGATGATAGCAAGCGACCTGGGAGTAGGTCAGGTCTGTTGAATTAGCAGTATGTGCAAGTTTTTTTCGGGCCGGAGATTCTCATAAATAATAAAGTCACAAGATAATACCCCGATCCGTACGAGTTTAGTCAGTTCAATATGCCATTTAGAAGTAATGTAAGGCATTTAGCAAATGTGATCATACCTAGGTTAATTACCTATTACCTATTACCTATTACCTAGGTTAGGTATGTATACTCAAGCCCTGATACGTATATCTTATGTTAGGTAATAAATGTACATGGTTACAATTCAGTAGGTTAGTGAGTTGATAGGTATTACCGGGATTATTGATTTATCGGAATGATCACGTAATCTTCGGGAGAGCCAAAAGAACGAAGCTTGTAAAGCTCCAAAGTCCCCTGACGTCTAAGCTGCTAAAGTGCAAAAAAATAGTAGATCCACTACATTTTTAAACACGCCGACACTCCATTTACAAGCGCGCATCAACAATTATACACGGAAGCAAAATGAATGAATTCGGAGAATATCCGCCAAATATGGCACCCCAAGACGCGCTCATAGTACGCGAACATGCTGAACCCGACCACGCTGTCGTGCCTTACACCGGCGAAGATCTTGCGCGACCTAGACTCGGGCCTCTCAACCCATACAAAGACGAAGCAAATGCGCTAAAACGTAAAAACATCCTCACCGGCCATGCAGAAGAGACTTTCCTCAGCGAGCATACCTTTCGAAGTAAACATCGCGCCATCGAGCGTAAGGGCGGTCCAGAGAGGGAATACCAGTCCGGTGCTTCAGTGAAGGAGGAAGCAGCCAAACTAAGGCAATCGAGACAAAAGAAAGGCAACGCGACTATCGCCGATGGAGATGGCGCATACGTAGGGCCCTGGGCGAAATATCAGAAGGACGAATACGAAGAAGTTGCAGAAGATGAAGAACTAGCAAGTGACGAAGAGGTCGAATACGTTTACGAGGACGAGGACGAGGACGAAGTCGTGGCAAGCGGTACCGTCGTCTCGGCACCGGTGGATGCCATAGCCAGGAGGAAAAAGGTAGAGGAATTAGGAGACGAGCAAACCATATTCCACGGCCAGGAGGAATACGACTACCAAGGGAGGACCTACATGCACGTACCCAAAGACCTGGATATCGATTTAGAAAAGGAACCCGGCAGCATCACCAATTATATCCCCAAGAAGCTGGTTCATACATGGAAGAACCACGACAACAAGGCTGTCACCGCTCTTCGATTCTTCCCAAACTCGGGACATCTACTATTATCATCTGGTGCAGACAGCACGGTCAAGATCTGGGACGTTTACCATCAGAAGGAACTTTTACGAAGTTATCTTGGCCATTCCAAAGCTGTCTCAGATATTTGCTTTAACAATTCTGGCACACAGTTCCTCTCGGCATCATATGACCGCCAAATGAAGCTATGGGACACCGAAACAGGTGCCTGTATCAACAAGTTTACAACCGGCAAGACACCTCATGTCATCAAGTTCAACCCCTCTCCCGAGCATTCGCATGAATTCCTCGCAGGTATGTCGGATAAGAAGATCGTTCAATTTGATACGCGGACGAGGGAGCTTGTCCAAGAATACGATCATCATCTAAATGCCGTCAACACTATTACCTTCGTAGACGACAACCGACGGTTCATGACTACGTCTGACGATAAGTCGCTACGCGCATGGGACTACAACATTCCCGTACCCATCAAGTACGTCGCAGAACCGTACATGTTCCCAATGACGCGCGCGTGTCTACACCCGTCGAACAAATACGTGGCGTACCAATCATCCGACAACCAGATCGTGGTCTACGGCGCCAATGACAAATTCAGGCAAAATAGGAAGAAGAGTTACCGAGGGCATAACAACGCCGGCACAGCTATCGATGTCGCGTGCAGCCCCGATGGGCAGTTTCTCGCGAGCGGTGACAGCGGTGGGTTCGTCTGCTTCTGGGATTGGAAGACGTGTAAAATGTATCACAAACTACAAGCTGGTGACCAGCCGATCACATGCGTGCAGTGGCATCCTCAGGAGACGAGCAAGGTCGTCGCGGCTGGTTTAGATGGTATTATTAGATATTGGGATTAAGGCAGGAAGTTTGCATAGCAGGACATGACACAACGCGGCGTTTTAGGATGGGCTCGAGCAAAAGCATCGTCGATACCATAACATGACTTTTTCAACGGACAATCTTATTCTCAAATATACGGTTTCCCTTTAGATCGTTTATCCTAGGACATTTTATCCATACCCCTACGTCACGCCCTATTCAATGGTTATTATAAGAATGTAATTACCATCAAAGGCCCAGGAGTCAGGCATGACATGACATGGTAAAGAATCACTCGATGGTTACCTAAGTAGCTATAACTATGTTAGAAGAGCCATGACATGGTATTTGAATGACATTCAGTAATACTAACGTCGCTATAGACATTAACACTAAACCAAGCTCTTAGCCAGCCTCATCATAGGCGAAGGCGTCAAGCAGAAGACTATCATTTATGAAATTCACGTCAACGAGAATCCAGGGCCATGTACTATAACCAATTCCTAAGGCCAAGACAGCCCATTAATTCGCCTACTTCGTTCCTAGAATTAGTTCATTGAAGCGACGATAAGAGCACCTAAACTAGCTTGTTACCTATATTTGAGTAACACGCTTCAGTACCACGTATCAGCGAAAGGGAGTACCGAAAGAGGATTATTCCTATGGACAGAGCAACGCCCAATGAATATCATATCGTGAGTCAACCTCAAGACATTACAAGTCGTCTCTATTCAGGAGCATGAATCAGCATCGAACTAGACTTCATGATTCAATACTCTCAGCTACTCTACGAAGCATAGGCTCCGGGCCATACGATGTCCACTATTCCAATCTTGATGAAGAATTAGACCCCATGAATCTACTATCTTACCTCTAGACGCCACGTGTAGCTTCAAAGCAGTACTTCAAGTCACACCCAAGTCAACGGCCCTCGTCACTTTATCATATAGAAGATGGTTTAGGCGGGTTAGGCGAGTTAGACCGAATACAAAGTCCAACAATAGATCAAGATGTCTCAAAAAGCATTTAACGCTATCTTCCATCTTTCTTGCGAACCTAATTTTCTCTCCTCCTCCTTATAGATAACTACGCCTTCCATCAAACACATGTCCTCTTTTTCCACCACTAACACCGTTATATTTCAGCACATACCAACTTGTGACCTACTATATCCATTTCTACAACTACCAAGCCAACTTACTATCAGAAACCCCTTCACAAATCAATCTCAAGCAGGCCCAATGCCGATCGATATAATTATACCACCACCCGTTAGCCGCATCATCTACGAGGTGCCACCGCCACACATCTACGGCCCTCTTCATCCAACCCGTGATGCTCCCGGCCCACCGAACCGCCCGCTTCCAAAGCCGCCGGTACGTCCTAAATGCGCAGTGGGCGGTCCGGCCCTCTTATACCCGACGACTATCCTCCGGTCTGTTACCATCCTGCGCCCTATGTCACCTATGGAGCCCGGCGTTTTTGCCGAGCAGGTTCCGCCGGCGCCGAATGCGATATTGCTACGACGAATCGCATAAGAGGGTTAAGCTAAGAAAAGGGGGGTAATATTGGCTCTTATTCTTCTCAAGACAGTACTACCTAGGTAGGTATGGACCGAGCTTTCCAATGGGTGTTCAGGGCTATGTTATGGGATATCAACATCGCTTGACAAAGTTGCCATTTAACCTCGTTGTTATTACACTCCTTACCTAGGCCAATACGATATATCGTTATCCTTTTATGAATCTTCTTGTGTGAAAATTATATTTTGAAGCAGCCTCCTCGAAGCTTATAGGTCCTTGTCTAATACTTGTCTAATACAAATTGTCTACGCTTTCATTCTACATTCATGAAATTAATTAACTAGTTATACTACAAAACATTTAATGATTATATTGTCTATCCGGCAGCGTTAGTTTTATGTGTTACTTGACCACGTAGCACTCTGCCACCAATTACGCCTTTTCAATCACTAACCATTTGTTTACATCTTATTGATCACCTATCAAGTTCCTCTTAACAACAAGATCGCCAGCCTAGGCAGGGCCGTGGTCCAGCAATGTAACCTCATTGGTTAGCGAATCATATCCCTAGCGGTGATAAGATGGACAGGGGGCTGCCTGAATGGGCCTGAACGAATCTCAACTTGAACCCTCGTAAGTTTCGTCTTGTTTATCAACCCCTCTTCCCACACTTCTTCAGTAAGTATTCATATACACATATGCCAATTCCGTGAGATCCTCGTCGCGATAGCTTAGGATAGCTTAGGTAGCTACCGCATCCATGGCCGACTCTCGAACACTGCGCATCGTTACCGTCGCTACTTTCTTGCCTGCGTTTGCCCTCTGTGTCGCGCACGGCGTCGTCTCAGGCAGCCCCGCCCCCGCGGTCGGCCTGGTACCGCTCGCCTTCTCAGCCGGCGCAGGTATTTTTCTAAATTCGCGGCAGTCTAAGAGTAAGCAGACACCGTCAGAACCAGAGCCGGAACTGGGGCAAGGGGGTACCGAGGAGAGTGCTCTAGAACAGGAATATGAACGAGGACCAGAGACGGAAGACACGCAGCAGAGCCGAGAGACATCTGATGCACCCACTCCAGCTCCAGCACCGAAATCGACTTCGATCCACCCAATCCTCACTTTCGCCGTCGATACGATCCTTGCTGCAGCACTCATGGTAGTTTTAGTGTTCACATGGATTGATTCCAGCGGCAGCAGCTCTAACAGTGCCGAATCGGCCATGCTGGCCGCATACGCGACAATCCCACTACTAATTAATTTGTAGGTTCACCCGTGTTCTGATCTCTTTAGAAATCAAGCAAGAAGCAGACAAAATCATGATTTGCTAAACCCAGTGTGTTGTGCATAGTTTGATCCATCTCTTCCTAGCGGTACGCGAATTCTCTCGCGGCCTCGCAATCCCGGGGCTGACGCAATACCTCGCGTGGCAGGCTGTTCCGCCCGATTGTCCCAACTGCGGACACCAGCTACGACCAGATGCTCCTCCTAGAATGCCGTGGCTCGAAGAGGCGTCGCTGCCGAGGCCGAATCTTAAGATCAAGAGTGTAAAGTGGAAGTTACCAGCAATCCCGAAGGTGAAGGCGCCGGAATGGAAGACGCCGGCTTGGTTCAGGAATCGTGGCGCACGCGGGTATGCGCCCTTATTTGTTTCTACCGATCGCGATGACGAGGAAGAGACTACTGCACCGATTGCCCCGTACAGAGACGACCCCGAAGTGGGCGAGCCGTCTACTCGGCTTGAGGACCCCGAGACGCCGGAGCCCGAAGTGATTCCGGAGCCCGAAGTGATTGATATCGTGGGTAAGAAGAGCAAGAGGCTGGGGAGAAATTCCTCGTCGTCGCCCTCGGTCTAAAGGGAAAAGAGGCCCCCTTAATTCATCCTGGTGTCAAGATTGTCTGTGTTACTCCTTGTACAGCTTCTTTCCCGATTTGTTTTTCACTTTCATGTTTCATGGCTGTGCGTCGATTTTCTACGAATGACATTACCAAAACGGCGAAAGGAAAGCATGATACCCCTTATGATTGAAAGCTACCTAGGTGCTTATGGGCGTTCACATTGAAGAGTTTGGTAATTTCCAATGCTTTAATTGAAAATTTTAGATAGCATGAGTGGCCTACGAGCTAGAATACTCGAAATAGTGCCACTAGAGTAAACTACGCGATTTAATCTCATAATTGATGAAAGACGGTGTCATCAGAGATGAGAGCAAATATAGTTTATGAGTAGCTTTTCCTAGACGTCCCCTATCCTCTCGTGCTCTGTAGTGAAATCTACCCTTATTTCTTCTGTCATGATAAACTCATTGAAGGTTCTCGATAGCGCTTGAGATTCTTACTACGGCCTGTCTTTGGGTATATATGCTGGTCACTTGGAAGTTGGTTGATAATCTTGAGTTTTCAGTTTTTCCAGAATCAGTCCCTTTATATCCCTTGTCCACAGAATGCCGTCTGCGTGCTATCCGGAGTTTGGAGTGCGCTATTATGAAGCCGATATAGGTGCCTGTGAAAGGCTACTGTCCTCAGCAAGGGCCGGTCACAGTAATGTTATAGCCAACATAGGTAGTAACTAAAACAAGGTAGGCACTAAAGATGAAGGACAATCACCTAATACCATCCCTCAAGGCCTGGTATCTCAGCAGAATATTATTCTATCGGATAAATAGCTAATACTGCCAATTCTTGTTAGTAGGTAACGTAAGCGGTGATAGGCGTCAAGCTTTCTATCAAGCCGCATTTTCGGTCTCATCTTCAGGAGTAGGTAGATTAATATTATAGTACATTTCGAGAGTTTGACCTCGTAAGAACACATGAAGCACCAACTCAGTGCCCTCGTCCAGCATCCCTTTTCTAACCAAGTCTGCAATTAGGTAGTTGGTCCGAGCAAGCAATTCGGTAAGGGCGGCGCCCTCTTTCGGATTCTTCGAAGGGATGAATTCTTCATTTAATTCGGCGTTGATGACTATTCGGATTCCAAGAACGCCGTTGGGATAGAAGCTGGCGGCGACATCGTCGTTACCGTACAATATAAACATCAACGTATCCTCCTCGGGGATAATATTTTTGGTCCCAGGAAAGCTCGGTAGCGGACCAAACTCGGTCCAACCATCTGATATGCGACGCGCGTGTTGAAAAACAATTTCCCTTAAACGATCATGATCACCGGCGCGGCGAGCATCAGCTAAGCTCAGGTGCAACTCATCATCCATAGCATCTTGCTGTCTAAATTTTTCTACAGCGCCCTCAACATGTTTGGAAAACTGACGGAAGGAATAAACGTGATATGCTATATAGGCAACGATAGTGAACACCGATCCGAGGGCGATATCCTTAAGCCGGCTACCTCGTGACCGGGGTGGTGGAGAGAAATATGGACCAGGCGGCGGCGGCGGCGGCGCATAATTAGGGAAGCTGAGCTGCGGCCGGCTCCTAAACTGACGGTGATGGACGACTGGTCTTATCAATGAGGGCCTAGCCCGGGTATAGAGTTGCCGAAGCATGCCAGTTAGTTACTGGCAGATGTAACTATACTGAGGGCCGACGTGATTGACAATGAAGATGTGATATGAAGACTGGAGTGAGGCTTTGAAACCCCGATTCGCGTCGATCTTCAACGATGGGTGAACAACAATAGGCTAAAATTAGCAGCTGGTAGCACTTGACATTGACTGGTAGTAACCGACATTCCAGGGTGGTCAAAGCGTTTATGAATTGGGCGTCAGGCAAATATTTATAATTTTCTTTCTAATACCTACCTACATATACATTCTAATACATATACATATCCAGAATACCTCTTACTGTCGTGGAAAGCGGAATCTCTATACCAGCAGCGTGAGGATCCTGTATAAACGTCCGTATTAGACTTCTTACGCATAGTAATTTATTCACTCAAAAGGAGGCAACTAACCAAGAGAGAAAGACGTGTACTCGAGTCTCGAGTACACTATTTTGCCTTATGCGTCCTTTACACCAATACCCCCCTGGATTGCCTGCGGGGAATTATCCATCTCCAACATTTATTCCAGCATTTATCATGATTATTGCGAAGTCTCCAAATCAGTTACTAGGACCACTAAACTCGCGTGTCTAGCCAGGGTATCTCCACCATCCCCGCAACTACGCCATAGCATACCGTTGTTAAATAACGTGGATTAGCTCCTTGGGCGCTCATGTCATTCGTGGAATCTTTCCATAAAGAGATTAATATTTACTTGCGTTATCCTATCCTGTTTTGCTCGTCATAGCACAACCCAATGCCAATGCAGACTCAGATGCGGAGTAGCTGTTCATGCTTTACTGCCTAGGCAACATGTCCGGTGTAATATCCTACCGAGGTTGCAATGTTACGCAAATCAAGTTACGTAGCATGAATACTTCTGTCTTGTGGTTTACCCAGAAACCCGTATGTCGGAAATTGGAGATCGGGTTCCGCATACTCTTACATTCCCCAATGTATATAATATACAAAGGTATGGGGAGACTTCAGTATAGAAATCTCACCTGGATGAAGGCAAGTCCAGTGAGGCTTCGAAAAAAGTTGAAGAGGACTCCGGCTGTATTTCTGGCCCCTTGACCTTCCAAGAATGTCTCTACCTCGGACTATAGGGGCTATCGCCCTAGGCCTATTTAACTTTGCTTCCGCCCAGAACTATCCAAATATCAGTAGTTCGGAAGATGTTGTCACGGTGAAATGGATTGGCAACACGCCGACACTCAATTCGGGGTCGACGTTCGGACTTCCTTGGCCCCGGGGAAAATACCAAGCAAACCAGACCACATTTACTGGTTTGGGAGGCGACGGTAATGACCAGGTCCAGATAGAGTCATGGGTGACAGCTTACTGGCCGGATGATTCGATCAAATGGACTGGGCATGCACTTGGTGGATCTGAGAAGGTTTACGAAGAGTACAAGATTACCGCGTCTGCTGGAGTTGAGACTAATACGACCAAGCGCGCAAACCCGTCCACTCAATCAGGTTTAACCGTCAGCGACTCCAACGACGAGATTACCGTGAATACTGGAAAACTCACTGCGACATTCCCTAAGTCTGGAAACACCCTCTTAAGTACTATTAAGACGTCGAGCGGCAAGATTGTAGGGCAGAACGGACGACTGATACTACGATCGCAATCCGGTATCGCGGATGACGAGGGAAACACAACTTCTATAGACAAGCTAAGATTCGAAAGTACCATCGAAGAAGCCGCCGTTGATTCCAGCAAGGACGGCACAGTTAGGACCCTAGTAACTGTCCGTGGAAAGCATCAGACAACTTTGGGTACCCATGATGACTGGCTACCGTTTATTCTCCGCTTTTACTTTTACGCGAATTCCGATGCCATCCGCGTTGTCCATACGCTTGTATTTGACGGGAAGGGTGATAAAGACTTTGTTGCAGGAATTGGAATCCAGTTCGACGTCCCTCTAGCTGGTGAAGAGTTGTATAACCGCCATGTGAGGCTGGCAGGCCCTGACGGAGGACTGCTAAGCGAGGCAGTGCAAGGCATTACAGGGCTACGAAGGGATCCTGGTAAGGAGGTTCGCAGTGCCCAATTCAAAGGCGAACAGACACCTGATATTTCATCATGGGATACCCGCGTCTCCTCGAGGTTAAAGTGGATTCCCTCGTGGAACGACTATAGCTTGGCTCAACTTTCTCCTGATGGATTTACCTTGAAAAAGCGCACTAAGCCTGGTCAGAGCTGGGTCAAGATCCCCGGAGGCACGCGAGCCGGCGGTCTGGCTTATCTTGGCGGTGCTACGCAAGGTGGTCTCGCAGTCGCTCTTCGCGACTTTTGGAAGAAATATCCAACAGGTCTAGACATCTCTAACGCGGCTACGGATGTTGGTCAGATAACCCTATGGCTATACAGCCCTTCTGCCGAACCTATGGACCTCAGACCCTTCCATGACGGCCTAGGGGAAGACACGTATGACGACCAACTTGATGCACTCGAGATCACTTACGAGGACTATGAGGGAGGTTATGACACACCTTATGGTATTGCTCGAACGAACGAAGTATTCCTATTTCCGTTCGATAAAACACCCTCCTCAGATACCCTAGCTGCTCTTACTGAGCACGCCAACGAACCCCCCGCACTTGCGGCTGACCCGGCATATATTCAACAGACAAAAGCTGTCGGGTCATACTGGGAGACGATTCCCGACAACTTGACTGAAGCAGCACGAACGGTTGAAACACACCTCGACTTTTTGATCAAGTTCTATCAAGATCAAGTGTCTCAGAGACGATGGTATGGATTCTGGGATCACGGTGACATTATGCGTATGTAACATTCAAGATTTTTCACTTCTTTTAATACGTTTCGAGGGGTTAGATTCCTTCGTTGATATACTACTCTTATTTCTAAGCTCTTTTTTCTAAGCTCTTTAAGAATAAAATCACTAACACGTTATCGTAGACACCTACGACGAAGACAGACACACCTGGCGCTATGATATTGGAGGATACGCTTGGGACAACTCGGAACTTTCGCCCAATCTTTTCTTCTGGAACTACTTTTTGCGCACAGGAAGAGCGGACGTGTACCGATTTGCAGAGGCCCACGCACGACACACCGGCGAGGTGGACGTTTATCATATCGGTCCATTCAAGGGTTTCGGTACCCGTCATGGTGTCCAGCACTGGGGCGACAGCTCTAAGCAGATCCGTGTATCGACACCCATCTACCGACAAGTGTTTTACTACCTGTCCGGCGGCGACGAGAGAACTGGAGAACTCCTCCACGAGCTTATGGATGCCGACCAGGCATTCCTCACTGTAGATCCGCGTCGCAAGGTCCGCAAGGACAACGGTACCTATGTTATTGACCCGACTGCTCTAGACCTGGACCTCGGTCTGGACTGGTCGGGCTTAGCATCAACATGGCTACTCGAGTGGGAGAGGCGCGGCCCACGATGGGAAGAAGCACGGTCAAAACTCAACAATACTATGCACAGCATCGTAAAACTGAAAAATGGCTTTGTTACAGGACTGGGTCTCTACAATCTCCATACGGGCATCATTTCACCACCAGCTACTGACCCGGGGAACCTCGGCAACGTGACCGTGTCCCATCTCTCGGCTAGTTTTGGGCTGCCAGAGATCATCTCGCAGCTGACGGACTATTTAGGAGACGACCTACCGACCGGCTTCGAACAGGTTTGGCTGGATTACTGCTACTACTACGGCGCCGGGGCAGCGGAGCAAACGGCGCGATATGGAGTCAGCTTTGGCAGCTTAAACTTGAAGCAGGGGCACTCGCGACTAACTGCGTATGCGGCCAAGAAACTAGGCAACTCGACGCTGGCGGCGCGCGCGTGGAAGGAGTTCCTCAGCACCGACGGCTTATCGCCATCACTTCCCTGGACGAGCGAGCACCTAAACGGAAGTGAAGTTCTAGTACCGGTCGATGAAGCGGCGTGGGTTTCGACCAACGATGCTGCGCTGTATGGGCTGGCTGCGATCGAGAACCTAGCCCAAGTTGGTTATGCCTTATAAGCGTACCTTAGTTGTGTATACATAGTAATGATTTATTATCATATTTCAATGCATCATCACTAGTTTTCTACCTGGAAATAAAAAAGCAAATCATACTAATTAAATTACTACTTGGATAGGTTAGGTTAGGAACTTGGATATCTTCTTAATACCAAGTCTCGTAATGCTCCTCCTCATGACTGCCATTGGGAACCAAGCAGCATGATAAGCTTTCAATCCTCAACTCAATCAAACTCATCCATATTTGTCCTAAACTGAGAGACTTCCCGATGAAGGGGTGTTTCTCGGGCAACAATTTTGCCGTCTTGGACAACAAACAGGTTGCTCAGTTCGACAAATAGGTGTAACTGGACAATATTGATCAGACGACCTAGGTTATCCACCAACAATTCAAACACTTCTACATCATGGTCCGTCTGGATTATTCCGTTCTCGATGAAGACTGTGAACAATCTGACGTACCTTCCAACGTCCTCTACACAGTCGTCGAGGAAGTCTGATAGTAGAATATACGAGAACGGCGAGCAGCCCTCGTTATTAAGCTTGTTAACATCTGCGCCGTTTGCGATAAGGCGTGGTATGAGGGTAGGGACCAGGTAGTCACCGAATCCATAGAAGGCCATATTATGTAAACCTGTATATGAATCGTCAATAATCTATACATCTTAATGGGTGAGATATACTTACAAGTTTCACCCTCCTTGTTGACCCACGAAGCATCAGAAGCGCCATTTTGGAGGAGAATCGTCGTCAGGGGGAAGCAACGGACCACAGTGGACATCCAAAGAGCCTTGGGATGTCTGAAAAGCCATCCGGAATGATCAATTTCGAAGAGAAGCTTGAAAACTTCACAATACTGCTCCCGATCGCGTATATCTTCGTCTCTAGACTTGAAGTACGAGCTATCCTGCTGGACTAGATGTTGTAGTACTTCATCAATATTAGACATTTCAAGAGAATCTTCTGCACCTATGTCGATAAGATATCGACAGATATCTATCTTATGAGTGCAGAGAGCGGCTTGAAGAGGTGATAATAACACAGACTTCTCGAAGAGGTAGTATGCAAGACCTCTCATCTGGAAGACATTACGAGCGTTTATATCCGCACCATATTCGACTAGAAGCTTAATTATCTCAAGATCATTCGGGCTTTGAGAGGAACTAGAGCATATTGCCATTATAACTGTCCGGTTGTGCCAAGTTATCTTGTTAGGATTTGCCCCGTTTTTGAGGAGGCACTCAACAGTGTCGAAACAAGATTTCGGTGATATCGTATCCGTGGTAAGGACAGCAGCAAGTAGCGGGAAAAGACCATCACCATCTTCTTGGTTAACTTGTGCGCCATATTTTATCAATAGGTCTACAACCGTTGCCAAATGAGCCCCTGATGCGCGCACTAGTGGCGCATATCGAGTGCCAGGAGAACCGTGGACGTTGGCACCCATGCATATGAGCTTTTTAGCCAATTCCACCATGCCAGAGTGAACTTCTTCATCGTAAATATCGTTGAAATCAGTATGCTTTGACAAAATCCCCAGGTCGCGCTCAAGGCCAAAACGCCTACAAAATTGTTTATGTTTCCTGTCATCCATATCAGGCCAAAGGTAGAACAGCTTCTCTGCCGTTGCTTCGCTAGCAATCCCGCGGAGAGAAATAAGGCACTGATCCAATGCGGAGGGTAGATCGTCAGTAGGAGGATGGATATTCGCCCCGGAATTAATAAGGAAAAAAGCTTCTTCGTACCAACAGCAACGAATAGCTCGCAAGAGTGCAGTGGGTTGTCCATTAAACCCAGAACACCGTCTATTAGTTCGCGCTTCCATATTTGCACCGCACCGAAGGAGGCACTTCATTATCGGGATGCTATGCGGTGTTCCTAACGCCCACATAAGGGGAGTTGCGCCATCCTACAGAAAGTCAGTAATTGTGGTTTCCAAAGAAGGGGAGTATTTGCTCAGATATGGATATTACTTACAGTATCCTGGATGTCGACAGGGACCTTTTGTTCGCCTTCTAAAAGTAGTCGTATGGTTGATAAATAACCACCGCGAGCTGCCCAGTGTAGTGCACTAGACTTCCTTTTATTTATTTCAACATTTGTTGACGCCCCTAGGCTAATAAGCATGTTTGCCACAGCCTCATTGCCGCAACATAAGGCGGTGTGTAATGGCGTCCAATAATAAAACTCAGACTTAATTTCCTTCCGGTGGTAACGAGGTTGACAGTTATAAATCGCATGAGCAGGAACGTCCAAGAGAGCACCGTAGTCAACTAATAATTTGACAAGCTCGGTAGATCCAGCTATAGCAGCGGAGTGGAGGGGAAACCAGAAGTTTCTCAAAGCCAGACGCAAGTATTTCCTTACTCTTCTTGTTCTTTTTCTAGTTCTTAAGTTCTTGTTGTAAGTAGGAGGATCGGTATTATGCCTTGAACGGCGTTCTACAACCCTCTGCTTGCGACTAATTATAGAGCTGAGAACGGCTCTAGTGTCTGTCATGTCGCGAATCCATTCGATTCCCATAAGATCCTCTAAAAAAAGGTCTCGGGAATTGGATGTGAGCACATTTGGGCTTTGCCTTGCCTTGAGAAGCTTCTTCACTATCTCAATTTTGCCAGCCTCACAGGCCCAGCTTAGGATATCCGGGTAGTTCACAGCAGCAAAAGAGTATAAGATAGGGTTGACAACAAAGTGAAAGCGTCGACTTGTAGCGGAAAGGGAACTCAAGTCGGCTGTACGGTTCAAATGCCTCGAAATCTCCACAAGGAGCTCGTTGGGCAAGCTTGTGATAGATGTCATACTGAAATAATTATCAATGTGGACGCTACGGTAATACGATGCAAGCTTCGGGGGAAGTTTTGAGGGACTGTGATATTGGTGATGAGGTGATGGTCTTATTAATGAGCCGCAAGGCAATATCGAAGAGTTGGAGGGAAAGGAAGAATATATAATCATGCTAATGACTTGTATGTATTCACTCAACTAGGATAGATGGCACACAATTAAAATGAAATGTATCAACGTGTAAGTGATTACGAATGGCAACGTGTGTAGTACAATGAAATTGTTAGGATATGACTGAGAAGTGGGATACTCAAAACAATAGATGAGACTGAATAGATAATATACACCCCCTTTATGTAAATGTCTTGGGTTTGGCAAACAGACAGCAATTTGCACTTCTACCAACCAGAGAGGAACCTGAGTCGATGTTACCTAGGTACATTGTCGCTATTTGCGGCATTATTATGTCTATAGGTGTTTATATATGAAGAAGTCACCAAGAACCATAAAATCTAGGTTGAGATATAGTATAGATGGGAGTTTTTATATCATAGAAGGGAGTGCTCTATTCTATATCGGCTTTGAATACATAGAGAAATCATCGGGAAATCCAGAGAAGCTGAACAATCCTTAAGAGAGAAGAAGAAGAAATAAAGGAAGAAAGAAATTATTATCATAATAAAGGTTCTGTTCAACAAGCTACATGTACCTAGGTACCTAATAGCTTAATTCTCTACCTAAGCCACACTAACACTCCAGGACTGCTTCTTTGTTCTAGCCACAGCGCGCTGCCACAGCCACAGTGGTTTAGATAGGTTAGGTACCTAGGTAGGTACTAAGTGACGCTAACAAGACCGAAGCAAGCCGATATCGACACATCGACGCATGGATGCGGGCTTCAAACACTACAAACTAAAAATTCGCCATACACTACAAATTAATAAATTCGCACAAGACAGAAATTAGCAAGACATACAAAGTGCAAAATGGCTTCCCAACTACAGAACAGCAAGTTAGGGTTCATCGGAGGTGGTAACATGGCCGGTGCCATTATTGGTGGTCTTGTGGCTAAGGACATTAACAAACAGAATATTATCGTCTCGGAGCCTTGGGAGGTGAATCGGGATAAGATTGGGGCGACGGGGGTGCGCACAACTACATCCAACGCTGAGGCCTCACAGGATGCGAATCTCCTCGTCCTCGCAGTGAAGCCGCAGGTCACAAAGGGTGTATGCCAAGAGCTTGCCGGCGCTTGGGCCGAGCGCACGTCTCTGCCCTTAATTGTCTCTATTGCCGCAGGCATCACGCTGGAGAGCCTCAAGGAGTGGCTGAAGCTTACCGACGGGCGCACACCTCACATTATTCGTGTTATGCCTAATACACCAGCTTTGTTAGGTGAAGGCGCATCAGGTCTTTTCGCGAGTGGTGATGTGTCGCAAGAAGAGAAAGACTTGACCGCGGCGCTACTAGGCAGCGTGAGTAAGGTGACCGAGTGGGTAGATCGGGAAGAGTTGATTGACGTCGTCACCGGCCTGTCAGGTAAGGTCCATTCCCGCCGAATCGAAGCCTATTAAAAACTGATCAGAAGTGAACGTAATTTAGGCTCCGGACCTGCCTACTTCTTCGCTATGGTTGAGCATTTGATCGAAAGCGGGATAAGCCTAGGGCTCTCGCGGGAGCAGGCAACGCGTCTGGCCAAGCAGACTTGCTTTGGAGCGGGCAAGATGTTAGTTGAATCGTCTGAAGAGCCGGCGCAGCTACGAATCAATGTTACTAGTCCCAAAGGAACTACGGAGGCCGCCCTGAAAAGCTTCGATGTCTCGGGGTTTAAGGACACTGTTGCTAAAGCCGTGAAGGCGGCAGCCGACCGAGGCAAGGAGCTAGGAGAGACTCTTGCCAAGTCATAATTCTACGCCGAGTCCTTACTACCTGTTGACTACCTAAGCTTTGGGAACGTTGAAACTTCCATCAAGCTGGGTTCAAGGCCATTGATCGCCAACTAATATTGGAGCAATACAGGTCTTAAGTTGACTAATACTGTTGAGTCAATCTGCGCATGTGCGTGATGATAAATCAAGAATAACAGAATAGACGGAACAAAGTAGAAATTTTTACGTCTAGGTCAAGTATCATAGGTACCTCTCATATGCGCAACTCTCTTACTAGTAGCCTGCCCCTTAGAGTCTGTGTAAATCTAGTTGAGCTAAATTTACTGTGCGTCCTGGTATGTGAGCAATGCCATATTCCACACTTCGTCTCTTGAGGCGGATATATCATGTGGATATTGCCTCGCATTCGGTTATGGCTTTCGTAGTCACCTGAAAGTTGTTAACACGAATGAAGCACTCTTATTCATCAATATCAGATCACCAGACCAACAAAACTGACAGAATGAAGTCCCGTTTAGCCGGATACAGATACGAACTCACAACGTCGTCGTATAACATAACCATACGTAATCATAGGAATTTGTAAAGTGATCATTACTAACACTTGTTAGGAAAAAGGGAACTTTCCGTTGTATTATTAAGATGCATATACAATATTAGTCAGTTAAGACATTGAAAGGTTGGCGTATGACAAATCAACCTCCTCGTTCTATCGTGGCGCTATTATACTAGGAGGTAGATAGGTCGTTGACCGAAACCCCGCGTTATTGCCGTCAAGTTACTAAAACAACGAGGGTAGTCAAACTGTCCGCTATGGAGCTACGTGGAGAAGCTATGCCTAAAGGCGATTATCGCCTACAAGCCCCGGATACTTAGCAGCTTATTGCTGGCTTTATACGCATCGGAACACTATGTCATTTTTCTTATAGTTACTCTAATAAACAATTGCACTCCCCGTGAATCTTTGACGGCACGTAAAGGCTCGTGGAAAGTGGATCACATTCAACGGCTCCAGCTTGAGACGACCTGTAAGCACGTGTAAGAAGGCTGCGCCGTGATCTTGAATAGGGCACTTGGTTTTGAGCTTGTGTGAGAACCAGGACCATGGGTCAGGACGGGACAGCCAACCCGGATATAGGATGTGTCCGTATAAGCCGAAGGTGGTATTTCTGGGGTATAGCTGATCCGGCGGTTCCTTTACTTAAATACGACCCATTTACGGGCACTACTTTCGTCGCGAAGCCCGAAGGCTCCTCATATACGCGGGGTTCAAGACCAGTAATATCTGGGGTACACGTAGGAACTGGGGAGAGAACGTAGCATACAGTGCTCAACCCCTACTAGTGACATCTTGATCTGCTTTGGAGTAACTGCGGAGTTGCCAATCTGAGAAACGAGCTGTCTCAAACAAGCTTTACTCAACAAATGAAGTCATGAGTGTCGTCTCATGTTCTATTGAGGTAAAGGGTTAAGAGGGTTAAAGAGCGAAGGACGTAGGTGATACAGGAATATATCGATATAATTTGTATAATACGTACCGATCCAAATCTCCATAGGACCAGGTAGGTATAAACGCTGTCTTGTCTAGCCTTGCTTAACGTACTATGTTCATGTCTGTACTTTGGTGTCGAGCGTACCATTAATAACGCTGTTGCTATCAATTACGAAACCATATATCCCCTATGTGTCTAGCATTAGCAAAGTGTCTTAGAATGTCTAATAGGAAAAACAGCGGGGGAGCTATTCTATCTTGACGGTTAAACGTTGAGTTTATTTGGAATGTTCAAGATCGACTAACAAGATCAAACAGTTAACTCACCGAGGTATTGCGTATAGTAACCTCTTGTCCTCCTGGAGTCCCCGTTGCACAACAGTCCTCAACCATAATGCAGTCATATCCGCGATAATATGCGTCAGCTAGAGTTCCCAAGACGCATCGGTCCGTGTTTACGCCAGCAAATAAGAGAGTCTTAAAACCACCAGAATCTAACTCCTTGGCAAACGGCGTCTCGCCGTGCCAGAAGCCCGATATACGATTTTTGCTGCAGAAAATATCCGAGGCGCGTGTGACATCATGCAAAGCGCCATAAATCGCTGCATTCCACGATCCTTCCATTAACAATCGACCTCTACCCTCTCCCATGTCAGAGCCGGAGCCGCCTCTAGCGTGTTTGCTCTCTGAAGATGTCGTAAGCATGGTCCTATCGAAGGACCGTTCGGCGGCCGCTGGCATGGTTTCGAGGTCCTTCTCACTTAATCCCCAGTTCAACCAAATAATCTAGACCCAGTACCGAGGTCAGTGCGGAGTTCAACACGCGTAGAATATTATATTTTCATATTTCATTTAAATATGCGGGATATCATAAGAAGATAACCCGATTGTACATGGACCGACTCTGGGTGCTAGCATTATTACTATACCTTGACGTCAATCTCGCGGCATTTTTGAATGAGTTCAAGAGTACGCTCCACTGCAACCAGACCGGTGGGGTGATTATTGCAACTTGGATGAAGGAAAAAGTTTTGCATGTCAACCACAACCAGAGCGCTCAGACTCGGCGCCAGCGTGATCGATGTATCCGTAGGACCCTTGGTCGTGCGGAGGGTAAACGCCGACGAGGAGGATCCGCGAGTGAGGTTGTAGAGCTTGGCATCTTTGTCATAGCTCCATTCGTTGCCTTTTGGCCCTAAAGTCAAAACCCGAGACATAATGAGTCGATTAGAGGCGCCTGGATTTACGTCAGTATCTATCCAGACTGATGTAATAATATAACTGGAGGCTTTTTATCCCGGATATCCTAGATGTCTTGGTGATCTAGAGGTCTGACACAGGTGGACGTGTTGCGAGCGGGGAAAAAAGGAGAACGAGTCATGATTTAGTTCCCTTCCTCGCGGCTTGGAGATTACCATTTTCGGACACCCACAGCGCCAATGGCGCAAAGTTGTCATGCCTTTCTACGTTGCTGGCGTACTCCTTGCATCCGTCTGAAGGCGCGTGCAGCTGTTGTATTTGTAACGGAATTAGTCAGCGATCAATATATATTAATAAGTGCTCTATAGGTATTATATTAGATGTGTAATAGTATAAAAGGTCCAAGTCTTCTCGTGTAGACAGACTGCTCAATATTGTCTACGACAATCAACGTTAGCTCAAACTCGATATAGCTTTGTTTAATTAGAACCCAACGTTTGAACAAGTCCTCTTTGACTTCCGCATCTTCTTACATTATGGCTGAAGCGAATCAGTCTGGCAAAGTCCTTTCGCCTTCTTATCTTGCACACGTTGTGCTTAGGACAGGGCGGTTCAAGGCCGTGGTTGAGTTTTATAAGGTCTTTCTAGGTGCGCACGTCGTGTTAGAGAGTGAATCACTAGCATTCTTGACCTATGACGGTGAGCATCATCGTATCGCTATCGTATCAATCCCTGGCTTGGACGATAAGATCCGGCTGAGCGCTGGCCTGGACCATATGGCATTCACCTTCAAAACGTTAGACGACCTGGCAACGGCCTATCTGCAGCGTAAAGCCCACGGCATACTACCCGTCTGGTGTGTCAATCACGGACCAACCACGAGCATGTACTACCAGGACCCCGACGGCAATGTACTCGAGACGCAAGTAGATAATTTCGACAAGGTCGAGGAGTCCACCAAATTCATGATGAGTCCCGAGTTCGTCGAGAACCCTATCGGCGTTAATTTCGATCCAGAGGACCTAATTAGACGATTGAAGAGTGGCGAACCAGAATCGAGTATTAGAAAACGTCCCAATATCGGTCCTCGTGGGATTGAAGAAGTTCCGCTTATACATCTGCCACTACCTGTCGTTAAGGAGGGTCACGGGCTTATCGAAAGTACTGCTTGATGCCACGAATGCATTTGAATAGTATCTAGCCGTTCTATTTGTTGCCATGAGAAGAGGAGGTAACAATGTAATGGTAATAAGAAAGAAGCGCAAAATAGTTCGAGTGATCGGGGCCGTTTACTCAGTCTCATTTCCACAATCAGTCAATAAACTGCTTGAGAAAAGCAATCACCTATCTATCTACATCTTGTCAGCGTGATTCTATTTAAAATATAATGTAGAATTCACCTTTAGTCATTAGACCTCTACATTGTAGCTCATGAATACTAAGTCAGAATCTAGTAACACAGCATCAATAAGTCAGTCATCCTATTGTCACAACAAACTTCCACGATGGTGGCCTAACGGATGAAGAGGAGATACGATACTACATCCAAATCCAGTAACCCTACGGGTACCTTAGATGCCAATTGCCGAAGACACGACGCATTCCGCATCGCCTGTAGAAACACCCGAGATTCAAAACAATTGATCGTTTGTCTCTTCACAATGAACCTTCAGCTGTCTCGTTCTGGTGCTTCTACAATGTCATTCGAAAGCACGAAGGTTGTCAGACCGGAATGAGGGATTCCTGGGGGGTATTAGTGAATGTTTGGCGAGGCGCCGGCCGAGCTTAATTCGTCAAGACTGAATCGTTATGCTAGCGTACGATGCTATCGACCTCGAACCGTTCATCGGGTCCTTCGGGCCCAATAAAGGAGCCCAGGAGCTTTCAAGGAGATTCATAAGATTAACCCCCTATGATCCACTGTCCCCGAATTAACCGGAATAAGCGGTCCGTCAAGCTGGGCTCAAAGACCCTAAATTATAAGAGCAAATTAACGAGATGGGATGAAACGAGAACCGACAAGCCATCTTGCCACATCAATGATCGACGCATAATGCTCATCATAGATTGACATAAGCATCAGCGCGATTGAAGGGAAAATCGACCCGATATGCCGTTACTGTGCATTACATAGATCGACAAGTAAGCTGAGGACATTCTTATTCCCCAGTGTTCCAAGCATGATATTCGATCTCATCGAAAGTCTATTAGTCGATCAGTAAGATTCTATCAAGCAAATCTATTCATCGAGAAATAGACGTGATATTCCCTACCGATTGCACCAGCCTAGAAGTCGAGATAAACATAACCCACGAATGATCTTGTCGTTGACTGTATTTTGTAACCGTACACCGCCATCAGTGGTAGCTAAGTACCTAATATAGACGATTCACCAAGACAGCTAATAATTAGACCACCGATTAGCCAACTGTGGATAATAGTCATTGTGAGCGCCTTGTTTAATCAGTGCTGCACCAATTGTAGTAACAATTTCCGCTATCAAGAGAGGTTTAACTTGGTAGAAGAAAAGTGAGGTTAGACAAAACCCCCCTGAGTCTCGTAAGTCGTCTCAAAACCCCCTACGGAGCTGTTTGATCGCTCTCTGGCAGGGATATTTAGCGAGGGTAGGGGGGTTAAAAAGTGTCGGGGACAGCCGTTTAGAGAATATGGTGGGCCTTTAAAGGCGCCAAGCTGTCGCCGTACCTAGCTCGACATTCGAGAAGGGTTAGTAAAGCTCTTCCTCTGATTACTCTTCTTGAATTCGACACTACATGAAGCTCCTTTAGGGTAATAGAAGAGAAGATAGCATCAGAGAGAATTAGCATGCGAGCCTTTGCGTTGAACTTGCGAATAAACCGCTCTCTTTACGATTAGGCACCTAGGTAATTAAGTAACATAAGATTCAGCTGCCTTCCAAGCTTCCATATTACTGCTAACTATCAGTATGAATAACATGATTGGCGATCTACAAATACACCGAACCCAGCTACTGCTGATCTCTGTGCCTCAATTGAGCCTCACCTGAAGATTTTCCATCATACAATACCTATGTAGTAATCTGTAAATCGATACTACTATGCTCGTACTTCGGAGATAAGCATGAAAACAATATGATACCTATTGAGCTTCGTCCATAGCCGTTATTTACTAACCCCTGACAATTTAGAACAGACGCACGCGCAGCCAAGAGCTAATTGAAAGCATCTCCTGGGTCATATTTGTTTCCGCCAACAGTTCCGCTAGCCGCCCATGGGATCTCAGGTGATTTACTGCGGTATAGAGAAAAGAGAAAATAACTTTTTTCTCTGCATTGTTGAACACCGTCACCGTCTCTAACTACCTACCTTCCTAGGTATCATATCTAGTCTACATAATGCGCTCTACTATTTTCGAGAGACAAGGCATATTCCGTGTACCCTACGAGACGCTTGACATGGGATGAATGTCCGCCAGAAGATGCCACGAGCGGTCATATCCTTGCCGCACCATGCTAGCTCACCATCTGATCTCAACCCTGAAATGAGGTTTGATCTGCGGAAGGGGCTCGCCAAAGCCTGCCCTAGACTGGTCTATCCCAGCTGATCGCGCTGGTGTTGACTTATAGCGATCCACGTAGGCCATCTATATAATTGTATTACCCCAGCTTCATATCGTGAATTCTTCTCTTTTTTTTTCTCTATCAAGCTTCGGTTCGTTCTTTGATATCCAATTCCTTTCAGTTCTGTGAACTTTTCGTTCTCTTAACCTTCCTTTCGTTCTATCACTACCGCCCGGTCGGTCTTTACTCGTTTTATTCAATAAACTTTCCATACCTTTTAAGGAAACTGAATCTGTTGCTTGACGCCAACTCTGTTCTTCTCCGTCATCATGTATACCAAGACCACATTTATCTCGGCTCTATTGGCCGTTGCCGAAGCCCGTTTCGGCCAGGAGCAAATCCCCGTTGCCGATATCCAGGCTTTGGGTAGCTTCGGCAACCCGGGTGAAGCTGCCACTCTTTCTGGTGCTGTTCCGGGCGTGCTTCTCGCCGCTGCTGACCCATGCGCCAAGCTCACCCTCGCCGATAAAATTGTGACGAGTCTTGGCAACGACCCTCAGGTCATCGCAGCAGCACAGAACCTCGTTGCTTCTGAGCAGAACTTCAACCCGTTCGCGGTGTCGGTACCCAGCATCTGCGGTGATGCCAGCCTACCGGCCACGGAAGAGCTCCGTGGTATCGTTCCTCTAGTTGACCCTGCCGTAACAGGCTCGGACGTTGAGAACGCCAACTCGGAGACCTCGTTAAAGTCTCCCTTTGACGCTACCGGTCTCAGTGTTGCCGACGTTATGACTGCCCAGGGCTTTTCCAACTTTACAGTGAAAGGAGCTGCTGCCGGTGGCAATGCCAACAATGGAAACAATGACAATAACAATAATGCCGGTTCTGACTCAGCTACTACTGCCGCCCCTTCGGCAACTGCTTCCGCTTCTGCTACTAAGTGCGTCAAATCAAAGAGCAAAACGAGTGCTGCCGCTGCTGCCACCTCTTCTGCTGCTTCCAGCAACAACAACGGTAACAACAGCGGTAACAACAATGCCAACGATGGTGCTGCATCCGGCCAAGCAGGTGCCGGTGCCGTTACTAACGCTGTTACTGGTAACTTCCCCGGTTTCCAAGCTTCGAGCCTTGGTCTTGACTTCGGTACTTGCACGCCTACCGTCAAGTTTGAGGAATCCCTCAACGGCCGCAAGGCGGGCGAATTCACCTTCCAGGCTCAGGACCCCGTCATTAACAAAGGCCAGCAGGAAGCTCGTAAGTGTCTCCCCTCTTAGAATTTATTACTTTATGAAATACTAACTTTTCTCGTCTTAGTCAACCCTAACATCATCTTCAACCGCATCTGTGACCAGCTCGGCAACGTTTGCAATGCTGCCGCCGACGCTATCACCGCCTGCAAGTCAGCTCAGGCCGACCTGGGTTCTGGTGCCAAGGATGCCTCGACGGCTAACGCCTGGAACGAGGCTCTTGGCTTTGCTGGTGTTGATATCAACCCCGACAATGCTCCTCAGCAGGGTCTTATCGGTCACACATAAGTGATGTCGATTGGGGTTTAAAGTGAGGTAGTGAATCCATGTCTGTTCGCTCTGTGATCTTGCACAGCGAAGACTTTTAGAGAGATAACGTGTCATGACGTTTAAGAATTTTGTTGTATGTACATTAAATACAAGTCTTGTAAAATCTTACAGTGCTATTTGGAAATGATTGAAATGAGTGGTACTACACATTGAAGCATGCTCTTGAAGATGATCTAGCCGTAGATGAACTGGGGCGAATGTAGGCGTAGCAACGTTAAAATAGGGCGTAAAAAAAAGTGCCGATTGACTTGGCGAAATCCTCAATTATATCATTGTAACATATATCAGAATGAAATTCAGTCTATTTCACATTAGTATGATTTTGAGAACCACACTTTAAGAGGGGACTATACCCTTTGTTAGGCACTTATTTTGACGCCGTTCTGCAACGTTAATATAGGGCGTCATGGGCTGCTAATTGCTAATGCAAGAAGGGTCTGGTGATGGTTTGGTGATGATGTTTTCCGTATCTAGTTGCTTCTAATAATAAGGCGGCTTTCAGGAACATGCTAGAATATGACGTCGTTGGGCTACAGGCTGGTTACGTTGTATGCGCCCCCGTAGTTATCCTAAGAAATTGACTGCCCTAATGAGAGGAATACGAAAAGATCGACCAAGCGCGCTATGCTATTGGTGGATGCAATGCAACCGTTGCGGATACCAAGGAACATGGGGCGAGTCGGCTGAGCCGAATCATGATATTCAGCGGGATCGACATCTATGAGGAACTGGAAATAAATATATAATGCGATCCCTATCAGCAACATCAAGGTTATTCTCGCCTTATGTTAATCACCAGTCTCACTTGATATTTAATCTCGACTACAGACGTAAGAGTTAATTGCTTACAAGACTCTCGCTTTAACAATACATATACCTACTTTCGTTCATATCAACATCCAAGATATCAACATCCAAGATGAAGGTCTCCGCTGCCCTCGCTTTTGCTACCACTGCTCTGGCTGCTTCTCTGCAGAGGCGCCAGTCTCAAGATTACGACATTGTCAACTTCGCAGCTGACTGCATCCCCCATAGCACGTACTGCTCGTAAGTATTTATCATATTTCCAGGTTCCTTTGCAACATGATAGGAAGTACTAACTTAAACCCAGTTATAACTTCAACGTTGTCACCAATCCCATCTTTCCTTTGGATACATGCAGTGCTTTTGTGCAAGGCCCCGACGTCTTGCCCGAGATCACAGATGGGAAGTGCAACAACACGGCTTACACGTGGACAACGACCAAGGCTTCAGATGGCAGCATCAACTTCGCCATCTGGTACCCCTTTAACTCGCGCTCCAACATCACCTACTGCCACACCATCCCCACCAGCCAGATCACCACACAGAACAACGGTGCGGTGAGCACTCAGCACTACACCGGACCAAGGAACTTCACGGCTTCCATCTTAGACTGCGTTCCTCCGACTATTAGCTCATAAGCGCTTTAATGGGTGACTCGATGGAAAATGTTAATGTATATATTACTCTTAAATAGACTACTAGAAGCTGGTGATAATGTTTTAAGCTACTCGAAAATATACCTATTTTCCGCCATTTGTGCCAAGCCAAGAAGTTATAAGTCTTGTGATTGACCACCATCCACCACGTCTTTTTTCTGTGCTCTCCTTGTCAAAGTAGTCCTGGAGTTCATCCATCATTTCCCTAGTTTGTCGCTGGCCGTCTTTGAAATCGTGCCAGAATCTACGGCATAATTCCGGCAGCTGTGTATCGTCCAAGAGTCCGTCCGCATCGATGTACTCTGCAATGTATGTCATCATGCCGAGGTAAAAACCGCTATATTACTCCCGATGCGCAATAGATAGGCGCATATACGCCTCAAGAATGGTGTGTGCAGTCGGGATGACAACAGGAAATCCCTCTTTTGAGAAGGCACCGTGACCCCTGCCGTGTCTAGGACGTGGAAGGATAGAGTCGTCAGAAGCGAAGATGTAGCGCGAAGCTTGTGGCCTAGTATGGCTGAATATATCTTTAGAAGGAGGTAGAATAAACCATAGGGTTTCAAAATGCGTTCGTATAGAAACATCCACCTCCGACGTTCCAAGATGCATATGGAAAGATGGGGCTGGTTGTTGTGTATACTCCCTGGATACAACACATGATCCAGGGTCTGGGCATTTTTTCAGATTGGATCCCTTCAGCGCGGCTACGGCGGCTGAGACCTTTTCATCCGGGACAACGAACTCTATTCCCTACGCCTAGTTAGTGTCAATCATCACATTAACCGAATATAGATGGTCAAGTTATACCCCGATGATAGACGGTACTCCGTACACAGTTAGGAGATAATCACCCCACAGAACTGAAGGTACGCCAGCATCCGACAATAAGTGAGAGATAGACTTGACGAAGTCTTCATCAAGTGAATCTACTTCTAGTTGAACCATGTCTAGATAGAATATATGCCAACGAAAATGCACAAAGGTTTGACGCTCGGAGTTGAATAAGTCCTGTATGTGAGCTAGAACATTAAAAAGGAGCGTTGAGAAAGACTGTCAGGACCTTGAATATACCCATCTACAGATTAGTGGGGATTGAACTCATATTCCACGAATAACTTAATACGCTGTTCATTAAAGCTTCTTTTAAGGAAGATAAATTAATAGTCTTGTACGACTGTTGGTGCTGTTGGTGCCCTTGGAGAAATAAGAAATAATACAAACAATGATATATCACATTAACTATTCCTTATTAATATATGATCTTAGCGTCTATGATCTGGACTTGGTTAGGTACCCCAAACATCTGCCCCAACCTTTACTTGAACACATGAATGGCGGGATGGCTTTGTGGAAATACTTACCTAGGGGATGCTATACTAAGGTCAGATGATGATTTGCAAATATTCAAACCGTGATCGAAAGCAACTCACCCATTCATAGGATGTTGATTTTATCATAACCTTAGACGGACCGGAGAGTATCAAGCCGAGACTATTGGCACTAAATAACACTCCATCTGTTGAATATGCCCAGTGGTTTTATTATAAAACTCCTAACGACAGGCTGGTTCAGATAGACTTCGTTGGACATTTCCAGGTAACTATCTTTGCCCAAAAATCAGTTAACCAATAATTTAAACTACTAGATTTTAATTACTATAATATAGGCTGCCTATTTCCCACTATTAACTGCCCAAAGGGTTAAGGATATTCCTGAGGGATCGATCCCTTATATCACGCCGAGCGACCTCATAGTCTCTAAGATATTCTCATGCGGCCTCCGCGGTGACCCCCCCAAAAGTCGTCGTGATGCCGCTGACGCGGAAACCCTCCTGAATGAAGTGACCATGTCTTATGGACCCCTGATACTTGCACCTCATCAGCTAAATCCTGTGCAAGGAGGCTTGCCCGACGTCATTCGACAGACTGATAAAAACAGAGACTAGTGGATGACAAGGCTCGGTCTTGTGACGCCCTCTAGCAATACTCCAGGACCTGCTGGTCAAACCTCTAGTGGGGGTTCTTATGGTAGTGGCTCATCCCGTAAATCGGGTGGGAGAGAATCAAGGTACTCTTACTACTGATTAAATTGTTCAATATTGCCATGTATTCACACAATCTTGATCTGATAGTAGATCTTACGCGTGTATATTACTGTATTTGGGTTTAGATTTAGATATTGATTTGCTGGATACTGCCTATGCCCCTATTTCTATGATGGAAACTCATAAACAAATTACTCTGTTAACATCAAACCCGTCAGAACCGCCGAAGTACCCTTTCTGGTTTGTGTAAACCCTCTTGTTAGTCTTCGCGTCTACATAGTCGCAGTTGTAATGGGTATGCCCAAATGCCCAGAGTTTTACGTCGTTACTACGCCAGCACTGCTGATCGCTGAGATCGGTAGAGAGCCCGGCGATCCTTTTGCTCTGGCGGTGTTGTGCCTCTACGCTCCGTTCATCTCGTGTTGGACTGTGATGTGTGAAGATGACGACTTTTCTCCCGGAATCCTGTAGTTCTTCTACACGATTGTTCAACCATGCTAATTCGCCATCATGCTCTGCGCTGTGTTGTTCAACCGTCCAGTTCTCGATATGGTAGAAGTCGTTTAAGCCAAAGCTGACATCATCTATAGAGTCAATGGGGCACTTTAGAGAAGAGCGTGCAACCCAAAATTGTCAGATTCGTTCCATTATCGTTGATGTCATATCTTCTCTTGTTAAGAAAGATAAATTCACCAATATAAGACTGCATTTCTCGCCCCTGGAGTACTTGCTATTCAAAACGGAGCATAGTCTGCTTGGTATAGTCCCAGCTTGAATAATAAGGCTCATGGTTACCCAACAGGAAGAATACGACGCGAAAATTGGCGAGCTGTCTTCTCAAAAACGCGAGAAAGTGTTCTTCATGCTTCTTGGCACAACTAATATCACCTAGCAAAGCGAGATATGGCGCATGAGGAGTGATCTCGAAGACCTCGTAAGTATCATAAGCCTCCAAGTGAAGATCGGAAAGTATTTGGATTGTAACCATTGTTAAGGTTGGAGGAGTTTGCCTGAGGTTTTTGAGGCGGGGTTGCGTTAAAAAGAAAAAGAAAAAATAAAGGGCAAGTATGTATTTAAGTTCCAAGTTATATTATGCAAGTAGTTTCAGGTAACCAAGGTTACTTGAATAAGTAAATCTCTTATAAAATTTTTGATATCTTTCCAATAACAAAGTTGCTATTATCAAAAATCAACACAAACAATGCTTCGTTCAAACCGTTATTTGCGCAATGTTTCCAGAGTCACGTGTTTTGACCCGGCAGTCAGCCTGAATTAGTGTAACAGCTAATATATACGACGAGGAATAACGCATTGTCCCGGAAGTTAAAAATATCATTATCCGCTTTGACGATTCCCTCAGATACCTATAGATAGGTAGGTTCAGTGCTCGTGCATGTCACAAGTTTTAGATAAACTTTAGTTAGTTAGTAGAAAAGTACCTAGAGTTATTATTTTCTACCTATCTATAGGTGGTTGGTAGTTAAAAACATGTTACCTAGGTAGGTAGGTAGGTAGGTACTGTCTTAGGTTTGCCGGCTAACACAAGGCATGATTGAATTAATTACATGAATTAGGTACCAAGTTAAGTAAACCGAGTTTACAAAAACAGAGGTTCCAATTGATAACCTAGAATGCATCTATTAGGACGAGATGCTATTATACAAAGAGGATACCTGTCTCTGGACCACCATAGAGGGAAAGAAAAGGTACACACATATATCAGCAATCGCGCAATCTGGGTTCCTTCACAACCAGTCTATTGTAGGTAAGTTACGACACGGTAATTGTAGCAGAACTCGACGTAAGATAAGAGGCTGGAGGCCTGTGGCTTGGATATTATACTACGAGTTACGGATTTAAGGATAAGACAAAAGTTTAACTCTGTATAATCCCCTCTCCACTCTGACACGGTTTCACATATTGATCTATATTTATATCCTATATTAGTATGGACCGGCCATTAAACCAGTCATTCTAGTAGTCTTCGTGTTTAAGCTACCTTTACCTAGGTAGGTAACCAGCAATTAGTCTAGGGGTTAGTTCGTCTTGTACGCATATTTCGCTAAGAGATGAAGATGGCGTATTGACTTGATGTTAATAATTATGAATTTGATATGTACTAGTTGAATGAAAGCACACCAAGTAGCTTGTTCTGACAGTGCCTCGGATACTTCTTAATATATCCGAAGGAATGGAGAGGTGAGTTGCTTATACTGACCTTTTAACCATAACGGTTCGGTATATACAATCACGACAAATACCCTCATAACGTCTGGACTATATTTAACAATCACGGGTAGATAACACACTAAGCATGATGACATTTGATTTAATAAAATTTGTATTTATTAATGAGTTGCCAAAGAACATTCACCTTCGAGTTCGACCTTTTCCCAGTTTCCTTTCTTTTCCCTTGCGTCAAGATAAGTGATCTCGTGTGAGCCACCCTGTTCAATCATATTGTAGGTCTCCATAATCCACGTAGTAGACCGCTATTACTGTATACACCAAACGACGCCCTTAGAACTAGACCGACTGAAGTTTCCACCACTATTACACTTTAAGCCCGATTCGCATCATTGACGTAAGTACGTTTCGTCGTGAGGATCGGAAGCCTTTTGAATTGCGAGTTGACCAAGTTATAAGGTATGGATGGGTCGCCGCGTTGGCGCGTTGAACGGTGAGACAATGTGGAAAGACTCGTCGTCGTGGGCTTTCTAAAGGACATGTGCAGCGTTACAACTCTGAGTTGCTGTTAATATAGGTACCTACCTGATATATTCTGTAGTTCAACCCAATCATGCACGTGGTACCATTCTATTTGCCTCTTCTGGCTCTCCTAAGCAAACTTGAGTATGGAACACGGCTTATTAGGGTTCTTGTCGAGCTGTTCAAGCGAGCTTTGCACATAGTATACCGGAATCAAATAGCAATTAGAGTAGCCAAGTAAGCTAGGAGCACCAGAGCGGTCTAGGATTTTTAGATTGTAATAGCAGCTCAACTTACTAGTCACGAAGGGAAAATGTATGAATATCTAAATTCATTTTTCCTTTGCCCAGAGCCTTTTACACGCGCCGTCGATATAGAGTAAGAGGTCCAAGCACATGTCATTTTATAAGGGATATTGTATGCGGCGCAGCCCGGGAGATATGTAAGGGTATTACACATTGACAGACCGGGGAGTTTCCACTAAATACGGTTACATAGGTATAACTAGTATTGAACTATTGCGAATCGGAATTATTAGTATTGATTGGATACCAAATATCTTGAGGCTATTCGGACCCATAGATGGACCCATCTGCGTCGCGGCCTGTGCAGTGTTCTTCTGGTTACTGCTGATCATCCAGACTCTTGGGTAATCAGCCCCTTGCGCTTCGGGTCTGCCCAGCATTGCCTAGAACCCGGATTGCTCGGAATTTGCGCCGGTGGTATGGCACATATAATTCAAGGTAGAGCTAAACCACAACAAGCTTAAACAATTCTCTTCGCTAAGCCGCGACCTGGCTAAATCGTAAAAGCCCGGGGTATTGATTACCGCTGTTGTTAGCTCAATTGATGCCAAGCAGACCGTTGATTATGCAGTAAGAACCTAAGCTTGGTTTGGTGATTCTTCTTATGGGCGCGGAAGCGATTGCAGCAGTGGAAACATCAAGGGTTTGACTATATCAATTGGTACAGTATACGATGTCAGAGGTCTAGATTAGTTTAGACTTTAAATCGGGAGATAGTTATGTGGCAATGCTAGGAAGAATAGATGATTTAGGTCAGCTTAAATCATCTGCAATAAATCTATGTACCTACCTGTTCATCTTTGCTGGAAGTACTCGTTATCATATTATGATTGAATGTGTTTTTGGAACTATCTCTAGCACTCAATGGTGATTGCGTAGAGGAGTTTTGCAATGTGCCGCGCGTCTGAAGGTATCGTGGTGCTATTGACGTGTGATGTCGGCTGAATTGGGTTATACTGAAGGTAAGAAATTGAATCATCTAATACTACTACTACAACGGTTAGCCCTTGTTTTAAACCCCCGTTCGTTCTAAATTTGTATAAACGGCCTATAAATGGTCTATATAGGTAGGTTTATAGGTACATATGCGTGATGATAAGAAGGAATCCCAAAGACCCTCAATAGTGTGTATTCGAGTTTCCTGGTAATTAACCAAGTAGTTCTAGACTGCTTGGTATCTGTATCTGAAGCATATCGGTGTATTAGAGGTTGCAGCATACGTACCTAGGTATCAACGCTATTTGATGTGACAACAAACATAGTACCTACATTTACAACTATCTCTCTAGGCAGTTGGTTCTTGCGAGTGTTACTGTCGTAGTAGTGAGAATGCATGGAACTGTATGTATTATCTAAGAATGGCGTCCTGCCAATAAGAAGTGGTTATTGGCTACTCGATACGACAATAGCTATGTGATCTTTAACGCACGAGGCGTGACAATTGCAACGGTTCTGCATTTTTTTCTCCTTTCTGGCATTTGTTGGTGTGCCTACCTTACGTTAAGCTGCATTAGCATCATGTGTTTAATATCATATCCCTCGATCATAATAGGATAACGTTAGAACTTATGGAGGGTTATTAAGGGCTTGGTATTGAAGATAAAAAAGATGGCAGACGCGTGCTGAAAAACAAATTGCTACCTATTTTTCTTTTGACCTTTGTTCACTTTGTTCCGGCTGGGGGGTTCAATTTAATCATTTTGTATTTTATTCGTACATTTTAGGGTTCAAGATAGATGATACGCCCGAACCGTTATAAAGTTGGACTTTTGAAATGGTGTAGTTTAGGATAGTTACTTAGTGGTTACCTATAATGAACAATGTTCGTATGCCTACCTGTTAGGTACCTATTCATGTGCTAGTTGAATTTCCCAACCTCTGCTTTGGAAATGATTAACTACCTAACCTAAACAACTTACCTGCACTTGAATCCTATGATATTCGAGAGCTTTGGCACCTTCATTCCAAGCACTTGGACTTTGTAGTCTAGAATATACGATATTGGTATACGATCTCGTACCCATTAGTTTGGCATTGTTCTTTCAATAGACTCAACTCTGTAATTTAAGTACCATGTATCGTGCCGAATTATCCTTACCACAGTGTCGGCTTTACCGCTCACTGTTTGCCGGTTTTATCGTTCTAAGGCCTAGGATGATTAAATTCTAAAATTCGAACCCTTCGATGAGTTGGACAACTGGGTTTGTATCAAAGTGGACCTCTTGGTAAGATGTCAAATCCCTGCAAGAGACAGATCATTGCAGGGTCTTTCGTATTCTCGAAGGACTTAAATGTTTTGACCGCTTAAATATGAAGTTGATAGAACAAGGATTGGTCGGGGTGCTACTGTCTCTAGAATGTTTTGCCTGGATCCTTCTACCATGCTGTTAAGTAAGCCGTTGCCGCAATAGGCAAGACGACAATGGCATTGCCGAACTGACTGCGGGAGAAAATCATTGATTGTTCTCTGCATCCTGCTAATTTCACATGACAAAGTCTTTGCCCTCGTAGTGTATAGTGTATATAGTGTATGTAGATCGCCTTGGTCCGTAAGGGGTTGGTAGTATCTAGATTGTGGATATTTACGCGATACTAATATCGTCATAGAAGAGCCGAGAACGTATCGCTGGGATCCAGGTACCATTTATAGGGGCGGCGTATTTCCAAATTTCGGCACCTTCTCCTTGGATAATGGAATAATGGAGTGCATATGTAGAAGCACAACCGGTAGAAGGAGTAGTATCTCGGCAAAGAAGGTATCGGTCGCCTCCGGGACGATGAAACATGCATGACCGACGTCCTCCTAGCCGAAAATGGGAGACCGTCTGATAATAGGCGCGGTGGCCCGTGAGCCAATAAAATGACCTGCCGTCTTGCGGCATACTAACGGAAAGAAATATTGAGACTCGGTCCGCCTGAAGTCAAGCTTGAAAATGCCGAGACGAACAATAGTCGGTTAGCACCTGGACGATATCCTAGTCTCTTCTCCGTCGCCAAAGCCTGGCTACTATGCAGATCTCAGGGAGAGCCTCAAGTTTCGACGAGACAATTGCGTGTCTCTTGGGTTAGAGACTGAAGGTGAGGTGTTTTAAAATGAGTTGGGATATTGGATAAGAAACCTCCTTATTTCTGGTTACTGAACGGTATCTACGATACCCATTTTGCTTGGGGTCTTGATTATTCTTTGTGGTCTGATTCGAAGACATGATGATTACAGCCGATTTATTGTTAATGGTCTGGACTAGGGAATACGAAGTTTTGCTTTCTAGAATTAATTCTTAAACCTCAGGGTAAGGTTGATATTATGTCTCTAGTGCCTCTATTTTGAATGTTATGAGTATTGTATTTTGAGACTAACTAGTGATAGAGTATAGTAGTTAGCTTAAGTTGTAGGGCCTATGTATAAGCTTCGGTCTATATGTGATATCACTCATTCATTCTTTCATGTTTATTTCTCTATAACTGTATAGCCACAGATTTATCAAGCTGAACGAGGTGAAATTAACACTGTTGCCATCACACTTGGGTAGTCGTGCATATGATTGCTAAAGTAAATCTGGTGATAGGTAGGTAGTGTTGTTGACAATCGACATAGGTGGAGACGTTAGGTCGCGTCTCGAAAATTTCGTTCTGTCGTATATCACACCCATCGCATGAGCTACAAATCTGATAGAATATCTGATGATCCAGTCGATTACTTATTTAGGAGGGTAGTGGACGTGTGGAGTAGTAAGCTAGTATAAGCGATGATACACTGCCTTAACCGAGGGCTCCCAATGTAAGGAACTCGGACGAGTGCATATTAAAATCTCATTGAATCTCTATGTATGGCATTTATGGTAGCGACCCAAAGATCCAAGGATGCGAGGATGCGTTCGCAAGGTTTGTACATATATATACCTTACATAGTAGCCAAGTCAAAAGCGAGCGGGACTGAGGGATGAGAGTGGGTATCTTCGCCTATTCCGCAGACGTGGTTAAGGAGTCCCCTGCCTTCCTGCCTTGAGGTTTCAAAAACTGCAATCCTTGGAACAATGGAACTAGCGGTAGAATTTTTATTACATTCTAGAGGTAGTCATTATGAGCTGCATTGATGTGGATATGTGGATGCCTCGTATGATACATACATACCTTAGGTACATACGTATGAATCTCCGTGCTTGGCCTACTCAATACATATTGTTCATCCGGTATGCACTAGGTAGGTTAGGTATATTATCTGGTACTGTCCATAGCATTCTCAATCACGTGTTCAATGGCTCGGAGAGCTCCAGCTAACCCCTTGTCCGATTTTGCCCCTGGCACATCATGACCCAGGTCGTGAAGAAATACTTCCCTGACTCTCTCATCACAGATTTGGGTCAGAGACTGATGGACTTTAATCTCATGTGCCCCGGCAGTCTGGGCCCAGATATGAGCAGTCGGAATCGTCAGTAGAACCCCATCCGTGTCGGGATCGATGTATCGGATCACGCCAGTACGGGCCTGGTCGGGATCGAAGGGTAGAGCGGCGCAAAAGAACACGGCGCATTTGATACCACCAAATGAACCATGCCTGGCGTCTTCTACAAGCATCATTGCGGCCACAGTACCACCTTCGGAAAACCCCATAAACCCGTCAAACGGTCCTTGGCTCTCGACGAACTCGATCATGTTGTCACAGAGTTCTCGATCTTGGTCTGCATCATGGGCGACATAGCCGAAAAACTCGTCGGCGATCGCATCGGCACCTCGCTACTGGTGAGCCTTTTGCTGTGTGGAAATATACTACATCACGGGAAGACTTACCGATGTCGGGCTCAGTCGAGACCGTGCCGTTTACAAACACGAATTCGTGATCCCGGCCGAGAGCCTCTCTGATCCTTACTAGATGGCGGTTATTCCTAGGTCTCGAACAAAGTCCATCGGGACGGGGGAGGACAAGGGAAGATACCCGTCTGCATCTCAAAAATCTTTCAGGTACCATCAGCTTATTTGCCTCGGAGCACGCCATGGGGGGAGGTAAGTGTACCTGTGCGCTGGTTCCCCTTCCATGTAAACAAAGCCACCTCATTCTGGAGATGGCCGAATCACTCTGCTGTAGACCTTGGTATTGGGTAAAGCCAAATACGTAAAACCGAGATATGACAGGCACAGGGTCTCCAAGATTATGTGCATAAAAATTTAAAGCCTTAATTTCTTTCCCTGTAAGAAGATTGTCTTCGTCTGGAGTTGAATGTGCTTCGAAGGCCCTTAGAAGCATTCGATCTGTTTTAAGCTAAGGCTTTCGAAAACATTGCGCGGCGTTTTTTCCACCCCTAACACCCTATTTTTTCCCTCTTATCTCTCCGCCATTTGCCTACGTGTGTGGGCTAATCCCCGGATCGACATGGTTAAGGAAATAGGTAGGTTTTAGTCTATTCATTTCGTAGTAGTGTACCTAATGTATGTACATACATGTTAACTTACCGACCCACTACTGTAAGTCATGAGTTAATCATCCGGTTCCCCGACGTTTTAGATGATTACATAGTAGGATGGCTTGGGTACCCGGCTTGCTGGCTTGCTGGCTTGGGACTCCGAATATGTACTTGCATGGGTAGTATAGAATTCCGTGTCTAGTCACATTTGTGCATAACGTCGTAGTATCTGGCGATACAATGCGATAAAACTCCTGCCTCAGGTAAGCCTGGGGTTACGTGACGAGGCCTTGGTGGACGTAATCATTCTGTCAATTTGTTTATGACGTATTATTGGTAGTCTTACAAGAGTGGCATACTATTTATTAGTCCAATTACAATTAGGTGTTTTTCCGTACATAGAGGCTGCGTTGATTTTTTACTATTCATTATTATTTTCATGCATACTGCTTTTCCTCGTTCTTATTTTAAACGGGCTTATGCAATTTTTTTGGTCTCCAGCGTTACATGCAGGTATAAAATAATTTACCTGTATCGTTAATGCTTCGGCCTTTTTTATTAATGATCCACTAAAATGCCACTCACCTGCATTCAAACCCTGTATTCTATAGCGACTATCTTATAGCGTTGAGCCTGTTAAAGCCTTAGACTTGAACATTTCTAGTGGAGACATGGCGAGAGAACGGTTCCTAATACGCGGGCAACAAGAGCTAGAATAAGCACTAGAAACCGGTCCATGCTTGGGAATTGACGGGAATGAGTCCCGCTGGATAGGGGCTTCTGGGGGAACGATTTTGGATCATAGAGCTTCTCACAATACTTTGCTAAGTTTGGCATAAGAGTCCTCGTTGTATGTAAAGAGTCTGTGGGTAACAAGGGACCCATGGGGGCCATTGGGAGTTTTTCCTTTCTACGAAACCCCTTGTCACTATCAAGGATCTCATACTCTATCTACGATTCCACTCCCCCTTATTCGATCTTGACCATTGGACTCTTTTATATACCTGTAAACCCACTGAATAACTTTGTCTTGCATGGAGTAGACGACACGCAATTCTTCACAACAAATCAACGATGGCGGACATATCCAGTCTTCCACCAGACCAGCAACAGGTGGCTCTCAATTCGCCAGCCTTAGCAGCCCCAGAGGGCGTTACTCCTAACTTCGACAACCCTTCGAATAACAACAATCTGGCCTACGGAGTCATCGCCGCCTGTGTCGCCGTCTCGAGCCTTTGCATGATAATTCGGTTCTACGCGAGAATTTTCCTATTCAAGAAATTGAAGCCTGAAGATTGTACGTGCTCCAAGTCGCCATTTTCCTGCGTAGGACTTCTTTGCTAACATTAGTCTACTAATTTAGATATGATTTTGCTTGCCTTTGTTGGTCTCTACCGTCGTCGAGTTCTGTTACCGCATCACTAACATTCAGCTAGGTTTTCTTCGTATTATGGACAGTTTTTGGGCTCCGACTGACAGAACATCCTGGATACTTTGTTCATCAGTATGAAATCCGCGTTAAGGATACCATTGACTACTCATTTGTAAGATTTGAGACCTACAATTGGATTGCTCGAGGAGGCTAATGAAAGTAGGATGTCCACTATGCTGCTATTGCCTATGCGATTACAATTCCGTTCGTCAAGATAGCGATTTTGATCGAGTGGACGCGGGTACTTGTTCCTGTCGGTACGCGAAATGCGTTTATGTGGTCCTGTTATGCGCTCATTGGATTAAATGTCATGCTTTTGATCGCCATCCCTATCGCATTATCTCTCATTTGCTTCCCGTACGAGAAGATTTGGGATTTGACGCTCCCAGGAACTTGCAGCAATCAGTTTCTCATCGGTCTTGCGTCGGCTTCAATCAATCTTTTCATCGACGTTATCATGTTGATTCTTCCTCAGCGGGTTATCTGGACCTTGCAGTTATCGCTCAAGAAGAAGCTTGGTGTTTCTTTCTTCTTTTCCCTTGGTATCCTGTAAGTTATGGGAACGATGAATTTGTTAATGCATATTTCTAATCTGCAACCGTGTAGGGCTTGCATTTCGGCTATTTTCCGAGTATCGACGCAGGTGGCTATTGTATCCGAGGCGGACGCCATATTCCAATTCGCGCCCGTGATGTTCTGGGCTTTTGCTGAACTCACATGCGGTTTCATCATCGCATGTATGCCTTCTACTCCAAAGATTTTAAAGGACCATGGTGTTCTCGACAAAATGCGCCGGGCGATGAGATCATTCGTAGGGTTAAAAAACACGCACTTGCGGAGTATGACCAAACCCACCGCGTCGTCGACCGTAGACCACACCCACACCCACACAAATACGTACAGGAAGATCGACGAGTATGGTGTACCGATGAAAGATCTCCAGCCATCAGAGTCAACAGAACAGCTCAGAGACGATAAGTTCGATCAGGGCATCCTACGCACCACTCGCGTAACTGTGAAGCAGGAGTATGTGGGTGATGCGAAAGGTAACACCATGGATCACGGTGCCCTCTGGCATGGGGACAGAGTATAATATTCGTGCTGGCCATGGTGGGGTACGATTCATCGGAAAAAGGTTAGCAGGTGCCTTATGTTGAATTTCTTGTATATCAGCGTGTTCGGTTATGAAAAAGCGAAAATTAATGCATATTAGAATACGGTTCGTCAAAACTGGCTGAGGGTCATCCCTTTGTATGTTAGTAATTAACAAGATAGGCCGCGAGGAGTGACCTAGGTCTAGGCTTTCATTGGAAAGTCTACTGTTAAATAGCAACATTTCACCGGACAATTAAGTCCTAATTAGATGTAAATAAATAAGTTGTACCTTACCTAAAGTTATTGTCCCTTGTAACTAATTGATATTGATTTCTATTCGTATAACACCAGTGGCTTGTTACTCAGGTACGTATATTACGACAACAAGTGATATACTCAGTTGGCGTTTATATCGTGACCAGATTTCCTCATTTCATTTCTAGATTTCGAAAGACACGCATACATTGCGGACTCAATTATTTCATCAGCATATCTATATCAAGTCCAGCTGAATTACCCGCCGCTAAATCTATTGTTTATGTACAGTCACGTACATAGGTACCTATTTCATGTATTCAATCTACCTAACGTATGTCTTAGGTACTCGTTTTGGCTTCACGTGATGGAGGCATCATCATAAGACCAGTCATAATGTCCGTACGAAGTGCCATTCTACAGTGGAGTGGCACCTAACAGATAGAGTTGGTAAAAATGACTTTAGTCCCTTTTTTAAAAAAGGAATCGGGACGGGCCATGCTTACGCGGGGGTCAAATGTTCAAGATCCTCATTTCAGGGGCCCCCTACATGAAATGCACTAGGTAATACAGTTCATAATTCATGGCTGGAATGAGGCGGCGAGGTTTGGCGTCTGGGCGTTATACACTAATTTTGAGTATTCATAACTTTTATACATGCATAGTTTGTGTCGTATACCCTGCGAGCACCGTCCCCGAGGTGAGGTCCGGCCAGACGTTTTCGTAATACGTAGATCGAGCTTTACAACATAACTACCTAACCTAGGTTACTTACTTACCTAGGTAGTTACATAAATTGACATCGAATAAGTACCTAGTGTAACATATAATTAATCTCGCTGGTGGCCATGTAAATAATTCTTGTATAAATGAATAGGTACCTGTCTATCTTAACTTCCATTGCTAGGCTGTACCTAGGTATCTATCATCCCCGACGAGCCATCACCGAAATTGTCTTTAACCTCTTAACAACGGTGTTGATACCTTTAACGATTAGCTCATCGCCTCTACCTATTATGGATAAGGCGGATTTTATGTATACTAGTGTCGCCTGTACATATGTATGTAGTGTAGTGTATGAAGAGCTGCGCAGGGGGCCCTGTTTACCCAAAAGGAGGGAAAAAAGGCCGAGAGGATTTATAGCGGTCCCTGTGGGACGGTCGTGATCTTGGCTTACAGCGCTGCCCATGATTATGGCCGTGAAGATTCTGCTCCACTATGTATTCACCTAACGTACCGGGACATCAAAATTCATCACCCGTCCCTCCTAGTATAGTTTTACTACGAAGTAGTTATCGTCGTAAGTCTAGGGTACCTTGTGCGTGGGTATTCCCATGGCTCTTACCATCGAGTAGCGTCTACCTATACCTCATAGCTACCTGGGGATTCGTATCAAGGTGAATGACGATGTGTCGGAAACTTTCCATTAGACTCGGGACGTCCTAATGCAAAGCATAAGGCGGCGTTTTTCGGGGTTTGGTACGTAGAATATCACTACTGTTTCCCATGTTAGGTATCTGGTATCAACATATGGAATCTTCTAATCTCTTTTAGTTGTAAAGGTACCTGGTATTCACGAGAACTTAGCTTTTGCGTTCTTCGTGTGCATACAAAATTATATATAAAATCACCTTGTGTAAGCAGTTAGAAGAAATTGGCTGCCTTTCAACATTAAAGCAAGATCGCAAAATCGAAACCGACCGAAGACGGGTAAGACAAAATACCATCGAGAGACCCGGCGGGGAAAAATTAAAACGTTCGGTAACCGCCATTTTGCGCTACTGCGTACTCTATCGAGCCTATGGGGCCTACCATAGCTAAGGACCCGTGGATGTGGAAAGTAGTTACGATATCTTTAACATGGTTGTATTTTAGTCTGGTTAAGTTAGAGGCTACCTACCTAAATGCCTGTTATGGGTAAATATACGCGCATTGAAGCCTTTGTTTTCACATGGGACCGCTCTGCACTATCGCTTGCGCAGCACATCGAATTTATGGCCAAGAAATGCGTATGAAAATAATGCAAACCTCTCCGCCTAATAATACATGGTAACCAGATAAGCTGAATTACCTGGTACTTATATCCAGGCGAGGTAGGTAAAAGAAGAATAGGTTCGAAAAGATCCTCACAAGGATATATTGCAGCAGGGATATGCATAAAGTACCTAGAGTGACCGCACGGACAGTTAAACTAATACTTATTCCAAAAGCTAAGGTAAATTGTACCAGTCCGTATTTTACCACGCTGAAACGGTAAATAATAAACCATTGTCTTCTTAGGAGGTATATACGGTTTTGTTATCTGCCAAAAGCTAACCGCTAACCGGGCTCTCTTATACAAGCACTGCAACAGAACAGCTGCGTGTTGAATCCTACGGTCATGCATAGTGCATATGCGATATGTTTATCCAGTGCAACAGTGAGTGCTGCAATGCATCATGAAGGTATAAGAACCCCGAAGCGTACGTTCCTATCTTGTATGCACGTTAGGAATTTTCCGCATATCGTGTTAACAAGATTACCTGACTTACTTAAGACTTACACGCTGATCATACACCCCGCGAACCCGAACTATAGGTTTGATTCTCGGCAAGTAACTTATATACCTGATTACGGTGAACCGGAGTTGCGGGGTGAACCGTTCTGTATGTAAGTCTCCACGTTAAAGAACATTATATTCCAACTCTAATACCAGTTGGCCAGCCGCCAAACATAGTACGTGATAACACGTAAGCCTCATTTTCACCACTGATGATCCGTTAGTACACAAGGTTCATCCTTGTAGCGGCAACAGACAGTTGCATACATCGCGGGTAGCGTGTATAGTTTATTTTCATCATTGGTAGCGTACACCGAGGTGATCAAGACCCCATACGTTCTCATACCCTTGTTAAGGGTCCCCTGTTCGGGTCCTGATGGCAGCTGGTTTTAAACTCGTCCCGCGAGATCGGCACCCCTGTGCCTAGGTACCCAGCTTCCAACTTCTAATTTGCCCACATCCCATGTCAGTAGCCGATAACCTTGAAAAAATTGTCGGTATGGCTCACTAAGTTCGTCCCGTACATACACATCATACTTTAGTCTACCCGGCAAGGTTCTGGGGTTTGCTCAATTAGGCAATAGCCGACCTTTTGGTCAGAAGTTGTGGGCATCGGAAGTGCCTGATGATGAAGCAGTAGAGGGCAGGTTTAGTAAATTCCGACTAGGTTAGTTATGTACATTAGAATCATGAATGGGAAGATACATGTAGGCCACTGTATTTTAGCGTAGACACGATCAATTATGAGTTCATGATTTGTTGCCAAGAGCCATAGACTTCCAAGTTGGCCAAGATCCCATAACGTTCCAATTTTATGTCACCTATCCTCAGATTATATTCTATATACCTACCTACTTACCTACCTACCTAGGTACCTTTAATTATTTTGCTTGACGTACGTGGCAGCGAGCAATGCCCTTCGACAGATTATTCAAGTCAACCGTATACTGACAAGTGGATCTGTTCCAACACTATGTAAAGCTACCTTCCTTCGTGACATGAGGTTTATAATATCTTACGATATTAAGTGGTCTCGGCAAGTTCCCTGATGTTCCCTGATGTTCCCTGATTCGACTGCATCTGGTTAGCTACATGGAAGTGGAAGTATCCGAATCTCAAGGTTTTTATCCATGACAGTCATTCCTCACCACTCCCGTTTGCTAGGAATATAATGCGAGAGCTGCAACTACGTAGTACAGCGAAAGCTACTACTTTGGATATCCACACCCACCTACCAAGAGACATACCCACAGACATACCCACATTACAACGGTCTAGGTTACGATTGTCCAGACTAGCTCGGCCAGGGCAAAGGCGCTTATGACTTTGTGCGGTGTCTGCTCCAGGCGGAGCCATACTGGGTTCTAGCCCCGGACTGAAACGAATATAGACCGCTAACTGCCGGCCAAGATTCTTTAGTCGCTAGAGAAATAGTCCATAGGTTTGCCATGGCAGCAGTGGCAGGCCGTTACAGCCAACTTCACACGTAGGAGAATGGATCGTATGTGCCGGCTACCATACCCGGCATCTCACGAAGCGTGGTTATAGTCTATATGAGGAATACATAGCGGCGTGGCCATCCAATGAAATCGCATTTCTGCAGTTAAGGAGCTTTGCATTCCACCCATGAATCAATGATCTGGACTTCCACTTTGCTTCCTGTGGCCGTACGAATGGCGTCTTGACACCTTCCTAGCCGAACCATGGGTGACATCATTGCTGATTGGTACCCGAATATAGTCTTACCCAGCAGGATGGTCCCGAAAAAGATAAGGTTGAGAAGTGTCTCTAGACGGCACTTGCTATAAAAGGTAGGGTAGTATACCTGTTCCTAAGCGAAGGCTTTCGAGCATACTTTTGTCCTCCTGCTTGGCCACTAGACTATAGCTTTGAGATAAGGGGCCTATTTATATTCTTTGCCACGATGACTGACGACATAGCCATTGTAGGATTTTCTTTTAAACTTCCTCAAGATGTCAACGACGTCTCTAGTTTCTGGCAGGTGCTCCAGGATAGGAAGAACTTGATGACCGAGTGGCCAGAGTCTCGTATTAAGAATGGTTCGTTCGAATCAAGCAATGAGGGCAATGTCAGTTAATCATGTTTTGTATATTGCAAACTTGGTCTAATATGCTACAGCTTCGTTGTAGGGGAGGACACTTTATTACAGAAGACCCAGGAGCATTTGATGCCCCGTTCTTCTCTGTAACCGCGAAAGAAGCGGCTTCTATGGATCCAATGCAAAGGTGGACTCTTGAAGCATCATATCATGCTTTTGAAAATGGTTAGTTAGGTATCGAACAACACGACCGCTCTTATGTCACTGACGAAGGATATACAGCCGGAATACCACTCGATCGACTCAGAGACTCACGCTGTGGTGTATTCTCTGCTTCGATGACGGATGACTACAAGAGGATGATTGCACAAGACCCTGACAATGTACCTCGCATGGCAGTGACTGGAACATTTGCCTCAATTCTACCCAATCGCGTTAGCT